TATTCAACAAAGTCCTTTTCAAGGCCTGTCTTTTACAAAAAGTTGATTTTATAAATCACATTGTTTGCTTAAGCAGGGTTGTTAATAAACATATTGTGTACTACAGTTGTTGACAGTTGTTGACAAAAGTATTGTGCCTCATTTTCTTTGTTATTTCAAACAGTCAGAACACACAAAAATATTTGTTTATTGGACGAAACAGGTTTTAGGGTCATCGTGTTGAAATGGTGATATTCTTTGAACAGAGTTAGCAATTTCAGTATTTTTTTCATCTAAAAGTAGTTTATGAAATTGGCTTTCCAGTCATGATCATTTTTAGTGCTACATATTCTTTTAAATATGAAATATATTTTCGGCAGTCTTCATTTTTAACGCATATAATCCTGAATACAGTTGTTCGTAGAACAGTTCGTGCTTACAGTTTACAAAAGTGATTTTCACATGACTCCTAGCACCAAATTTTGTTTAAAAAAATACAAAATATATATGTTTCTTTCAAAAATAAAACTGTATTTACATTATTGACATAAATATTACCAGTACTGTAGTTGGTGGTTGGAGTAATCCCCAAAGTACTTAACTGATCAATGTTTTCAAGGTTTAAACACAAATACCATAATTTTGAGGCCTAAAAGTCCATAAAAATGTAACTTTATTTACAAAAATATACATGTATTTTCCATTCGTAGTTGGATTAATCACAAAAATCACTCAAAGGATACTCATTGTTTTAATGTTACACATAAACACATATGTTGTCTGGCCAACCCGTTTCAACTTGTGAAGGAAATGGACCAAACCACCCATACAGCCTCAGTGTTTGGTAAGAAATCAACGAGTACCATGCATCCATGAGGTTTTCACATCAGTGATGTTAATCATGCACACACGTGAAGATAAAAATGACACTTCCCAACTAAGGCCTTCCTTCTGGCCACAATTTTGACCCAGATAATCTTCATTTTGACATAGAGACTGTCGTAGTGATATGAAAAAGTGCTACTTTTACATGATAAACAGTCAATTTGACCCAGAAGTGTGTCAGGTCCAATCTGACCCGGATTCTGGATCGAATCTGAACCGGGTCGAATCTGACCCAGGACTTATAAGAGTTTAAGTTTGACTTTGATGCCAAACCACTGTGTCGTACGTAGAGGCTGAACAGTTAATTGTCTTACACGAAGCGTGACCCTGCTGACGATCTGAATTAAGAATGAATCATTGCCCAATGTTTATGCTTAAATAGCAAACAGGCATCCTAGAACAGCCGTGTGATTGTGAATGCAGATTTCCAAAGGTAACGGAAAACTTTATTTTGAATGAATCAACATGCACACAGACATGTGGATGTTCGCGGGCGAAATCTTGGAAAATCACTTTATCCCGTTTGGAAGACTGTATCTTTATGCACCTTTCAGGGTTTGTTTCCATTATAATGTTCCAATTATGTGCTAAAAATCATCAAGGCAAGTGAGTTTCCATGTAAACCTTAAGCGATTGGAAGCAGAGTTTAACTCATTCGATCCACCCAATCCCCGGTTGTCAGCAAGGTACAAGTCATGCAGTACGGGTATGCCACTTACAGCCGAGGTGATATTTGACGATTTTGAATTGCAATTCCTCAGGTTGAGCCTATTTAAGTGCATCATATTCAGCAATGCCGGCTTTGCCAACAACTTAGCCAATTAATTTGCCCAATGCTTTATTCCCATTAAGGGTCAAATCAGTCAGTCTGGGCATGTCACCTACAGCCGAGGCGATGTGTTTAATATCTGTCCCTTTCAATTTGCAATCGCTCAGGTCCAGCCTCTTTAAGTGCGTCATTTTCGGCATTTCCTTTGCCCACAACTCAGCCGATCCGCCCAATGCTTTGTTGCCATTAAGGATCAAGTCAGTCAGTCTGGGCATGTCACGTACAGCCAAGGCAATGTGTTCAATGTCTGGCGGTGTCAAATCACAACAGGTCAGGTCCAGCTTCTTCACATGCGTGCATTTTGGCAATTCCTTGGCCCATGAGTTCGCCGATCCACACAATGACGAGTGGAAACTAAGGATCAAGTCAGTCAGTCTGGGCATGTCACCTACAGCCATGGCAATGTGTTTAATCTCTGATGGCATCAAATCACAATCGCTCAGGTCCAGCCTCTTTAAGTGCGCCATTTTTGACAATTCGTCGGCCCACCAATCAGCCCATCCGCCCAATAACCAGTTTGAATTAAGGATCAAGTCAGTCAGTCTGGGCATGTCACCTACAGCTGAGGCAATGTGTTCAATGTCTGTTGGTGTCAAATGACAATCACTCAGTTTAAGCCAATTTAAGTGCGTCAATTTCGCTAATTCATCGGCCCACAATTCAGCTGACCCGCCCAATGTCACATTGCGAGCAAGGATCAAGTCAGTCAGTCTGGGCATGTCACATACCGCTGTGGCAATGTGTTCAATGTCTGTCGGTGTCCAATCGCAGTCGCTCAGGTCCAGCCTAAATAAGTGCATCAATTTTGGTAATTCATTGGCCCACAACTCAGCCGATCCACCCAATGTATTGTTAGAAGAAAAGTTCAAGTCATTCAGTCCGGGTATGTCATGTGCAGCCAAAGCAATGTGTTCAATGTCTGTTCCCAGCAGTTTGCAGTCACTTATATCAAGTTCCTCAAGGCTTGTCAAGTGTTTGATATGAGGGGCCCATGCTATAGCTCTACCTCCCAGTGTATCGCAACTATCTATTTTAAGACTAGTCAAGTTTGGGTTGTGTTTCAGAGACCGCAGGGTTTTCTCAAGATCACCCTTCACAAAAGGACAATCACACAGCCGCAGTTCCCTGAGGTTTTTCATGTGACCCAGGGCAGGGGCTAAATCACTGATCAAAGGCATGTCCCAAACCGTAACCATTTCAATGCGAGACAGGTATGCAGTGCGGCTGTCAGACCTATAGATGATTTCAAGAAGGTACATGAGACTGCGGAAATCATCGTTGTCCACTTCAATATTTGATGGGACAAGGGAGTAGCTGTTAATACCCGCTGGGACCTTATCAGACTGGCTTTCAAAAAAGCAGTTTAGAGTTATCGCTTGTATGGTATTTGTTTTGTGCTTGAACATGGACTTATCGCCAGTACTTCTTTCACTTATCTTACAATAGTCTAGCAAGTTTACAATGCGAGTCATGCACTCTTCACTGTCCCCACAGCAAAAACGTAACAGAAAGTCGTTTGAAACAAGGTCCTCCATTGTTGAACACAATTGACTCAAAATTCTCTGAAATTTGCCACTTTCTAAACTCTGCAAGTATTTCGCTGCGCAGTATTCCTGCATTGTCTTGTGCATGAATTGTATGCTGTTGTGGGATTTGAGGTTTTTGATAACACTCTGCCGGTTAAGAATGCCTGCTTTCAGTGCCAGGAGCAGTGCAATCGGGTCAAACTCATCTTCCTGAAATGAGAATTTCTGGTCAGCAAACAAAAGTCCACGCAGCGCAGTTTTTCCTATTGCATTAACTTCTTTTGGTACATCTAACTTTCTCTTTTTCACATCCGATGCTGTTTTCTTGTCTTCGTCTTTTCTTGTGAACATGTAATCAACTGCCTTAGTGAAGAGGCGTGAGGTTGTTTCTGGGAGTTTATTATTCTCCCTCCACAATAAGCACATAAGCAGCAGCAGCATAGGATTTTTGGCTAAATCATGCGGCACACTGGACTTTCCAATGGTTTGGATTAGCACATTACCACTATCAGAATCTTCAGCATAGAATTTCTGGATGTATTCGTGAACATCCTCGTCAGTAAATCCCAGAACCTGTACATATATGCAAGGATTTTGGACAAGTGATCTTGACATCAGTGTCTCAAGATGAGAGGGGCGGGTCGAGACACAGATGGAAGACTTCCTGTATTTTGTTCTATTGAGTGCTTTTAGGATTGAACCGAATGAGGCTGCATTGAGTTTTTCAGTAGTCATTTCATCAAAACCATCCAAAAGAATCAAGACCTCATTTGGGTTGGCCAGGATGAATTTTTCGAGTTCCTCTTTAGCTATTCCTGAATCTTCATCTAGAAGTTGATCAAAGGCATCAACGAGATCAGATTCTTGCGACAGGGCACACATCTTTAAACGAAAGACGAGCTTGAATTCATTCAGGATTTCGCTTGTCTCATCAGCCCAGTCGTATGCAATCTTATCAAAAATGGTTGACTTCCCCACACCGCCCATGCCAACGAAAATGAGGCGTTTGATGAGTTCCCCAGTTCTTGTCTTTACTCTGAATATTTTGTTATACTCTGTGGAGTTTACATTTTCTCCTTTCTGGCCCCTTTTTCTAACAGTCTCCCCACTAGTGACAACTGCTACCCCTTCCCGTGTTTCTAACTGTACTTTGGTGTATATACCAGCAATGTGCATTTGGTCATTATCAACCCCAGGCAACAACTGAACATAACTGCCTGTTGTTCTGTAAAATTCCTTCAAAATGTCCCTAGTCTTGTTACCGACATCTTGGTAGCTAGGAGCCCCCAGCCTTGGTTCTTGGTCCGGTCTCTGACTATGCTGAGGTCTGGGTGCAGGCACTCCTATTCAGATCAAAATAAGCAACATGTAATTGCTTCAATAAAACAATGTTTCTGAAACGTAATGAAAAGTCTTCCTCAACTGGTAAAAACATGCAATTTATGACTTGGGATTTCTAGTCCGTTAGTAAGGCACTGCACAAAATAAATTTGTCAAAAAATAATCCAAAATGTTTCAGCTTTTGTGTTGTTGGACCGAACGTTGTCAAGTGTTGCCTCATACATGTAGTACAATCCCTTATTTTTACACCAACAAAAATATTCAGACAAAAAGCTGGTAAATGTAACTGCAGGTGTACGAACGAGCTGATTTGATGTCATTATCCCAAGATTGACTGAAAAAGCAATAACCTTTTTGTGGTAATCAATACATTTCAAATAAGCCATATCCGGTTCCTTTAAATCTTATGACTTTTATCAAACAAATAAGATCATATTTACCTGGTCCCTCCAATGGAAAGTTGTAATTGATATTAACTCCACTTGAATTAACAATGATAGGGTTGTGGCTACCGCTGATTGTGCCACTGTTTCCGATGGCTCCAGTTCTTTGTGACAAATCTACAATCACAAGCAAGAATTAAACATTATCCTTTAAAAAGCGGCCAACAAAATAATGCATGTACTCCTCTATTTGCCGTCTGTACTTGGAAACATTACCTTAAACCAGTTCACGCTGGAGGCCGTGTATACATGCAAAAGTTTTGCGGTATTCGGAACGGATGACGGATAAAAACACAGGGAGAGAGGCCAGAAATATGTCAGCGACACCCTCGCAGCAAGCGAGGCCGGAAATATGAGTGTGCTGCCCAAGGGTGATGGCTTCAGCCCGCCTGACTTGAGGGCAAGTGAAAAGTAATAACCCAAGAAATCTTCTGGTGATGTGGGGAGGGGGAGGGTGGTAAATGCCCCTCCACTCCCCAGTGTACAATGTACTCACCTGTTGCAGCTGAGGGGTCGGGTACCTGAGCCTCCTGTTGCATCATGGTAAGGACATCAGTCTGTTGGCAGGCTGCTTCAGATTGTTGCATCGTGGTAGGGACATCAGTCCGTTGGCAGGCTGCTTCAGATTGTTGCATCGTGGTAGGGACATCAGTCCGTTGGCAGGCTGCTTCAGATTGTTGCATCGTGGTAGGGACATCAGCCCGTTGGCAGGCTGCTTCATACTGTTGCATCGTGGTAGGGACATCAGTCTGTTGGCTGGCTGCTGCAGATTGTTGCATCGTGGTAGGGACATCAGTCGGTTGGCTGGCTGCTTCAGATTGTGCATCCATGGTACTTTGGATCACCCAACCGCAAATGAAAGTCCTGTGTGTCAATGATTAATGAAAACTGTGTCACAAACTTATTGCACTTCCAGTAACACTGAAAGTGAAGGTCAAGCAGTTCTGTCCCCCGGCAATGAGAAATGGTGCTCAAGGCATCGTCTAACTCCTCGTGAAAAATGAACACGATTCTGTATTGTGTTCAAGAGAGAATAGATAATTATATTGTCAAATTGTGCCCTTAGATTGCTTTTAATTTGATACCTAATGACGTCATGATGATGTAACAAAGTTTATAACATCTTCGTACAAGTTCACACTAGGTTTTGTTATCCTCCTGTTAACCGTTAACCCGCGTTTGGAAGAAATTTCTGTTCATTTTTATTCAAGCTAAATGTCTTCATTTTCTCGTCCTGAGAGAGCCGACTTAGCCGGACTTTACTGTATGAAGAAAAAAGCAGTTCTGTCCCCCGGCATCAGGTTGCAACATTCTTTCCCAAAGAAATGTGAACAGCGCGGATTTGATCCCAAAGCACCTTCGGCATAATCGAACGTTTCAACTGAAGTGAAGAGCTCTTGTTTAACAGGAATTGTAAGATAATTGCAAATGGTGTTTTTTACAATGACATAATGACAGTGGGAGGCGGGGAAGGGGGGGGGGGAACATTTGATAGGCCCATTACAACTGTCTGGCGTGTGACTGTCAGAATTAACTCAGAAAGAATGTTGCAATCAATATCGTAATATTGGGGCGTCTGCACGATATATATCGTGCAGACGCCAATTTTTGTCTTCATGGCTTACATGCAACTGTTACTTTTGTAGTTTGTCCTTTTTTCTTTATCAATTGTCATATCCAGTAATTTTTCGGAGAGCTATAGAATGCAGGGCCACGCCGGAAAAGGTTTTTTTTGTAGTTGGATGCGATGTGAGGAGTGGGGTCGTTGAGTAGAATGGCACTCTTTTGAGAACGAAGCAACTTTGGTATATGAGATTTCTCCTGTGCGTACGCAGGTACCGGTACGGTATGAACGTGGATGTATCCAAAAATAGAGGGCGGTATAGAGAGTGAATTATTGACAAGTACGTAGTATATATACCGAGCGGGACGGCTTGGGATGTCTTGGATGCGCGGATGCGGGGTGGATGAGCACGAAGTCATCAATAGAGGGCGCTTTATTTACCCCAGGACCCTCTACTGTATTTACCTTATAGGACCCACTGCTTTATTTCCCTATCTAAAACCAACCCCAACCTACCCACTCATTCGGTCTTGGATGCCTGGATGCGCGGATGCGTGGTGGGCATGAACTAAATTTCAATCAATAGAGGGCGCGTTATTTGAAGCCTGGATGCGCGGATGCGGAGTAGGCATGAATGAAGTAAATTTTAATCAATAGAGGGCGCGCTACAGAAAACCGACTGCACAGCCACGCAGCCATGGATGAGCGGATATAGAATGGAGTGCCCCTGTATTCTATAGTTGTGCCAATTTTTCTATAATTGAATTTTAAAACTTTCATTTGTATTTTCATTGTCTTGTAACTTGTACTTTGCCTGACAATAAAATAAATACATTTCTCATTGATCGAGTCATTCTCAATAACTGCAAAATTCCCAAATGATACAACATTGTTTCCAGAAAATGAGCAATTATTTGCTACAGCAAAACTTACACTTACTTTTGAAGAAGCTAGGTTGCTTTAAATGACAATTTTCAAGAGGAAAGTTGACTTTCAGCCCCTTACTTTCCGGAGAGTCGTGGGAAATCTTTTTGAGCAAGTTATTTCCTGTTCCAGTTCCAGCAGCTCGTGTAGACAGCGCCCTCTATATGTGAGGACCATATGTGACACACTTTAGTTTGGCAGAATTCACCACGGGTACCTCCATAGACCCCAATGGTAAATGCTCCCACTTCAGAAATTCGGGAAAAATACTCACAACTCTTCAAGGTGTTCGAGACACACATCAAATTAAAGCTTATTTCATCATCTTTCATTTTCGGGGGGTCAACTGATGACTTTTAGGAGAAATTTCCATCCGAAGATGATCACCCCTAGGCCCTGAAAATAGTCCTGAAGCCCATCACCATTTTGAAAAACGATGCCTACACTCCATTGCAAAATAGAGCGCTTTAAGGGCCCCAATTTTATCCAAATTGAGTGGAACTACAAGCTCACAGTCCTGTGCACGGTTTCCACCCATATATATATATTTTTACAAATCCTCAAGTTCATAGCCCAACAGCATGCTAAAATACTGAAGATTTTGAGGGCAATTTGCAAATCGCCATGATTTGGTCGGCGTAGGCATCAGGCAATCGGGACCGATTTACTGGTCTGCAACCTTTAGTCTTTTTTCCTCCAAGTATAAAGCAATTTCACTTTTTAGGCCACAATTTCTTGCCAGTCTTGCATTTTTTTTAAATTTGGCACAAAACTGATTTTTTTTCTCCAAACAATGTAGAAAGTCCTTTAGAGGTGGATCAAGCATTAAACCATAGTTAAAAACCCAATATTTTGAATATTTTGGCACTTTTTTTGGGGGGGGAACAATTTCCAGAGAAACAAAAATGCTGAAAATAGTTGAAAAACAAATCTTCAAAGGTTGAACAATGCTAGAGTTTTTAATTTTATCAAAATTTCACAACAATGTGATTTCCCAAACATTATCCCCATCATCAAGACACAGTAAGATTTCCTTTTGAAACACCAGACACAAAAACTGAAGAGCAGCTGTTCAATATATATTTTAATAGGCAAAATACAGTGATTGTACAATACACTTTAAATATATATCAGCTATATTTCTTACAGATATACATGTATATAGATATATTTTGTGAATATTCACACAGATTCATAGTTTAATAGCTTTGTGCAAACATTTAAATTGGGGCCTTAGGCAATATTTAAAAATTTAAAATTGAGAATTAACACTCTCTTAAAAAAATGCAACAGCTCTGTAAAGCATAGTGCAAATTTCTGAAGTTTTGAAATTCCAGCATACTATACAAAGAAAGTGCCCTCTATCGACCAAAGATCTGAAAGGTAAGTCAATAGAGGGCGCTTGAAACAAGGGCACACTTTCACTCGTTCCCCCTCCCCCTGCAAAGAGGGCGCTGGGAAGGGCTATCAAACTTCACAGAATCTTGTGAAGGAAGTACGCATGGCATGCTGGGTAACTTATGACCTTTGCATGCATCGCATGCAGCTGGCGCGTTACGTATGATAAACAGCTGCAGCGAGTTTGTGTGCTGCGTGCTATGTCACATGTTACACAAAATCTAACCAATGAGAGCTCAAATTGATTAGCCCTTCCCAGCATCGTGTTTGCAGGGTGGGGGGTACAAGCAAAGGGTGCCCTAAACTTATGAAGTTTTATTTTAAGAGTCAGACAAGTCAAAAGAGGATACCCTAAACTTACATTTGAAATTCCTGACAAATCAAGAACCCAAAACTTTCATTTGAAAATCCTGAAAGTCAAGTGAGGGCGCTCTTAAGTTTTATTTTTTCTTCACGCCTGCCAGATCAATAAAGGGCAACCTTTTCATTCTAAAAAGCCTAATCAGTCAACAGAGGGCACCCTAAACAATTTTAAGAAAAATACCCAAAAAGTCAAAGCAAAGTGCTTTCCCTCATAATAATTTGATCAGATGCAATGTCAATCTTTCATTCACATGTTATAACTAAAGGTGCACTAATCATATTTTATTAGATTCCACTGTATTCACAAATATTCTATTTAATACTTTGAAGGCGTTTTTGTGATTTCTGTCTTGTAAAGCTACAGTGTAGGCACATGATAAACACACAAGTTATTTTAATTTGAATACAACAAAGCTGGTAATAAAATATATATATATATATAGACGCTTTTTCCATCTCACGTGATATTTTCACAAATGTACAAACTAAGAGAACCATATTTTACACCGATTATTCAAAAATCTTACAATATTTGTGCACCCCAAAACATAATTCTTTATCAATTTTAACCCCAAATTGTCCACAATCCAACACTTTGCACAAACCTTATCACTCAAAATTGGAACCAAATCTTTAAAATAAGAATGGCCTGGCCTCATCACAATGCTACAGATTGGAGTTGGATTGTTGGCGAAAGAGAAAAAAAGGATGAAGATACCTCTAGGTACAAGAAGTTTTTTTTTGGGGGGGGGGGGACAGCAAGGCCTAGGTATTGTTGGAATTAGGTTGTTGCTACTTCCCCCCCCCCTCCCCCCACCCCACCACCGTAAAAAAAGATACATGAATAAATAAAACAAACATCTGAATGTACTGTGGAGTTTTAAAGGTTGTTTGAGGTTAATCCTGAGTCTAATCAAGAATACTGACAATAACACTATTAATATTTAAATCACTGGAGTACTAGCTTACAAAGAGGAATGTGGTGCAAACAAACAAACGAATCACCTGAAATACAATTTTTATTTTTGGTTCTAACAAGAATTCTAATACTCAACTTTGATTGGCCAAGCCTTTTATAAACTTGTTTAGTGATTTTACCATTCAACACCTACCCTTCAGCAAGTGAGGACGTCCATTTCAACAAGTGAGGATGTGCACATTAACAAGTGAGGATGTGCACATTAACAAGTGTGGACGTACAATGCAACAAGTGAGGACATCTATTTCAACAAGTGAGGAATTCCATTTCAACTAGTGAGGATGTGCACATTAACAAGTGTGGAAGTACATTGCAACAAGTGAGGACGTCTATTTCAACAAGTGAGGAAAACCATTTAAACAAGTGAGGATGTCCATTTCAACAAGTGAGGAATTCCATTTGTAACAAGTGAGAACGTAGCCATCAACAAGTGAGGAAGTACATGTCAACAAGTGAGGATGTCCATTTCAGCAAGCTAGGACCTGCACTTCAACAAGTGAGGACGTCCATTCAACAAGTGAGGACATCCATTTCAGCAAGTGGGAATCTCCATGTCAACAAGTGAGGATGTCCACTTCAAATAGTGAGGATGCACATTTTAAAAAGTGAGGACGAACCTTTCATCAACTGAGGACATACATTTCAATGTTTAAGTGGATACACTTCAATACATCTCAACCAGATGCATATCTAAAACAAAACGAGGACGTACAACTCAACAATCGAGAACGTCCACTTTAAACAGAAAAATGATAAATCCTCAATTCTATAAACTTTTCATATCTTCAGATGGATTTCAAAGGATTTGGGAAGGTTGAGTGTTCCTGTTCAGGGGATGAACTTCAATAAACAAGTCAATAAAAGGCCAGCTAACTCTGATTTTTTTGGTAAGCATGCTTGCGTTACTTGGTGAAAATCTAAGCTTTCTTTTCATGATTTTGTGCTCAATGTGACTGTGCTTATAATTCTACTCACAGCATTAAGAATGTTTTTGAGCTTACCAACAAAGCATGCTTACAGTTAAGATTATACTTGCCACTATTTTTAGTCACCACTGAAATTAAACTAAAATATAACTGTCTTTCCAATGATGACAGACTGATTTTAATTTCTTTTTTAAGACCCACCTCCAGTGCCGAGGATTTGTGATCGGTAGTCATTGATTGGATAGAACGTGGCCAGCAGTGGCTTGCCGTCAAACTGACGCCCGACTAGCGCCCTCTGGGCTGCCTCGCAGTCCAGGGCGTCCTCAAATTCTACAAATGCCTGAAACAGGATTTAGAAGAAGATTTTTTTCAAGAAATAATGAAAAGTATTCATAAATAATAAGTATGCCATTTACATTTCATGATGTATGGAATTTCTGTATTTGAGTGAGTACCATGATGTATCAGAGAACTTTTAATTCTAACAATAACAATTGGTATATATATGTAGAGCTATAAACAAATTATAAGTAATTTGCATTAATATTACTCCTGCTCATCAGGCCAATAAAACGGTTCTGCAGCTACCTGAGGAGTATACAGCTCAATGCAGCTATGTTGTTGAAAACGGCTAAACCACACACAATAACCATCTCGGGCCTCACAAATACCCATTTACTCCTGGGTTGAGAGAAGCAATGCGTGACGAAGTGCCTTGCCTAAGGGCACACACACCACAACCCCACAGGCGGACTCAAACCCACAATCTGCACTTTATATTTCAGGATTGGGGCTCTACCGTCCATTTTAAAGGGATAAGATATGGGGTAGATACGTGGTACCCAAGATACAGATTAGATACAGGGTACACAAGGGAAAATCAGAGGGAGCGCAAGACTTTTCCTTACCTTGTCTTTGTTTTCCTTATCCGTTGGCATGACAACCTTCCTCACTGCGCCATACTTCTCACATTCCTCTCTTAGGTCTTTAAGTATATCTGTGAACACGATAAAATAAACAATAAACTTGTATCAAACCGAAGTTATATTTAATAGAATATGTGGCGAAGAGCAACAAATTTTCTAAACACATATATGCAGCTAAAACAACCCACAAACAATTATCCTACTGCATTTTGTTGGATCGAGGATGGTAAGGGTTAGGGTGACCTCAAGTCGACCAGCGATTTGCTTGTACAGCCACAGAACCATCAGCATCAAGTAGAAAAGTAATGCTCACGACACAAAACTGAGAAATCGTGTGATTCTAGTGAAACAAGTGGCATCTCGTCACAAAATAAACGCAACCGTGCTCATGTCACCCACCAAGTGACAATGATTCCTTGGCATAGACGTGATCGTGTGACATCTTAAAAATGGCAGTGCGTACATAAATAACAATCAATTGATCTTCCAAGACCAAAATCTTTCTTAAAGCAACAATATTCTAGGATATGGAAGAACTGGGGTTCACAGACATCAAATCCGATGTAAAACATTAGTGCCTGGGCTCTGCCTTCCCAAATCTTACAAAATCTTTCAAACTTGTTCGAATTTTTTAAGGATTTTACAGGTTAGCATCAATGACCTCACCAGTGAATTCATCTGGAGTCCCATCTTCACTGGGGCTGTCCGTCACATTGACAAGTCTCAGGACCCGCGTTGGCATGAGCAGCAGGTCCTTGTAGCTGGGCTTGAGCTTGTGGGTGAAGAAGGGGTGTTGGAGGCATGCTGATGCCGTGGGTCGTACCTCAGGGTTGCACTGTAACATCCTGTAGGAAAATGCTGACTTTTTAGGATCATTTCGTTAAATATATGGGGTGAGTTGTAAACACATTTTTCTGCAAAAGGTCCCACTGTATCAGATATTAGTTGAATGATTCTGGACAGTGTCTCTGGCATCTTCCTGCTGGGGCTGGGCTGAATATACCAAATATTTGAATAGTTGATCATCAGCCAAATATCTGAAAAACATTTTTTTCGATTCAAATATTCGACAAAATGTGAGAGGTCTGAAGGAGATGGGTTTTCTGTTTGTCAAATGCCACACTATTGTTGAAAGCCAAGTTTATTGTTATTTGAGAGCTTCCATGGTGAATATTAGCTCAAATTTATTATTAAAAATCGATTAAATGTCAGCCATCGCTACTTGTTCGTTACAGGTGCCAAAAAAAAATCTTCAAATACTTTGGAAAATGAACATATTAGGGATCAAGCACAAATTATCAATATTTCGAGGTTGGGATTTTTAACAGTTATCACATCAGCTTGCAAATATAGGAAATTCCAGCGTTATGAAATGTCCGTGACAGAGCTTTAAGAGCTTAGTGAATAAACCTGAAAATGTATTTTTCAAACCTGATACATCCATCATCTAGTAATGGTCAAGGAGATTACAGACTAAGAGTTTGGGATCATTTCTCTGAATCATTAATTACACATTGTGGTTAATTGGCTCTGTCACGGACACTATATACACTTCATTTTATAATGCTGGAATTACCCACATTGGGTATTACCCCCTCTTGTAATAAGAAATTGAATAGTTTGGCAAGGGGGGATACACAACTCAAAATCATATGGGTGTGTATACAAGACTAGCTAGGCTATTTGGAATTGATTACTCACTGTATAAGAAGGTCTCTCAGGTCAGCAATGACGTCCTTGATCTTGGGAATGTGGCTGTCGATTGGCCGTTGCTTGATGACGGCTTCTATCAGGGGCTCACACTCGCACTTGAGCGTCTCACAATCCTTCTGTTCAGAGCATTTGAGAAACCAAAGTAATCAGATATCACAATCTCTTGAAAGAAACAAATAACCTACCAAACACAAGGTCCACTTTCATGGTGCTGTTTAACAGTAGAGCATAAAAGTGGTGCATTTTCTTTAAAGGTTTCCTGCACTCGGTGTCTCAGTCTTGACTTACCCGACATTGCTGGCAACCTCCAGGCGTAACGTCGCCTTGCTCGTAGAGCTTCATCCCCGTGAAGGCTCCCGCTGCGATACAGCCCACGCTCCAGGTGTCCACGGCCGAGGTGCAGGAGCGTGGCTTGTCGTGCAGCTTGCGTCCCCGCGGCGCGCTGCTGTGCTGCAAAATGAACGCGTTCCAGGTCTTGGCCTCGGGGGACTGGTAGCAGAAACTCTGAATCTGACTAAAATCCTGGTAGAATACACCCCAAAAAAGAGAAAAAAATAGGCAAGCTTAGCAAAAGTTGGTCACATAGGACACAAAGTTTTATTCAATAAGCCATTTGCGAGTTAAACTTGAATAAAATCTGGAACGCTGACTTAATCCAATGCTTTGCACGTGTTAAATTCGCATTCTCCCGACCAAAGAGACTGTTACTATAACACGTGATTCGGGGCAAGCCCAAGCTAGCAACCCCCAGCTCCGGAATGGTCTGTTGTCTTTGTGCCATTCTCACCCATTGTGAACAATGTATTGGTGCTGAGCGTCTCTTACGTAACTATGCAAGAGCTAGCCCCGAATCATGTGATTAGCAACAGTGTCCTTGGTCTGCAGAATTCATAGTTAAAATGTGCCAAGCATTCTGAGCAAGTCAGTGTACCAGATGTCTTTCAAATTTAAATCCCAAAGGGTATAGGTCACTCGCAAATGGCGTATTGATTAAGAGTAGCTGCTCACTGGAAGTCATGCATTATATACACAATATGCCAAACAGTAAAAGGCATGTCACAGTCAAAGCAGTGACTTTTGACATAAGTGGAACATGATATTTGTGTTCTTGAGCAAGGCACTTTACCCCAACTGCGTGATTACATAATCACCTGATGGCCTTCCTGGAAGCTGTGCCCAAAGTCGATGACCTTCCAGCATCCCTCCTGAGCGCACCACATGACGTTGGCGGGCTTGAGGTCCGCGTGGACCCACCCTCGGGCGTGGACGTGTTGCAGGCACTTCATGATGTCGTCCAGGAGATTCTGGATCAGATAGAGGGACAGGCAGCTGGGCTCATCTGGCTCCGTCCCGGCGGCGTTCTTGAGGTGTAGCTCCTTGAGGTTGTGTTCCAGGAGCTCAAAGAGGAGGCAGGGGTGGCCCTTGTGTGTGAAGCTGCCGAGAACAGAAGCTAAACAAAACAAAGATCAAAAGGAGTGAAGATTGATAGGAGTCCTGAGTCTGTCCGTTAAGAATCAAATCCAATTTTTTTTTTACAAAATGGGAAACGCATGAATGGAATCTAATAACTGCTTCTATGTGACATTGTAACAGAGTTAAATAAACCAAGCCAAAGCTGGAGATGAGGTCCAGTTTTCAAAAACCATAGGGTTGCGGGAAAAGGGGGAGGGGCTAAGTGGCTAGGAGGGGGGTGGGGGAGTTATTAGGTTTTGTCATTTCTTACCAATATGCCTGCTCATGTACACAGCGTCCAGATTCCGTATCTCCTTGATAAACACCAGCCTGTATTTCTCCTCCCTGCGGAAAGCCTTGATAGCCACCTGTGCACCGCCCTCGCTTGACACGGCATGGTACACCTTGGCGCAGCGGCCCATACCACGACACCTTACAATACGCCAGCTCTGCCCCATGAACGAGAGCATGTCGCCCTCGCACAGGTCCAGAAAAAGCTCCGGCGTGTTTTTCTCCATTTCCGACTGTGATTTATCGCTCGAATAATTTACATGGTTGTCTATTCATGGAGGTCAAAGTTCAACTGGCTGTTACAGTACCTTTCCAACTGGTTGTAAACTTTACGGCATTTCTGCAAAAAAAAAGATTTTAATCACAAAATAATGCACAGACACGACAATGAGACATGACAGATGCCGATGGGATCAGGCCAAATCACAGTAAAACAAGTGCATTTACACACATAAACCTGTCTCGTCTTCGAAAATCACTTCTTGTACCCAGAACTTTATCCCCCCCCCCCGCCTCCCCCCCCCCCCCTAGATTCCCGCCACTACATGTACAACCCCCCCCCCCCCCCCCGGTGGTTTTTGTACACAAATAGAAAAGTAACAACTTATCGACACGTAAATTCACCCCTTTCTAATTTATTAGAACGCCGAAAACCACTTCGATTCACGCTTTTGATGCGTACATCTTTATCATAAAATATCCTGGGAATTGCGTTTTACCACTGAACAAAAATAAGAAAAACATCGACGTTTTGGACTTACCTAACCAGCGGCGCATATCGCATACAGCTGAAATTTCCGATTGCGCCAGACAAATTTTCAATCTTTGGCCACGTGAGGGCGCTGTTTATCATCGTTGCGATTATTTAATCTTTGACGAGGAGATATTCTGGCGAGACATTACTAGTCATCCAAAAAGTAAGTTGTTTTGCTGATAAAAAAATAAATATTGTCTTTGACATGAATGAGAATATAAAGCAGTATTCATGTAGTCGAAATCGGGCCAGAAGACAAGAGAAACCTGCTGATTTTTTTTTTATCTAACCCGACTTGGACAAGACTGTGCTGTGTTTTTCGTTTTGCACACACACAATAGTCAATATATACAGTTTCCCTATGGAGGAATTAGGCGGCCTAGCTAGGCCCTACTCCCAAATGACTTTTCACCATAGGTTAATGATCAGTCATTGCAAAAAAAGTAAACGAAAAATACATATGTTTGTGCATATATGTATAATTTTGGGACAGAAATCTTGCTAATTTGTTGGAACAAAGAATAAGAGTCGACTCCCAAGCCACAGTCTTTTTTTTTTTACACAACCACAAAAAGGAAAAAAATGGCATCAAAAAAAAAAAAAAATGTGGCTTTCCTTTGCACCCTGGGTCAGTTAGTCATTCCAAATTTCCGATTTTTGAAGTGCCCCTCATTTTTTGGCGACAATCTGACAATGTCCATGGATAATGATAAACATAAATGTGTGTTTCTCCACAGTGCAATGAAACTATGTCCGAAACCAACCTCTTTGCTCCAGTAATCTCATCACACAATGTCGGCAGCAGCAGGTAGCATCGGCCGCGCCACGGTGCGCGCCATGCAAGGCCGCAAACGACTCATCCCACAGAGGGCAGCGCTGGTCTTGGTAAGTAAACTCTGCGCGATTCCGAGTGGCTCGGTCAAAAGCAATGTGAGAAATGTGCGCAACCCAAAAATGGGCGGGGCTTATGCTCAGCCAAATTTCTAACGAAGGAAACCAATAATCGAAAATGAAAAACACCCAAGTACTGTTTCTTGTTTTCTAGTCCAAAAGTGCGGTGGAGAAAATCCAAGGACTTTTGCAGGAAAAGCCAGAGGTTGTTGGCTTGCGCGTCGGAGTCAAGACGAGGGGCTGTAATGGGCTGACGTACACGCTGGACTATGCAACAGAGAAGGGGAAATTTGATGAAGAGGTGGTACAAGATGGTAAGCAGTTAAGCTGAAAATACTGGTTAGCGCATTTATGCGCCAAGCAATTAAGTACAAGGCGGCAGAGTGCCAGGTCATGTACATTACATGACGTATTGGCTGGTAACCTGTTCTTGTGAAGCAGATACTGAAGGGACATAAGTTAACATTGTTAAAGGAACTGTGTCACACAGAGAGTCGTTGCACATAGTGGTCACTGCAATATAACAGTCGTCCTTTTCTTAAGAGAAATACGACTCTTAATAGAGATACGACACGTCGCAGCGTTGCGGTGCATCGTAAGTTAAGATGAGTTTCATGAAATCAGGTACAGGGTTCATTTCTCATCTTATTTCCGTACCTTTTTTTCTCTCCAGGAGTGAGGGTCTTCGTCGACTCCAAGGCCCAACTGACGCTCCTGGGCACCGAGATGGACTACGTACAGAGCACGCTCAGTAGTGAGTTCGTCTTCAACAACCCCAACATCAAAGGCGTCTGCGGGTGCGGGGAGAGCTTTAATGTTTGATGGACTCGCAATCTGGAGGTTGTACAAAGAACTGGAGAAACGGGTGGGGAGGTTATTGCAGGAAGGGGTGGGGGTCTCGTGTGGGAAGTGCAGACAAAATCTACAAAGACTGCTCAGCCAAAAAAAGAACATGCAATTGAAAAACAAATCAATTTTATTAGGTGAAACTCAAATATAGCTCAAGGAAAACACGTCTTTGATATCTACTAGAAAAAAATATAAATATTCAGAGTTGCTTACAAATTTGCCACCGGTTAATTAAGAGACTGAACCCTTAGAATTTGGTTTCGTAAAGCACGCACAAGTGATATGAACTACTGTGTACAAAATTTAGAATCTCTAATGGTACTGTGTATTGAATAAGAAATGTACTGCCGTGATTGTAAACATTCTAAAAATGTTTCGCTTATTGCTTAGGTGCTTGCATTATAAGTATGGATAATCCACACACACAAAAATGGGTGTGAAAATTAATGAACCCTCCTGTTGTTTGATCAGTCACAGACAATCAATAATTTCTTCCACTTCTGCTATGCATTTGTGTACAGCCTAGTAAAAAAAAAACGGTCACATCATATTCGTGTAAACACTGTGACTAGTCAAATTCCATCAACAGACATAACAGGCAACTTGTAGGTACAGCTGGCATATCAATCACCTCCATCAAAGCATGGCTATATCACATTAACAAGGGATTTTTTTAACTGTCAAAAAAAGTCACTTGATTGATTTCGACTGCTGTGATGAGATACCTGATTTTGCCAGCCAGAGAAGGAGGTATTTATTACATTTCGCAATGTTTTGGAGGGGAGGAGTAATGAATTACAAAGAAATGTCGTCGTCCAGGATGATTGTGGATTTGGCAGCATTTATGAAAGTTTAATTATGGTCTTTTTTCAGTAAAAAATATAAAATCTGCGTTTTTACAAATGGCTGAAACAACTTTGGTATTTGGTCAAAATATTTAATTTTGTTTTTATTAATTTAAGATTGGCGGCATTTCAAATTTGCAAAATCCGGTTGTACAGTATTTTTAAAGATAAAAATATGTAAAGTGATTGGAATGTTGTATTTAAGAAGAAATTAAATGTTTTACTTGTTGAAAGCAAAGAAAATGTCTTATGAAGTCTGTCCTAAAACAAATTACACAAAGTTCAAGACATAAAAAGCATTTCTAGTACTAAAAGTTTATAGTATTATCTTTTGTGTTAGTAGAAACACATCGTTGGATCAGCATTTTGATTTTCAAGAGAATGTTCCACAAAATTCAAGTACAATGAACATGTGAAGATTCTTATCCACAGCAAACACTTTTTTACTAAAAATATATAAACTTCCTCTCTTCAAACATAGTTAAGTGTTCCAAAATATATTCATGTATAGTACAAACATTTACAATATAACCTCGTAGAACTATGTAAGGCACAAATACAGAAACAACAGCAAAAATAAACAGACAATTTAAATGCACTAACAATTATCAACACACCGAGAAATAACTGCATTTCAATGAAGTGAATATTACATTGTTGATGCTTTCATCTTGGTGAAAACTTGGCAAAAGAAAAACTTGAGAAAGTTGGGGGAGACTACTGGGAGGGACATTTGAATGCATTGCCCATGGGGCCTGATACCCACGCAAAGACGATACAGGTTTGTGCACAGACGGATAAAACAAGTCGTGTGTACACTTCGCACAATACGCACGCAAATCAATGCGTTCCCTATCTCCCCCCCCCCAAGTTCTCGTCAATGGTAACAAACGCCCTCTTCGTTGGTGAACGGACTCCATCACTCCTTTTGAACCTGCTTTCGGACACAATCACCTCAACATGGAGACCTCAATATATTTTTCAGCTATTTCCCGCTCAGCGTTGAATCTGGTTCGGCTGAAGACAATGTTATTCCATTCTATGACCTCGCGACGTCGGTTCCTGACCAAATCAGAGGTTTGGAAGATGGGTCCCCCAAGCTCACTCTGTGGACAAAGATGACGTTAGACAGTTTTGAGATATTGTGGACACAATACGAGGGCGCTATATGGAGTGGGTAAACTCTTGTATGGCTAGATGTATGAATCCGGGAACAGGATTACTGTACACTTAGAGGCCCCCTTCAATGGAGGAACCATTGTGCATGCTATTGTACAAAGCAACTGCCCTGTGACGGATTCATCTGAACAATAGCTAGCACAATGCTTTGGCCATTGGAAGGGGCCACCTGATAGATGTGATAACGTGTCCGGATTGGTCTATACCTGCAGTCCTTTGATCATTTCAATGGTCGCAGCGAGGAGGTAGTTAGCCTGCGTGGTGTGAATGCATAGGCAGGTGTAGTCGTCACTAGGCACAGAGTAAATGCTGTACGTCACAAGGCATGCGTCTTCCTCATGTTTTCTCCACCTATGAGGCAATGAACATTGAGAAAATGAAACAGGGCTCGAAATAGAACTCTTTTTTTTTCCTAAAAAAATTGTTAACTGGCTGATCTTTGGAAATCCCTATTTAATAAAGGACAGCAAGCCAGTCAGAATAATTTCACGGGTGTTTAGTACCAGTACGATCTACAATCAAAGTAAGCTTTTTGATAATAATTCAGCAGGTTACTTTGTGATAATTGCAAACGATCCCACATGCCTTTAACCTTTGGTGCCTGTTCTGCCCCAAACTGCCCTGCCTGTTACTCCCTGTACCGCCCCAAATCGCCCTGCCTGTTACTCCCTGCAAAGCCAAAATGCCCGAGTGCTGAATGGTTTTATAGATGCATCAACAAATAAATACAGTGTAGCACAATGTAGTACAGATGCTCAATTCAAGTTGATTCAAAAAAAAAAAATTAAATACATCTCGGAAGTTGAAGTTCTAACCTCTGGATTTTCCTCCAGGAGATGAAGTATTCCTCCTCTATCGAATCACTGCCACTTTCGCGGACCACACCCAGCAGCATGCCTCGCTGCATCAACGTAACGTTGACAGCGCTATCGGTTTTGATGTCTGGCAAAAGCCCAAACTCTTTGTGCATTCGGCAGTCTGGGAGATGTACGCTGTTGTAGCCTGGGATGCTGTGGCACAACTTGATGTATTTTGCAGCGGAGGATGGGTCCTTATTTTCTGTTCAAACGAGAAATAATAATTTGGTGAACAACCCTTGAATGTTGTTACTACAGTCAAACCCTGATAAGAAGAGAACTGTTAATACAACATCCTGCTTTTAATGAGTTAGGCCCCAAGTCTTTGCTTTTCAAGGACCTTGTTATAAAGGTGTTCGGCTGTAAAAGTATGACGGGGAACATGATGCTTGTGTTCTTGGGCAAGACACTTTACTGCAATTGCCTTGCTCCACCCAGCAGTATAAGTGGGTATAAGGGTAGAGACCAGATTATGTTGACCTCAAGCTGCTGCAGAAAGATGGTATATGGCCTGATGAATAGGAGTAATAATTAGCGCTATGTATCCTTTGGCAAAGACACTTTATAAATACCAGTTATTATGCCTGGTTATTATCTAATTTTTGGGACAGTATGTGAAGGTCGAGAATTGAAGATTTAAGTAATTTTTTGTCAAATCAAGACAATTGCCAGAAGTGGGATTTTAACCTTTAACCACTGGAATATGAAACCAGTGGTCTACCAACTGAGCTATCCAGCCCTAAGTTTGTCATCTCAAATGTTTTGTTCATTTGGTGCTACTCTACAAACTCATTTATGTGATTCAGTGGTCCTTCCCGAAGTCATTATGCTTGCAACTTATAGCAATGGTGTGAAGCTCGGAAATGGCAAACATGGGTTTTGGAGGTTTGGGGTTCCAAGCCCCTTTCAGTAAATGCTGTGGGAGTACATAGAAATGCTGCAAATGTGGGGGAATGGCTTACAAGGATTTGGAGGCTACGGGTTCGAATCCCTTTTTAGTAGTAAATGTGAAACAGCATCTACCACTTCAATCTCACCTTCTAACTCTGCTAATAACTCTTCTGATGGTTTCAATAAACCTGCAAAAAAGAAAATAAGATTTAGGTGATTTCATGAAGTATGTAGACCACTTGAAATGTGATTTTTTTTGGGAGGGGGGGGGGGGGTGTTGGGCAGTGACATCATATTAGCAACTTTCAACCATTCACAAATAAACAAATACAGATAAAGCCAAGTCATAAAATTATACCAGTGTCTCATCCCTGCCCGCTTCCTTTTCACGACTGCCATTTTTTTTGTTTTTATAGTTTATACATTTCCAATATATTTTGCCAACATAATATTGCCTTTTATTTGTTTTCAACAAAATTGTAGCTGTCATAGAAAGGACGGCTCCTTTATACACAATTTTGTAGAAACAAAAGAGTCGAGGAAAATTAATCCGCCATTTTGGAAAATCTGCTCTCTTTGGAAAAAAAAGCAGGGCCTATGATCCTTCAATTAAAAAACAAAGCCTGGAGAACTGCTATTTTTACTCAGCCTAATACTACACATACCTTCCTCAATGTAGGTTCTTGTCTGTGCATAGATGAGTTGGGTCGCGACAGGATCATTGAGGAGTTTGTTCTCTTTACTGGAATCAAAACACCACCTCTGAATTGTGAGGTCTGAAGAAAATAAATAAAAAGCAGGACAAAAAACAAATACAGCTTTAGATTTATCCTCATTTTTTTTATAGACGTGTTGGAAAAGGTACTTATAAACCAGCGAACAAATTAATTAATGAATGAGTGAATTTCACCGATTGTCAAATGAACAAACATGCAGAGATTTGAATAAAGTATTAAATAGTCCAATAACTAAGAAGTAACAAAATAGTAACAAAATTGAGGAAATTCCAAGTTAACTATAGTATAAGACTTAGTGTTTGGAAAGAATGGAGGCATCCTGACGCCACTTGTTTCTTCATATATCATCTCCGGCTTAACGTCCCATCCAAAGGACGAAGCAATAATGGCTAAGTGCCTTGCTTAAGGGCATAAGTGTCCGGGCCCGGGCAAAAATGTGGAAAAGACATGAATCTGTGCCGACCGAGAAACATTTCCAATTTTGTTAGAAAATACTTAGAAAATTGTATACACAACCGCTGCAGTGGCGTCTGGATACTACGTTCTTTCCTAGTGTTTCTCAAGAGGGGGAATCCTGATGTTTACCTTTTACATTCATTGGTACTGCGTCAATACTCCTGAACTTTTTACATGGATGAAGTAAACCTTGAAATATTCCGAAGAATTTAACGCTGCTTTGTTTTAAACCTGAAAAAGCAGTGAAACAGTAACAGAAATATTAAACTAATAATTACTACAGATGTGGTAAATATCACAATTAAGGTGGTTTTAATAAAAGTGGTCAATAACAATAAAGTTGAAAAAATGATGAACAAAAGATGCTGTAACCATGGTAACGTAAGCTTAAACAATTACCAAGTGCCTTTCCAACTGTCAAAATGAAATCTTCTGCTAAGACCGTTTCTTCTTTCACAGGAACCTATAAATTAAATGAAACAAATGAAGGTTTAATTAGTCATCGTGCTTAACGCCTCCACACATCCTCCATGAAATGAAGCATCAACAATATACAACATGATCAAAATAGTAATAGAAATTCGACATTATAAACCAAACTTTTTAAGCGCTGGACTTACCTGAGCAGAAACTGTTGAATCGTATGTTTTCACGACAACCGTAGATGCCATCTCAACACCATTAACCCCTTCCATTTTTAAGTTTCAAACAACCTTTCAAGAAGATTTTGTTCTCGCGTGCACTTTCTCCGGCCGGCTTGACAAAATTTCGGCCAGCGGGACCTCAGTCTGTCGACAAACCGTGAAAAGTTGCCTTGCACCGGACGAGAAATTACAACGAACACGCTGAATAAATCGGGTCAACCCCGGAGAACGAGGCGGATGCCAGACTATTTCACACGCTGGTAACCAATGCCAAATCGAGCGGAAAACGATCGAAACAGAAAAGCAGACTACCAATCTGCTCCAAATAATTTCACGTCGAGCCTTCAAAATGGAGTTGGAGGAGCTGGACGTGGTTCAAATTCTCATCGTTTCTGTGTTGATATTTTTGCCGCTGCTCTACGAACTGAGTAGCACATTCAAGTACTACGCCAAAATGTGGCTTTTGTACGTCATCCTGGCATTCGGATCGCTTCTCATAATCGTTTTAGGCCTGCATAGATGGCGCGATCCAGAAAATGCAAAGTGAGTAGTGTGCACAATGCATTGGTACGGTGCACAAGTTGTCGTGTGTTGTCTGTTATTTTTATTTTAAATGAGGGCGCCCTTGTTTTAAGCATGGAGTTACTAAAACATTACAACTTTCTAAAAAAAAAGTAACAAAACGATCTAGTTTTATTGTGGCTAAATAGGATTAAATCAAAATACAATGTATTGCATCAGTCATTTAAAGGGAAAATACAACATTTGCAAACATCGAAAAATAAAACTACCAAGTTTTACAAAATACCTTACTAGGATGTTGGTAAATGACAATCTAAAGCATCCTGTAAAATTATGGCACCTGGTGTGAAGTCATTTTCAAGAAAATGGTATTTTTGTATACATTTCCAACGGTGGTCGGCCGACCACCGTTGGGGAAAACCTAACTATTTTTCAACTACTGCTCCAACTTTACACTTTTTTTCAGTCCAAATTTTGTTTGCTATTGGTTACATGTTCATGAACGGGTGCAGGCCAGCTAGACTGGTTCCCTTACCTTACAATTTTCCGGCATCTATACATTGATCCATTTTATCTTTAGTGGAGTCAAGGAACCAGACTACTTGAACATTTTTGTTTTTCTTGGTTTTTCCAGCATTTTCGAACACAAAACTTCAAACATGTCAGTGTAACAATATTTGATCTATTATACTAACCCCTCAAATAGTTCATATCTGAAAATTTCAGCAAAAGCCAATGATGTACATTCCCTTTAAGTTTCCATACACATGTATGAACAACTGTGTTGTACATCGACATCATAAATTTAAATTCATTATTTTTAATCATATATATTAAATTTAACTGTATTTTTACTGTTTCATTGACTTTGTGCACTGACTTGTTACACTCCCCATTCAGACCAAGTCCAACTTGATCTAGTCTCCGGTCACAAAAAACAACATTTAATTGCATGTTGTTTTTTCCATTATGTTGGGCCTGTCCCAGCTTGCGCGATCAAGCTATGCAGGCCCAACATGGGCATAATGGGAAGCAACCTCCATATCGAGTGGAGGAATTCTATCCAAGATCAAAGTACGTATCTGCCAACCCAAGTTAGGCCTGCCAAACTTGAACGATCGAGTTCTTTGGTCCAAGCGGGGACAGGCCCAACAGATGTTGGCCTGACGACCAAGTTGGGGCGCAACACACTCGCCAAATGTTAGAGCAACAAACTATTGCTTCCTTTATGTATTGTCGATAAACGTCAACATGAACGTACAAGGATCCTATTTGTTAAATAATACCCCTCGTTTTCTTTGTAGAAAGTGCAAGTGGTGTGTACAGCACAAAGATGTTCACTCAATTCTGTGATCTTATGTATTGCAAATAACATCCTTCTACATGTAACTTCATCTTTTCTTTCCTATACAGGTTAATTTGTTGGATTCTGTCGTACACATCCAAGCTCTTTGGCATCCGCGCCGAGATCCGCGGCTCGGAATATCTACGGCACGACAAACCTTGCGTGGTGGTCGCAAACCATCAATCATCACTGGACTTATTTGGTAATAAACACAGCATGGTTACATACAGCTGCTAAAACAGAAAACTGGAATATGAGAGCAAAACTATTAGATATTCTGAATCTGATCCCTCTCCTTGCAAACAAATAATTGAAAACATTTGAAACTCATGAACACTGCAGTGTGTCAAAACAGACGAGATGTGACCTTCAAAACAGATCTCGATATTCAAAACAAACGTATTTCAAACAATCGCATATTTTGTAATCAGAAACAATCCAAATATTAAACTAAAATTAGTGCTGTTTACTTCTAAACAATACTGCTTTCTTGACCTTTAAACTTTTCTTTAAAAAAAAAATAAAAAATATCAACTTGTCAGTTTTGAACTTTTGGACTTTGAGTTTGTACAGCAAATACACAGGCTACTCCAAATCACTGGATGGATGCATGATCTTTTGTTAACTAGTTCAGGGACCTTAAACAATGTAGGCTGAACAAATGAACTCTTGAGCCTTAAACCACTGCTCTTACAAATGGATCATAGAACAAAACCTTCAGCAATATTTGACATTTTGTGTTTTCCCCTTCTGCAGGAATGTACATGAACGGTGTGTGGCCTGATAGATGCGTCCCTCTGGCAAAGAAAGAGCTTCGGATGGTTCCATTTTACGGCTGGGTGGCCTGGCTGACAGGGGCCATCTTCATCGACAGACTGAATCCAGAATGTGCCAAGGGAACGGTCGATGCCACGGTCAAGATTTTACGGGACCACAACGTAAGTAGGAATCTAGAAGTTTTCTTGGTATCTTGTTGGGTTGAAACACATTGGACCCTGCACAGGAACTTAAGCCAGTCCAGTGCATAAGTAGGAAACCAAAAACTGCTGTGGTTTCTTTCTCAGTTGGAACTTAATGGAACCTGTGCATGAGTTCCAGAGGGCGCTGTGGCCTTCTTACAATTGGAATCACTGCTTACAATTTTCCTGTGGTTTCGGCGTAGCTGTTCCATCAAATGTTGTTGATCAATAACCCATGTAGAGCAATGTTATTTATTAATTTTTTTTTCAGCTGAAACTCTGGGTTTACCCGGAAGGAACGAGAAACCATGATGCCGGCCTGCTACCGTTCAAGAAAGGTGCCTTCCACCTAGCAGTAACAGCTCAGGTAAGGACGCCCTCTGTTGTCCAAATTTAGAAATTGGCAGGCAAAAGGATAAAGTATTGTATTTTCACTGAGTTTGCTTTTTAATGATTCTTTTTTTCTTCTTCTTCTAAAGGTGCCAATATGTCCAGTTGTTTTTTCATCATACTCAGAGTTTTACAGCAAAAAAGAAAAGCGTTTTGGGACTGGTGAGTTACGATTCGTGTTTTGTCCAAAATACTTCCATATCATATCTGCATACCCTGTGCATCTCAGGTGTAAGATCTCAAGAACTGAATAATAAATTTAGGATATCCTATTTAACGACTTAAAACGTTCATACAAATTGAGGACAAATGTAAAGATATTTATCAAAATAATTTAGCAAGACTATCCACAGTTTTTGCTAATTGACAATTGTGATTTGATAAAATGGAACCATTAACTACTTAACCACACAAAAACTAAGTGTTATAGAAGGTTTTTTTTGGTTGGATTTGTTGACAGAATGAGCAATAATTTGATGAATTATTTTTGAAATGTGGATGATTTTTTTTTACCGGACAGGAAAGTTTACAATCACGATCTTGCCACCAATCATGACAGACGGCAAAACGAGCGAAGATGTCAATGAGCTGACTGAGCAAGTGCGTAAACAGATGCTGAACGTCTACAATGAGAGCTCTATGCAGAGACTAGAGAGCAACGGGGTCAACTGAGGTCATGACCTTTCACCTCCCCCACCATTTTGGTCTTGTTCCCAGTATGCTTTGTTTGTCAAGGCCTGCAGCAGGTTGGGTACCCATCTATTTTCATACCAGAAAGGATCTTGCAGGATTTTTTTGAGCAACAGCTATACTTTGGTCTGGTTACCTTCATTCGAGTTAAACATAGCCCTGTTGTAAATGCAAACATCGTTTGACTTGTGATAGGGTAAAAGACTTAACGCAATGGGAAACAGAACCATCACTGAAATACGACATGTTAATAATGGCCTTGACTCTCCACACACGATCTTGATGATGGACATGATCAACTTACGAAACAGGAATATACTTGGCTACTTTTGAATTGAAACCGAGATCCTAGAATATTGTTTTCCAGAATATACGGAATTAATAAAGCTAAAACTTCAGCAGGTGAGTTGTTGAGCACCATCTTTAGATTTTGTTGCTTCAAACCAAAAATGCACAAATGACAAATGATCTACCCTACCTTTAAATCTCAACCCCCCCCCCCAAAAAAAACCCTTTTCACCTGGAATCAAGGCTAAAGTGTCCACCCTACCTTGAAAAACTATGTGATTTCTGACAATTAAAAATTCTGTAAGTTAAACTTGCCCCTGGCACGGTGGCAGTATTTACACAGTTAGTAAGCACATTGTTCATTGTACCTAACCAAAATAAACAATGACCTCATTTGACCTGTAGATGACCTTTGACACACACAGAAGGAATACGCTATCCCAGTACCCCTTTTCTGGCTTAAACGCCAGGGGGATAAAAACTCAAAGGGAAAGTTGGAGAAGTTGAATTCACTCTCTACCACTGAATAATCTGTGTCCCAAATTATTTGTGAACCAGTGAAAGTGATTTCTACGTAGTGATTTCTACGGTCATAGTTAGTCAAAATAAAGAAGCCCCTTCGTAAAATCTAAAAACAACTCGGAGTTAAAGGGGGTAAACGAAAGTGGGGGGGGGGGGGAAGGGCATTCATACTCTATAAAAGCTCTCCTGTTGATTTTTGGCCACAAGTGATAATTGGTTTTGTTTTTTGGCAATGACAGTGGACTATATGTTTATCCTGTAATATGGAGAAAATTTGAATAAAGTTTTTTTTTGATAAAAAAGAACAAAGCATTATACAGTACTAGCTGAACACAATTTTCTTTGTATACTTTGTACAAACAATGTATGGATCATTAGAGGTAACGAGGACACTTTGTTATTGATCTGATGAAAGAGTGTAAAGGGTTCGGGTTTGAAGTTTCTTGGGTCTGGGTTAAAAAAAAGTCTACAAAGACAAAAAGAATTTGTGGCAAAATATTCTTCTATCGTGGATCAATTAACACCCATGCCTAGAAATTAAACTGTTGAGTCTGCATCTAAATTTGGAGATTAATTAATTGGTTAATTTAAAGTTTTGACAAGAATAGTAACAAGAATGGCATTTTAGTGTTCTTCTTTGAAATATTATTTGGTTTTGTTTTTTAAATATGGTTTCTCTTGATGTTCCAGCTTAAAAGCTCACACTTTTTTTTTTACTTGTGACGAGATTTCGTATCTGTATGCTGGGGGAGCCTACATAACGAGTCTTGAAATTTTTCTCGAAACATGGCAATTTGCATTTAAATAACTGTGATGATTTCAATGTCTGTTTTGTGGTCGTTTGCTCAGGGCTTTCAAGTACAAATCTTTGGGCATTTTGGTCTCACGAAATGTTTCTTTTTGCTTTAGGGATTTGTCTATGAGAAACTGTCGTTTTGTGTTTCCAGAAAAATCGAAATGGCCAGAAAAAAATTCCGCAAATTGTTGCGAGTGCACCACATTTACTGTGCATTCAGAATTCTTTTAGAATGGTCACAGTTTTTTTTGTTCTTCAAATTGTGAAAGGTCACAATAATTTGTCTTGTTTGCTAAATTGTTCATCCAGATTAGACATAGCTTTTGTAAGCCAAATTATAGTTTTATTATCATCACTTGGTGTAACTTCTAGTACATTTTGGTACTAGTTCTACTAGAAATGCAATTCTGGTAAGGTTTTGGTTCTAGTTCTAGGTCCGATTTAAGTGCTGGTTCTGAATAACAGGGGTTCTAGTTCAAATTCTAACTCAGATTTCAGATCAACTTTAACAGGGGCAAAAGGTATGCACTGTGTATAATTTCAGCAGGAATTTTCAGCTTGTATTTCAGCTGGAGTATAGTAAAAGTGTCACAAAAGCCAACTCATCAGAATTGGTGCATTATTACTGGAAAATCTTAAGCTTCATTTAGCCTCCCTACTGCTATGGTTAAAAATCTTAGGTCTAATATTGTGTTGCCAAAAACATTTTACTCATTGGTTGCCATGACTTGTATATTTTATCTCAAGTGGATGAAGTCTGAAGATTTTCTAGTTTTTCTAGACTGGTTGCCGATTGGTAATTTTTTAGAAATGTTTGTCACTGTATTTACCTTTTTCCTTTCATTCTTTTTGCCAAGGTATCCCCAAATTGGGTCAGAAATGATAGAACACAAAAAGTATGTTGCAAAATCTTTTGTCAGTAGGTAATGTGGAACCATGAAGTGCCATTGAAAGTCTTTTTTAAAAGGAAGATGATTATTTTTGGGGAGGGGTGTATCTAAATTTGTATTGTAACTTTGTAAAGCAGAACTTTGCTGTGTTAAAAACACAAATGATATGTGATGTCTGATAAGGTTTGGAATTTGTTTCAATTGTTTTTATACTTAAAACGATCATTTCTTTCATAATTTATTAAAATACACCCCAGATACAACAAAAATGTAAACTGAGTCATTTTGTGTTTAGTATTTCCATCTTTGTTAAGTACCCAGAATGCATGAATGCGATCTTTAAAGTTGAGCACTTGATTGGCAAAGCCACCAGACTATTTTGGCTCTCGTGTTCATTGCTTGCTATTGAAATATTAAAACCCTGCAACTGACAATTGTGATGACACAAACTGGCAAAGGAAAATGTGCAGAACACAAATTTTGTCTTTGTGAATTTTTAATTGAGCAGATGTCCTTGTAAAGTTTGGGTAATATTGTGTAGTATAGGACACTAAAAGGCTCTTGTGTTTTGCAAGTTCAGTTCATAAGGCCAATAAAAACCATGAGCTCTGCTTCCGGTGACCCTACCTACCCTATTTTGATGGCCCTATGCTCTAATTTTTTTTTGGGGGGGGGGGGGGGAATGACGGGGAAAAACCCCAAAATCACCAATTAGCTGTTACCTTGATTACACACAATCACCTTTATACATTCGTACACAACAAAAATTGTCAACAAAAATTTAAAAACAATCTCTACCTGCCTACCCTATTTTCAAAAGCCATGTAATCGGAAACGTGACTATTTTGTTTCTTTTTTGGCCTTAAAAAATGGTAACTGATTTTTGTAAATCAAGTATTGAAATATTTATAATGTATCAACAAATACGAACGTTATTCTCTACCAAACCCGAGGTTAGGCTGTGAATGACGATAATTAAACGTTATTTAAATAATATGATTCAACATAAGTAAATTCCTACCACTGTTGCACCACGCATTTGAACACGGTCCGATTGTGTGCCCAATTTCCGGACACAACTTCAAAGAAACAAAATGTCTGCACTTGGAACGACCTTTTAAAGGGAAATATGTTTCGAATATTCTGCTAGTACTACATGTAAACTAATTCTAGCTCGCCGACCACGGCGTTGGTTTGGTAACATAACTTGACGACATTGTGGAAACGAATTGCGCTACTAAAACTAAAAAAACAAATACCGGAAATGGGTGTGCACTGCATGCAAATTCTTGCACTGTCAATTTAGGAGCTTACCTTTCTCTGTCTAATTTCTACACCAACTCAAGTACTATTTCACGCCGCTGTGACTTTGCTGCATTCTGTATAATCCAAGCTGACGGTTGTTCATTATTCTATCTGTTGGTGTAACCGACTACAGAGCTGTTTGGTAGACCTTTTTCCGCATCGTCTCGAAACCAAACTCAAAACATGGCTAGCAGACGACAAAATGTCCTGCGCGCGCACCACAGCTAGAACAATGTGCATGCTTAATAATACATGTACTCACGTTGTAATTCTTCGGATAGTTCGAGAGGGAGTAACAATGGAGCTAATAACATGACACATTTACGTAGTTCTAACCTAAATTACAAAACGTGCGGCGCGTCGACGAGGAGCAGACGATATTTGCAGACCAACAAGTTACACTGTCACGTGATCCCAAAAGGAAACCAGTGACGTCACGATTCCAGCGAAGCCAAAGCTGAATCAATCGTTTCGAAAACGCTATAAGTTTGGCGCACATGCCGACTTGCCTGTGGATGGGCGTGTTTGTCGGGGGGGGGGGGTGAAAGGGAACAAAAATTGATCTGAAAATCAATATTAGCTACACTGCTTTTATTGTTAAACAATTGACAATACATGTAGTTGGATAAAAGCAAGGAAATGTTAATGTGGATGATATTAAGGGAATTAAACTCAATAAAACTCTAAACTTTAAACAAATTATGCTGAAAATGCAAGCTGTTCGAACATACTCAAAGGCAAATTTAAAAAGTTATTTAACTGCAGTTTTCTGCAAGTGTTTATCATTTGCAAACTCCAGCACTTTCTTCATATTTATTTTGACAATAGAATGAAGCTGTTTTTTTAAATATGAAAAAAAAATTAAGGGCTTTTGTATTACACTAACTACTGAACTACTAGTACACTCCTAAAATATTAATGTCTTGGATATAATTTTATAGAGAACAATTATTCAACATTTCCCTGCTTGATTATTGTAAGAAAAGTCGAATGTTCAAGTCTTTGAGATGAAGAGATTTGGATGACAAAACAGGGGCCATTCAAAGATTAGTTTATAATCCGAACATATATTTATGTCTTCTGAACACATCATCACTTTTATGTCAGCAATTTTGGAATTTCTAATGACTTTACCAGTGCCATAAAAATTCCCGGATATATAGGTTTTTTTTAAATTTAAAAAAAAACTCCAACTGTTTCAAGAGTAATAACAATGGTTATAATGATATTCTTTCTGTATTTTAGACGTATTTTCAAAAACACAACTCTCATAATAATAACGGGTACTTATATAGCGCATTTAACTAATATCGAAGCGTTTGACATTATTATTACCCCTGATCATTGTGCCAGTGACACATTCCACACGACTGCATATTACATTGGCACCACGCATGTACCATAAAGATTTTTTTCTCTCAACTTGTACTATTTAGGATCTGCACATACATAGAACCAAGAGTTTTTGTAATGGTAAACAGATATCTTGGATTTCTTGTAAATATTTTTATATTTTGTTAATATTATTAATTTTTTTCCTCTCTTTTATTTGTCCTTTCCAATGCTTTACAGTAACATTCAACGATATAGATTTAATAATATCATGCACTAGTTTGGCCAAAAATGACTTTTTTGAGGCAAAAATCTGTTCAAGTCTTTATGTTTAACATGTCCATATTTCTGATGCTAATATTTTCAAGGAAGTTATTATGTTCTCCTGCTGTTGCCAAGTTATGAGTAGAGATGCAAAAAGCTTCGTCACTTTCTACGTTTTGGTGATACCAAGTTGAAACTTCTGCGTTATTCTGAAATACGCATATGATTATGTGTCCATATCAAGCAACTTGCGTATAGATACCGACTGTCACACTACTGCTAACACTACACTACTGTTAATACGCATTCTGACTGTGTGATATATTAAGCACAGGACATTAACATGAAATATAGATTTTTGTTAAGTGCTGACAATTATCACGTGTTTTTTTTACTTAAGAAGTGTGACATGACAGTGTAAAACTGACTGAACAGAAAACAAGCCAATGAAAAAGTCTGTCGAAATTGAATTGCAGTCTGGCGCCCTCTGTGGACTTGGCACAAAGGGAACGACAGCCTCAGTCTGCAACTGTGCAGGGTGACAACTGTAGAGGGCGCTTTTTGGCTTGCCATTGACAGCCAAATCAAAAAAAAAATTATATGAATGCAGGGAGTTTAAACAGAAAAGTTTCTCACTTTGTGCCCTGTATTCAAACAAAGACATGGACAAACTGGGAAATTGCCAACACAGGGCTGGATAGCTCAGTTGGTAGAGCACCGGAACAGCAATCCGGAGGTCACAGGTTCAGAGCCCACTCAAATCAACGTTATATTGATTAACATTTCAAAAATGGAAATATGACAAAAAAGTAGTGACACAAGAAACAGTTCTGCATTTAGGGGAATATGATGTCATCTAAAATACAATATTAAATGCGGTTACTATAATATTCTACTGTGAAATTCTTGGTAACAGTTACTAGATTAAGAGAAAGTGCTTAGCATAGCTGCTAAGCTGGGACGAGAACAAAGCGTCAAGGCATGGAGCTGATGGCGTCCGCCAAGAACTGGTCCGGGTTCTGGATGTCGCCTAGCAACTCTGACATTGAGAAACAAAAAAGTGTAAGAAAAAGAAATGTAAGAAACATAGAATCAGATTTAAAGCTACACTTTTGACATGTTTGTGCTAGAGCTTAACCGGTAGTCTGCAACTTGTCCTGTTTAAACTTTCTAAGACTAAATTTGTATTAGAACTTTAGAAGTCTGTTTGGACCTGGAGAGAACTTAAAAAAAAAAAAAAACTGAATCCTCCCTCAAAGGAGCAAAATGTTCAAATCTTACCGGCTACATCACAGAATTCAGCAAATGATTCGCAAGGCAGACTATCAACTTCATAGCGATACAAAACCTGTTTAAATGAAAAGAACAAAAATGTAGAATTTAATGATGTCAAAACTGGAAAATTGGATAATTTTATTGTTAGGGGTGTAGCCTGTTTTTGTTTTTTTTACAAATTTCAAAACCTAGATAACATTGGAATGTGGACAAATGTCACATCAACTTCTGGACTCGAAGCACAGAAGTCCGCTATTAAAGCAGTGAAGATGTCCAACATCTCTGTCAAGGTAGAATGCCACTGGATTCTGGTCCTAAAAAACTGGCTGTGGGCTGATTTTGTTAAAATCGCCTTCTATGATTGTTTTCCTCCAAATTCATTCATTCATTCGTAACAGGCTTATTCTAAAAAAGTTCATTCATTGCGACAGACCAGCTTACCTCGTCACCTCCTTTCAGTAAGGCCTCGTCGTTGTGTCGGATGTAATGCGCCAACGAGACCGGCCAACTGGTACCCTGGTGCGGCGTAGGCGCTAGCAACTTGTCGTAGACAGAGTCTAGCAACGCAAAGAAGACCAGGGCCGGCTTGTAGACGATGTAGTCCTTGACTTGCTTGTCTGTTGACCTGAGGGGAAAAATACGACTTGTGATGACTTATGATGACTTGTGAGGACTTGTGAGGAATTATTAAGACTTATGAGGACTTATGAGGAACTGTGAGGACTTGTGGTGTTTTATTAGGACTTGTGATGACTTGTGAGGACTTGTGAATTCTTGTGAGGAGTGAGGACTTGTGAGAAGTTGTGATGATTTATGAGGACTTGTGATGACTTTTAAGTAATTATGAGGACTTGTGACGACTTGTGATGACTTGTGCATTCTTGTGAGGACTTATCAAGACTTATGAGCACTTATGAGGACCTGTGAGGACTTGTGGTGTTTTATGAGGACTTGCGATGACTTGTGAGGACTTGTGAATTCTTGTGAGGAGTGAGGACTTGTGAGGACTTGTGAGGAGTTGTGAAGACTATTGAGGACATATGAGGACGTGACTACCACGGACATTGTTATACTCACGTAGTTGCTCCCATAGGGGTAACATGTCGGACGTGTGCCGCAGCAAGCAACATCTTGAGTAACCCAACCCTTGCTTCTTTCCATTTCTCTGGGGTCAGCACAACAGGACACAGTGCGGCGTAATAAAATGGCCCGTCTATCTCAAAGCTGGCTTCTACCCATTTGGAGGGCGGGGACTTGAGGAAGGTGGATAGGTTTTTCTCCTCGCGGGACACCGAACGAGTCCTAAGAAGGGAGAAAACAAAATGAAATACAGCATCAAATCAGATTAAATCGGCCGCTGGTTTCAATTTTTGGATGTGAGAAAAATTCTTTTGAAACTGGTACTGCAAAAATGCACCTTTTGATTTATTTGAAATAGCAATATAATGCAAAGTCAGTTTTCCTCTGTGGTTCATTTCAATATTTCATTTTGTTGGTTGAGACTCACGTGTTGATGACGTAGAGCGCCATGTGAAGCATGTACGGCAGCAGGTGAATATTGCTCTGTCGCCCGCCGCCCCCGCTGTCATTACTGAAGGAACGCTCGGCGGCAAAGCGCTGCAGTAGGAGCTTGATGTCGTGGATCGTGGCATGGTAGTTGGGCTCGTGGTGGCCGGTGCACTCCTGCAGGTAGATGTTGTGTCTGCGGGGAAACAGGACAATGTCGGGTCAGACGGGAACCGATGTAGGTGGAAACAAGTTAGGATAAGCGAGAGCCTAATAGGGATATACTGAGTCTGAGAAGTCTTTGGAATTTTGGCAGCGCTACCCAGCAAATTCCAAGCATACCTCACCCTAGTTCGAAAATTTGGGACTCTCAATACTGTGTATGAGAGTTCCAAATCTTAAGGTATTGAAAACATGCAATACAAGAAAATAGACTGGCAACTGAAACAACCAGTCCAACACCCCTTCAGTACTGCATTACATCAATCAACTGTGCCAAAAGAAACATCTGGCCGGTCTGGCACTGGTCTCTATTCCTACACATTTCTCCATAGTCAGCCACCAGACTAATGAAGAGGTCAGTCTTTTCAAACAGTTGGACCATGGTTGGACATGTACCATTCTGGTCTTTGGCCCCAAATTGACATCACTTGACTTCCCTCTCAGGTGCAACATATTGAAGAAAAGTCTCCTTGCGACTTCAAACTTGGCTGGTGAAACATTGAGGACCTTGTCTTTGCCTCGTGAACATTTTGGAGAATTTTGTCAGCCAAAGAGTGAGAGACGTTGGCCTGACTTCGTTTTGCATGTTTTTCAGCACTCAAGGTCCTAGTCTGACCTTTATACACAAGCACATTAGCTTGAATACAACGCAGGTGAGGTATGCTCGGAATTTCACGGGTAGCGCTGCCAATATTGCCAAGACTACATTTGATCCATCTTGTAGACAATGCCTTCAAAGGCAACGACATCCAAATTCAGTCTTGGACCAACACTACCTCGTGGTAACAATGTGGGCGGAGCCTGAAGGAAGTCAGGGTGGGAGGTGGTTCTTTCCTTACCTTGCCAGGCAGCTAGCGAAGGCGGATTCCGGGACCTGCGGGCCCCACAGTGGCAGCAGACCATTGCACTTGGTGTTGGCGTTCTGTAACGCCGCGCTCTCCCACTCTTCTCGTCCCCGAGCATGCCTGCAATACAAGTAAAAACAGTTATAGGGTCTGTGCGTGCAAAACAGAGGGCGCTGTTATACATTTTGATTTGGTTAATATGCAATGGAAGGCCTTACAGAGACAGCACAGTGATTTAGGCTGGTTCCTGGTTCTGCAAGATTTTCCTAAGTGGTAAGGGAGGAACCAGACATTGTAGCCCTAAAACACTTAATGCAGATGTAGCCTTAGCCAAACTAAAGTCCGCTCAACGGCTTACCTAACGGCTGCCATGTGGCAGTCATAGTGCACACAGCCTTAGACTTAGCCAAACTGAAATCCATTCAATGGCTTACCTTACGGCTGCCATGTGGCAGTCGTAGTGTACAATGTTGAAGTGGGAGACGGTGCTGTAGCCCTGCGTCTTGCGAGACTTGGTTTCATACTCCTCCAGGGGGTTGCACTTCGTGAACGTGTAGATGCCCAGAACCTATGCGGGAATAAAAAGTTTGCCGTTATATTTCAATAAAAATGATTTCTGCATATACCCGCCCACTGTTCGACAAGCCACTCCCACTCCTTGTTTATCCATGATTACCTTCTGTGGTTGATACTTGTTAAACTTTTCTGAATGTCCTACTTGGAATTGTTGGGTCAGAAATCTCACACAATGCCACACCCTGCCTCGTTCGCCCCACTCACATTTTATTCAACTTTGCCCCCTACTCCTTAAGCTCCACCCACATTTCATTAAACTCCTCCCTTTTCTTCACTAGCCCCACCCACATGTCATTCAACTTCTCTCCTTCCTTCATTAGCCCCACCCACATTTCTCCGCCATTACCTTCTGTGGTTGGTACTTGTAGCCCTCCCTGCATATACAGCAAGTCAGACCAGATTCGTCCACCAGTTCCTCCATCTGTTTCAGCACAGAACGCTCGGCTGTAACTTGCCCCTTCTCGTTAGTCTGTTCAAGTAAAAAACAAACTTGAAATCTTGAGACACCTTCAGAAGCTCTGAATCATTTTCATACTGGTTAATCAACACAGAAAGCATTACAATCTTGTGGGAGCTCTCACTGCATGAGCTGACAATAGCGCCCTCAACGGTTCACGCATGTAGCCTATGGCAGGCTAAAGCTCAGGACAGTGTCCTACTCACCGACATGCCCAGTGCTCCCAGCTGCTTCTGTCTCATGGCCATAGCCAGTCTCTTCTTCTCAGCCTTGGTCTGGGCTCTCACCTCCTCGATCTGAAAGGAGAAATCGAGATTACTCTCATTGAAACCTCAACTTCTAGGTCTACTCTAAAATGGTTGACTCCCTGAGGTACCTTGGTAATGAAACCCCATTCCTAACCTCAAAATGGTCCCTTCAACCTCAGTTTTGAAGCTACCACTGAGTTCTTTTTGACTGACAGCGCGAGTTTCTTTAATATATCTGCAATCCAAATAACCACCTATTTTCCAACTTTTTGCAATATTAAGATCAAATTCTACGATGTTCTTGTCGCAAACTTCCCAACAACATCCATGAGGTTCTCAGACAGCAATCCGACTTCCTACCCTCCGAACCCTCTCTCTGCCAATATGGTTATTTTACCATGAGGTTTCCAAACCCTCAAACCCATAACCTCACATATTTTTAGAAACGTCTGGATTCAGCTTGATCGACTCCGTGAGGTTCTCAGATAGCAATCCCTCTTTGGTAACTTCAGAGTTCAGCTGGAATTACTATGAGGTTCCTAGATAGCAACCTCTCCACCCTTCCAACCCTCTGCCATTATGACGAGAGAGGGTCACGTTAAAAACCTCACCATGAGGATTACAAACCCTAGCTCAAACTCCAAACCTCACCTTTTTAGCCACCTCAGGGTTGAGCTTGATTGACTCCATGAGGTTCTCCGACAGCGATCCGATTCCTTCCTCGCTGGAAATCTGTTCCATGCGATGGATGGCCAGGATACACTCAGCACCAACCAGCAACTGAAACGAACAAAAAACATGGTTAGTTCTTAACTCATGATGGCTCACTTCTTTTCACTACAGACTTGACATGGAGCATGTGTGAGATTTACTCCTCACCAGAAGTGACCATCCTTGATTCAAATTTCATGATTTTGCTTACCCGAAATTTCTGTGCTAATGATCACCATTCTGTGCTTACAGTATAAGCAAAATAATTCAGGTCAAAGCTGTGAGCAGATAATCTTAACAATCCACCGCATGTATGCACGCTCACACGCTAATGTTCCTTTACTAAACTGTGAAATGTGCTTACTGTTAGCGCAGAAATTACAATTATGGTAAGCAGATATTCCATGCATAGTCGTTACATGTGCTTACCTGTGTAGCAGGGTGGCCTGTGCACAGTCCAGTCAGCAGTCTAAGCACATACGGCAGAGAAGGCTTAGCTAGGAACTCCTTCCATGGGGGTGACTCAAGACTAAAAAAGATTGAGCAGAAATAACTTATCAGACTAGGGAAAATGTGAATTAAAAAGGCAGTAACTTGAGGTTCACCTGGAGGTTTTGAAGGAGTAACAGGCAGGGCGGTTTGGGGCAGTACAGGGAGTAACAGGCAGGGTGGTTTGGGGCAGTACAGGGAGTAACAGGCAGGGCAGTTTGGGGCAGTACAGGGAGTAACAGGCAGGGCAGTTTGGGGCGGTACAGGGAGTGACAGGCAGGGCAGTTTGGGGCAGTACAGGGAGTAACAGGCAGGGCAGTTTGGGGCAGTACAGGGAGTAACAGGCAGGGCAGTTTGGGGCAGTACAGGGAGTAACAGGCAGGGCAGTTTGGGGCGGTACAGGGAGTGACAGGCAGGGCAGTTTGGGGCAGTACAGGGAGTAACAGGCAGGGCAGTTTGGGGCAGTACAGGGAGTAACAGGCAGGGCAGTTTGGGGCAGTACAGGGAGTAACAGGCAGGGCGGTTTGGGGCAGTACAGGGAGTAACAGGCAGGGCGGTTTGGGGCAGTACAGGGGGTAACAGGCAGGGCGGTTTGGGGCAGTACAGGGACTACTGGGCTAACAAAAAATTGAGGACACATTACTTGGATGCCTGGGGTAGGTTCCGCGTGATGAAGCCGACGGCCTTTCCCACAATGCCTTGCTGGATGATCAGATCCTTCAGCTCATTCCCGTTGGAGTTATTCTAGGAACAGAAAATGTTAAAAAGTTGTGTTATTTAAACAGTTGGACTTGTATAAAATTTGAGGTGTTTTTTTTTTACAGGCACTTTTCAATATCTCGAGATGTGAATTTAATATTGATTATAAAACTATTGGCCAGGGGAGAATACAAATTAAACAAGCGGCTACTCAAGGTTGAAACCTCGCGGTAAACCTCATGGTAAACCTCGCGGTAAACCTCATGGTAAACCTCGTGGTAAACCTCGCGTTAAACCTCAAGGTAAACCTCGTGGTAAACACTGCTGTTAACCTCAAGGTAAAGGTAAACCTCACAGTAAACTTCGTGGAAAACACTGCTTTAACATCAAGGTAAACCTTAAGGGGGTTTAACCTCAAGGTTAATCTCAAGGTTAACCTCAAGCTACATTCGCCCCTTACCTCAATTCCTGCAGCGATTGCACAGAAGCATTCTAGATGGATCTCTTCATCCTGTGTGTGGTCAGCGTCAAATCTAATCACAAAAAAAGACAACTTCCTTATAAAGGAGAAATTTCGAGAGATGGCGCCCTTTTCGGCTCAAAACACATTTCACATGAAATGATAATCATTGAAAAGTATTGAAAAAATACAGTTTCTTACTTGTCAAAGTCCAAGTAAGGCTCAAAGTGCATGACTAGGGTCGTCATCTTATCCTTGTCGCCGAAGGACAGGAACGGGATGATTCTCATCAGACCCTGGAGAACCGTGGAGTGGGAACGGACAAAGGGACTATTGATGCGGTCTAAGAGAACCACCAGTTGGCTCTTGTCGCACGCTAGGATGACCGTGGGCTTGAAGTGGTCCAGGGGCTCGTTGTTCGCCTCTTGGAGGATGACCTCCATGATGGATAGGAGTTGCTCGGTGACGGCCGTGCCGCCGCCGGAACCGGGCTCTTCGTTCTCTGCCAGCAGGACCTATAAGTAATGACATTAATAAAAATTGAATTTTAAGCCTACTTTCCTTAGCATTTTGCCTAGGTGCCTTGCTTATATGTATTGGACACCATCTGGAAACATTCAACTGCCAAAATATCATGAAATATGCTACTTGATTGTAGTAAATGATAGGATCAAGCAGCCTGTGAATCATTGCACCTGGTATGCTGTCATTTTTGACAAAAGAGGAATAACTTTCATTCCTCATGAAGATTACGACCAAACCATTGGGAAAAACAAGTTTTTCGTATCTGAAAATTACAGCAACAGCCAATTTTATATATTACCTTTGATTATCATGTTTACTTGAAGCCATAATTTACAGTTAAACGAGTCAGGGACAAACTCACGGAGTTCTGAAGCTAAACAAATCTTCCTTCTTAAATTTATGAGTTAAGCAAAAGTAGCAGAAAACCTGTCAATACAGATATACATCACATTAAACATTTTAGCTTCCAAAAAATCATGTCTGCTCTTCGCACAATAGAAGCTCTATCAGATCAATTTCGTGGAGCAGGTAAACACAGAAAAGTGCTTGGACTGAAACCACTTGCAGAAACAGCTACCTGCTTAAATACACTGTGCTGTATATTTCTATTGGCAGTTCATACATTTTCTAAGCATATTTTTCCGCTTAGCACCTCTAGGAAATCGGCGTTGGCTTATTCCGGTGACAGCTCTTACCCTGTTCAGCACGGCCAGCATGATGTTGACTGCCTGCATGGCCGGCTCAATCAGCCGCTGACGGTTGACTTTCACTTTGGTGCAGAAGCACAGTAGTTTGAGCAGGACGGTGAGTAGCTGACGCCCACGAACCAGATCAGTCAAGCAGGCAAGCCTAGAAAAAAATCACAGCAGCGTTGTAGTCAAGTCCATCACAAGTAAATCACAAGTTTATTCACAAATTCGGTCACAAATAAATCACAAGTCCACTCACAAGTTGGGTCACAAACAACAGGAGATTAACAATAACAATAATGCCTTTGTCACGGCTTCTGTTAACAGCTTGTGACTTAACTTGGGACTGGAAAACAGTAATGGACTTGTGAGGACTTGTGATGGACTCATATACGCAACTCTTAAACATCGACCAATGAAAGCAGTGCATTCTGACATGAATATGCATGACGTGTAATCGGACATGAATATGCATGACATGCAATCGTCCATGAATATGCAAGACATGTAATCATTCATACATACCTGTGCAACATGACCTCCAGTCCCTCGCATTCACTCAGCACACCAGCCATCTTGTAAGTCTCCTCATCATCAGCCTCCTCATCTGAATATTCATGAACACCGAAATGAACCAATCAAATCAGCAGACTGCCTAATGAATTCGTCCTCACTCTCATGTGAATATCCATGAGAGGAAAACCATATCCAAACAGGAGACTGCCTGCTGATGCATAATTTACCACCCCACATCTGAATATTCATGAGGTGAGGAAAACTTTATCCAATCCTAACATTTGAAAATGGTTCTAACAAATGTAATGTAAACAAATTCAATTAACTAGACTTTAGGCTTACCGCTGTTATTGTCCACCGACTCAATGATGTCTTCTGTAGCGTCGCCGAGAAGGCCACGCATGCGATAGATAATGCGCATGGGTTCACCCTACAATGATAAAATAATTTTTCCAGGTCAAATAATTTACATACGGTGTCGCTGGCAAGCAGTAACACAATGACAACAATACACAAGACAAACTAGTTTCTGATTTGAGATTGAACAAAGAAATTGACTGGAGCAGGGTTTGAACCTGCTACCTCCGGATTGCCGTTCCGGTGCTCTACCAACTAACCTATGTTAGTGGTCTCCAAATTTGTTAAATGAAAAGTTAAATATTTGAAACAGTTAAAAGGGAACAAAAAGAACGACAGTTTTTCCAGGACACAATGTGGGATTTTCATGACTAATTCTTACGCTGTTTTCCATTATATTTTCCATGTATTCCATGTATTTTCCATGATTTTTTTTTATAAAATCTAAAAATAGCAGTCACCTCATTCTCAGGGCACCATATCTTCTGGTATATGTATTTCACTGGCAGATCAAGGCTGATAATCTTGTTGTTCACCAACAGCTGTGCAATGGAAAAAAAATATCAATTATCAGTATTGGTATCGACATGAATGCAATAGGCTAAACTTTGTGACTTGCACAGAAATTTGAAATGAAATTCCATGATCTTTTCATCACTTTTTCCAGGACACACTGGCTTTCTATCAGTAGCCTTTGACGGAGATACTCCGTAGGATTGATAAGGCCGTCGAATTTCGTTTGATTCGTGATATGTCATTTCTAGAGACAATCCTTTCAAATATGTCAGGAAAATCGTGAGTTATTTGATGATGTATTTGATGTTTTCTTACCTCCATGCCCGTGTCATCTTCAAGCAGAGCTATCAACTCACAGTCTGAAAAAAAACACAAAAAAAATCTGAATGAGTACCTAAACTAACAAAAAAATCATTTTCTTAAGGGAAGGGTATTTTTTATTTTGATGTTTTAAAATTGGCCATAATTCTGAATTGGACAGCCTATATTGAAAACTATTCAAACATTGTGACAACATTTAAATGTTTTTTCACCACTCAAAAAATGGCATAAATCTGCACTGGGCTTAATTCTTAATTGGGCAGCCACCCCACCTCTGCGTTACTTATTCTTGATGTTTCTCATGAGCAGTACCTTGTATTACACTGCATTATGCACTGTTGATTCTTGATTGGGCACAGCTCTTAATTGGCATGATTCTTAATTAGGAATGCTTCTGAAATGGGCATGATTCTCAAATGGGCTTCTTCCATGGTCCCGGCTCTGAATATCTGATTCATGGCATCTCTTGCATGATTTGTAGTTGGACATGATTTTGAACTGGACATGATTTTGAACTGGGCATGGTTCTAAACTGGGCATAATTCTCAACTGGGCAGCCTACCTCTGCATATCTTATTCTTGACGTCTCTCATGAGTGGTCCCATGTCAGGTTCGTTGGAGTTGTAGGGATTGCCTTGCATGCGTCCCTGCAGGAAATCTTCCTGCTGGGGGTCCTTCTCCAAAGTCATGAAGAACACGCCCACATCATTCTCCTCCTATATAAATCAGAAAACAAAGTCTTATACAAACATCCTTATGATTTAATGGTTTCTCAAATTTCAGCTCTGAAATGTAATGTTGTCTCTCCTTTGTTTCATTGACTTACTGGGTATATGATGCTGCACAGCCTCTCAAAGATAAAGACTGGAGTACGCAGGTCGTCTAGTCCGTAGCGTTTGACGGTGTCTACGCAGACAGCCATGAACGCTTTGGTTTCGGACTCAGTGCCTACAACAAAAGAAAATATACAATCAATAAATTGATCCTTATGTGAGCAATACATTATGCTTAGAAAAATATTGCTTAGCCAATGAAGGTACTGAGCAGAAATCAGCTGAGCACCAACCACAAATAGTAGAAAAGGTATGGCACTTTGGCTGGTAACCAGTTTTCGCTAAATAGCAAATATTTTCTGCGATAAGCAAATTTCTTATAGTGGCAGCTAAACAAAATGGATTAGTTTTCCCCCCACCTGTGGTCATGTCTTCCAAGAGTTCCAGCAGCATCTGTTGTGTCTCGTCAACCAGTTTGGTTCGCTGGACTACCAGTTTGCGCAGTGCTAGGTAGCCGTTGAGAACCGGGCCAAGCAGCTTGCTCTTGTAGTGTCGACGGATGGTGTCCACCTCCAGGAAACCAGCCAGCAACTCTGAAATTTGAAAAATAAAAGGGAGAATATTTTACTTATATGCTATAATCTGTGCCTTAGAGTGTGCCTTAGTGGTTAGGGTTCGTGACTCATGATCAGAGGGTCAGGGGTTCAAATCCAGCTGCAGGTCATATGTTGTGTCCTTGGGCAAGCCACTTCACCCCACTTGCCTCTCCCCGCCCAGGATTATCAACTGGTACCGGCAATAGCTAAGGAGTAACCTGCGATGGACTACCGTCCCATCCAGGGGGAATAGAAATATTCTCAAACATTTCATGAACAGTGTCCCCAAGCAAGTTAGTTTACAGCAATTTATTTTCCGTCTTACCAGTCAGCATCTTGAGAGCATAGCCTTGAGATAAATCTGAGCTGAGAGTGGTCTCCTCCAGAGACAACAGAATGTCAATTTCCTGAAGAAAGAAGAGAAAAAATTAAGAACATGAACCAAAACTAACATTTGATGTTTGCTAATTGTGACCAATAACCCGCAGTTCATGTTTCGGACAGTATGCTCTGCCCATGATCAGGAGACATTTTACCTTTGTGATCAGCACCCCGACGTGGGGCAGCAGACCCTTGGCGGCCAGGTATAGCTTCCAGTGAGGTGCCTTGGTCAGGCGTTGGTACAGGGTCAGGAACTCAGCCGAGCTCTCGCCGCTGGGGCCGACCTCGTCTAGATAGCCAGTCAGAAGGTCTAGCATCTGCTGTCTACGACTGGAAACCTAGGGGTAGATTTGAGTGAGAGTTAGGGCTTGTTTGATTGCAGTTTTGACTATCTTTGCTTAACCCAAGAGCAGGTTCGACCAACTTCACTCAAACGCAGGATGGTTGGACTACTCTAGTCGACAATTTAGAACCGAAGTCCGGGGTACGGTTTCATCACTGGTTAGTTATAGCCGCACGGCTGGTTATTTATAGCCGCACGAACCACATTGCACGACAAGAAGACAGGATCAAGAAGTTTTGTGATGACATTTTGACCAGCGTTTGACTGGAGAAGTTGGCAAGTTGTTATCTATGTGCAGGTGTAAGTTACGTCTCGAATAAACCACTAGTCAATCAATAGTCCAAACTTTCTTTTAAGTATAATCAATCCCTAAAGCTTGCTTTCTACTTAGGGAAGAACGCAAATAAAACAATTGTTAAGTCAAAGTTGAACCCAGAGATACCCCGTATAACCCCGTAAAACCTTGAGGTAAACCTTGAGTTACCAACTGTATGATTTCACGTTCTTTCCTCACTAGGGCAGACGTCTTTTTCAATTTCTGTAAGGGTTTCTTTACCTGGCAGAGGGACTCCACGATGTTGCAGGCCACCTGACGCGCAGCCCTGGACGAGGGCGAGAACAGCACCCCTCGTAGCCAGGTGCTACCCCCGCCCAGATGGAGGTTGTCTGGGGAACGCTTGACGCCTTGCTTCCAGCGACGGGCGTACTTTTCCATCAGGTACTTGCCTCGGGTCTCCTGGTGGCTGGCTTGCTTCTCAGTATCGTCTCCTGGAATGAAAAAAAGGGGAAATTGAGAGTTGGATTGGGTAGGTGACAGCTTGGGGTGCTAAGGCATGTTGTAACCCACTCCCTGCTTAGTCAGCAACTGATGCACTAGCTGGTGACTTACTGAGGGACGTAGTGGCTAGGTACTCACTTGGGGAGCCAGTTGCAAGGTTCTCACTTGGGGGGGGGGGGTGCCTGGTGGCTAGGTACTTACTGGGGGCGCTAATGGTTAAGTACTTACATTGGGGCTAGTGATTACGAACTTGCTAGCGGTGCTAGTGACTTGATACTTACGCGCTAGTGACTGGGTACTTACTTGAGGCACTAGTAGCTACATATTTACTTGGTGCGCTAGTGGCTAGGTTCTTACTTGGGGTGCTAATGGTTAAGTGCTAACGTTGGAGGCTAAGTAGTGACCACTTCCAGCGCAAGTGGCTAGGGACTATAATCTTGAGACGCTAATCGCTAGTCACTTCGTTTGGGTGTTTGTGGCTAAGTACTAACTTTGGGTGCTATATGCTGGTACTTACCACTCCCTACTTAGCCAGTCACTAACAAACAGCTAGTGAACTACTGACGGCGCTAGTGGCTAGCTACTTGGGGCGCTAGTGGCTAGATCCAAACCTTGGGTACTAGCTTCTGGGTACTTACTTTGGGCACTAGCCGGTATTCTCTGCTTCCACATGTTGTAATCCACTCCTTGCCTGGCCAGCCACTGACGCACATTGATGTAGACATCTTGACCCTCGGGCTTCACGTTGCTCAGATGCTCAACGTTCTTCTCCTGCACACAAAAAGAAGATATATCTCATAATCAACATTGATAGTCGCAGTTTATTTGAATAACCTGTGACCTTAGTTCACACAAGAGGACTTGTGAGGACTTGTGCTGGACTTGTGAGGACTTATGATGGACTTGTGAGGACTTGTGAGTACTTGTGAGGACTTGTGAGTACTTGTGATGGAATTTTGAGGACTTGTGATGGACTTGTGAAAATTTGTGATGACTTATAAGGATTTGTGTGGACTTGTGATGGACTTTAGACAGTCTAACAAGGACTTGTGCTTGCTTGTAGTGGACATGATGGACTTGTGAGTACTGGTGAGGACTTGTGCTGGATTTGTGCTGGACTTGTGAGGACTTGTGAGGACCTGTGAAGGACCTGTGAAGGACTTGTGAGGACCTGTGAAGACTTGTGAGGAATTAAGAGGACTTGTAGGGACTTATGAGGATATTTGAGGATTGGTGAAGATTGTGAGGACTTATGAAGACATGCGAGGACTTGTGATGATTAGTGAAGCCTGATTACATTTGTTCCAAACCCACCTTGTTCTTTTTGCTTGCAGGAGCCGGGGGCTTGACGAGAAGATGCAGTATTTTCAAGCAAGGTAAGGTAATGTTCTCCATGACAACAGGGCTGTTGGTCTTCACTGCCATCAGGAAAAGCTTCATAACTATAGTAACAGATAAACAAGAAAAGGTCTTGAAACAGAAACAAATAATGTTTGCAAAGTAAAAAACGAAAGACACTAGGTACAAGATGTTGACCGCAAAGTCGAAAAAAATGCCATCTTCAAGAGAAACACTTTGTGATGCACCGTTCTCATTTTTTGATGGTTCTACACTTTTACTACAGGGTCCTGGCTTGTATTTACCGCATTTGAGTCGTTTTTCCCAGCAGGTGTCGTCCTTCTCGATGGAGTGGACCAGAAGAGCCATCTCGTTTCTCACGGCACCGGCCTGGTGAGAAAAATATATAAATAGAAAGTGTCTGAAATAACCAGTTGATGAAATGAAAAACATGAAAAAATTCAAATGCCAGAAAAAAAACATGTTCATGTTGAAGCTTATTACCTGTATTTTACTGAAAGATAGTTTATTTCTAACAATGCTCAACAGTTCAGCTGTTACTTATACCGAAGAATTAAGTAATAAGTGTACACAAAAATTCTTTGTCTTAATACGTCTGATACCATGGTGTTTTTTGCCAATTTCTACTACAGCAAAAATGTTGGAGAAATGATTTCTCTTTTAAATCACTGTACTGATAGGTGTTTTTAGAAATAAAATCCACTTTATGGTTATAACCTTTAATTATGCACAAAGTCACTTCACATAGTGTGTCCATAACTCCTAACCAACTTGTCCATCCAACATAAAATGTGAACAATTTGATTTATTACCAGTGTTGTAGTCGAGTCCATCACAAGTCCTCCAGTCTCAAGTCAACTCACAAGCTATTCAAATGAACTGTGAAAATTGTCCATCCCCTAAAACTTGTGACTGAACTTGTGATGATTTGTGATTGACTCTGCCACAACACTGACAATTACACCTACTGGAAGAGTTATCTTCACAAGTACAAGCCTACCAGGTCTGGGTTGGACTTGTAGCCATTGAGCGCGGCTGTGATGCGCGCCATCAGAATGTCGTTCAGGACGTGCGTGGCCTCGGTGTTGTCGCGGGTCAGCAGGGCCAGGAGTTGCCGCACCTCACTGCGGAAGGTTGCCGAGCCGCGGCGGAGGTTGTACTCCACCAATTCCTGGATCAATCCCTAGGAGATGAAAACAATGACATGTTCAAAGTAAATTCAACATTTGGTTTTGTCCATTTTTTTTTTAGTAAACAAACTAAAAAATTCTGTAAAGAAAGTAACCAGCAGCAGTTTTTCTGTTTTGAAAACTAAACAAACATTACGCATAGATTGTAATGAATGATATCATAACAAATGCAGGTCTGAAATTTGCCTTCATTTTTGAAAAATTAATTATCTACAGTGTACCTACATCCACAAATAATCTAAATATATTCTGTTATCTCCAATAATCAGGACTTTAACGATTTGTTGTATGAAAGTATTCACACAAGTATGGTACAATATAATAAAAACCCTCATTACATGTTTGGTTTGGGGTTCAAAGATATGAATTCACAAAGTTCTTAAAAATATAACAGGATTCAGAGGGATGCTAGCGTTTGTGACACATTATGAATGAGACGTGAGACAAACAACTGCCGATTAAAGGATGCTGGTTTCCATAGCAACAGTTACCTGGTCAGCGATGATGCGTCTGGTCTCAGCGTGGGAGGCCAACCCTCGCAGCAGCGTCACGCAGTGTTCGGTGGCGGCCGCTGCGCAACCATAGCAACGACCCTGGCTGCAATGCAGAAGAAAATATGAATAGTAGCGTGAATAAAAACTGACTGCAACAGGATTTGGACCTCTGACGTTTTAAACTCAGTGCTCAGTGGACTTAACTTGGTTGTAAGTTGTGATGGACTTGTGATGGACTTGTGATGGACTTGTGATGGACTTGTGATGGACTTGTGATGGACATGTGATGGACTTGTGATGGACTTGTGATGGACATGTGATGGACTTGTGATGGACTTGTGATGGACTTGTGATGGACTTGTGATAGACATGTGATGGACTTGTGATGGACTTGTGATGGACTTGTGATGGACTTGTGATGGACTTGTGATGGACTTGTGATGGACTTGTGATGGACTTGTGATGGACTTGTGATGGACTTGTGATGGACTTGTGATGGACTTGTGATGGACTTGTGATGGACTTGTGATGGACTTGTGATGGACTTGTGATTGACTTGTGATGAACTTGTGATAGACTTGTGATACATCGTAACTACCTCAAATTCAGCAGTGAGATTTAGTGAGGACCTACTTTCTGGGCGTGGCTTGGCAGCTTGGTATACTGACAGCCATGGTACTGGGCGACGGTGATGGGTGGGGGCTCGTCAGGGGCGTGGCTACTGGTGTCATTCCGGAGGAGGGGCTGATGGACTTCAGGGCGGCATCTCGCTGGCGACGATCGTACTCCACTAGCTCCTTACGAGATGCTAGAACTTTCTGTATTGAGAAAGACATTTCAATGTATTTGTCCTCAAACGCGTACAGGATATTTCATATTGGTATTTAAGAAAATTTCGGACAATTATTACAAATTATGTCAGATGTGTATGTAGGTTATTTTGGGGGATATTATAGAATATTTCAGATTTTGAAGGAATCAAAATGTGAAGATTAATTTTTTTACAGTTCTTAATAAGAAATTAACATATTTGTCACCGATACAAGTATGGGTGGTGTCTTACATACCTGAATGATCTTGCTGAGTTCGTCAAATGTTCCTTTGCAGTCGCCGCAGTAGCGCTGTGCCAAGTGCTGTATGGTCTTATTCACGCTGGCACTGCTGCTGCTGCTACTAGCTGCTGCACCCACACCATCCTACGAAATAAGCAAACACATGTACAGTTTAGTTAACTGACCTCCTGCTGTCTGAACAGTCACAGACAGTCACAGACACTGATCCTCTTCCCCTGCCATGCCTAATTATACACTGGAATAGTCATCAACAGTCAGATCGTATTTCTTGTAGGCACTGTGACTAGTCAAATTCCATCAACAGACAAAAGCAGGTGACTGGTAGGCACAGCTGGCTTATCAATCTCCTACAGTCAAAGCATAGCTGAATTATTGGGTTATGGGGACTTTCTGCTGTCCCCATAGCGTCTTCGGTCCCCATAACTATCACTCAACAGGTGTGTGGTGCCCAAGGTTACAGAACAAGAATATGTGGGCGGGCTGTCACCGCATTATGGGGAAGTTTTTTATTGCTAGGCAAATTAGGACCGAGTTGTGGGGACTTTCTGCTGTCCCCACAGCGTCTTCCGTCCTAATGGTATCATGGGACAACTCCTGTGTAGTCCCCAAAACTACAAAACAAGTACGTGTGCGTCTGTCAGTGTATTTACCTGTGGTTTGTCTTGTCCAGCTTCATGTACCCTGATCAGCAGGGCCTCTAAGTGAGGCTTGTGGGACACCGTTTGTGTGAGGGTCTGTCTTGGGATCTGTGTGGGGTGTCTTTGTGGGGGTGTGTGTCAGTGCGTCTGTCAGTGTATTTACCTGTGGTTTGTCTTGTCCAGCTTCATGTACCCTGATCAGCAGGGCCTCTAAGTGAGGCTTGTGAGAGACCAGTTGGCGATAGACACGGTCAGCTTTCTCCAATAAAGCACTGATTGTAGCAGTCGCCTTCAAAAAAAATAAAAGGTAAATAAAAATTGAAGTAAATTAACTCTACTTTTCCATTTTTGCTCAGGAAATTCTTGAATCCTCTAAAATCCTCCACTGTGCAGGAACACAATGGCAGGTTCTTTGTACCTACCGAGTTTCAAGTGGCATCGAGCCCCATGTAAAGTAATAGCGGCTTAGCTCTACCTTCCTCAATCCTACAAAATCCTACGATACCTGGCGGATTTGGAAGGATCTGCGATTGAAGGTTATTTTGCTCTCCCTCAAATGAAAAATAAAGAAAGAAGCTACAAAAGAAGAAAAAAAATTTAGGGGTTGCGGGGATGGAAAGATGTGAAATTTACCTTCTTCCGGTCGTCTTCGCTCTCGATTGGGTCGACGGCACAACAGGCTCTGGCTGTCAGGGTGTAGTCAAACTTGGCGTACTTGCAGAACCCGCAAGCGTTGCACAAATACGGGTCCTTCTCATCGTAGTTGATGGCTCTAAGGAAAGAAAATAGTCAAATAGGGAAACGTTCGGATGATCAAAGCTTTCCTGGGGTGTGGGGGGAAGTGGAAGGGAGGGCGGAGGGCGGGTAGCTGTCAAATAGATAGATTATGAAAGTCATGTCCACGCTAGGGGGAATTTTGATGACTTGCGATGGACTATTGAGGACTTGTGATATTGTTTAATTCTAACTTCAACTTGAAACAGAGAGGGGTCATGAACGCTAGCTCACCTGCACTTGTGGCATTGGAACACGTTCTCGCCACAGTTCCCACAGACTCCCGGGTTAGCAGGGACCGAGGCGCTGCACCGTGGGCACTGTAGGGTCTCAGCTGAGGCGGTCAGGTTGTCGTAGAAGTCCGAGTACTCGATCATGAGGTTTGCAGCCACGATGGGGAGGGGGAACTCCACTTTGAGCTCTGTCTGGCCTGCGGCTAGCTGGCACTTGCGGGCTTTGTGCCACATGGTAGGCCTGAAAAGATATCAGCAAAAGTTACACCAACAAGTATTTAATACCGTTGAGAATTCGGCAACAGGCTTCTATGGTTTATGAGGCTTCCCTATTCATGTATGTGATGTAGCATCTACACCACATGTACATTAGTCTGGCGCCACATGTGTCACGTAATTTCAAGATACATGTGTAGGGAATAAGTCAAGTCTCCATGCAAGTCCCCGATGGCCTCCCTTCTCTCCTTATAGCCATTCTTTCCTCACCATGTTGTCGCGTCAGTGCAACAAGGTCGTAACTCCATTCTGCAACAAAGTCGTATCTCGCGCGAATACGCTCTGAGCAACAAGGTTGTATCTCGACGTCCATTGACTTTGCATGTACATCCAGGTTATTTTAAACGAGATACAACCTGACGACATTCTGAAACTCGTGTTTCCCGTACGGCTCATTTTAGGAGATACGACTTTGTTGCACGGACACGACGATATGCAACAGAGACGCACATTCGCCAAACTGGGGAAAACCTTTCCCTTTTGGGTCACGGTCAAAATCTCTAACTTTTTCCTGGTGTTTTGGTGTTTTACCCAAATTTCCTGAGTGTTCCCAGACTAGAAAATTGAAAAAAAAAAACTCATTATTTTTTCAAGGTTTCCTTGATTTCCAGAGTGACTGGGAAGCCTGTTTTATTGACTGGGAAAGAAAATGCATCCTGACGCCACTTTCTCTTTTTCATCATATTTTATCTCAATGAAGGTCAGTCATTGCAAAAAATGTTGAAAAGACATGAATCTTGGACTGAGAAACATTTCCAACTCTCAACTCTCCATAGATTTTGTACACAACCAAAGAAGCGGCGTCTGAATACTACATTCTTTCACTCGACTGCTTTATTAAACTCACTTGTTTTTCAGTTCCACCACGGACTGCACGGTGCGATTGTTGTAGTAGACGTTGATGGTGCGTACCATCTTGGTGCGCTTCAGGTCACTGATGCGCAGCGAGACCTTGGCGATGGTGTGCGTGCCCACCAGCTTGACGATCTGCGAGTTGGCCGTGTAGCGCGAGTCCACCTTGAGCGTGGTCAACTTCAGGTTCTGTCAAATTTTGGAGATTTAGGAAATATCAGAGAGAATTTTCTTCCCAGGCTTATCAAAGACCAACCCCAACAATTCGTAAGTCAAGAATAATGTTCACTATCTGTAAACAAAACTGTCACCGAATAAGTAACCCTTAAAAAGTAAGTGCCTGTAGCCAGAGACATATGTAAATTTCTGCTTTATTGAGATTGAAATTAGTGACTGGACTTACAGAGAACGGAACCTCGGGGTTGTTGCAAACTAGACACGGGTCACTCTCCAGGAAGTAACCATCAAACTGCACCAGGCCGGACAGCATGCTGTGAGACACGGAAAGAGAATGTTTACAGGCTAGACATATAATCAACACAATTTTCGTGTACGTGTTCTACATAACCGCTGAGGACCGACACACAGAGGGAGAACAACAGATCCTTTCAGTCCTCGGGAGTTGGGTCTTTTGTTGGAAATGGTCCTCTGTAGTAAGTTTGTGTGCTTAGTCTACGGGAGAGTGTTATATTACAGGGACAAAGGGAAACACAAAGCATTGTCCTCGAGAGTATAGTAAAACAAGAGTGGGTGGGCCAGGTTCGATTCCATCCCAGTAGACATGTGCGTACCTGATTCCATGGATTTCAGTGGAAAACAATGTCTGTGTTTCCCCCCGACCTTCTAGAACTGAACATTTGTGGAAGATTTTTTTTCTGTGACTCGGCCAGTTTTACTATCAAAAAGACCTGAAATGTTAACTTTAATATGTAGGATGCAACAAAAGGGTATGGATTTTGATTGATAAGAGGATATTTCTGATCAGGTTTGGAGGGGGGGGTAGGGGGTGTTGGGGGGAGGGGTAGGGGTGTTAGGGGTGGGGGAAGGGGATTCCTACTTGTAGATGGTAGAGTTGGGATGGTTGCCCAGGCTTTGGTTCTGGGTCTTCAACAGCGCCGCTGCTTTCTGGACATACTGCAGGGACTGCAATGTAGAAAAGAAATAACAATAATGTTAAGACTTGTTGCTCTAAATTTGGTATCCAGAAACAGTCAGGTAAAAATGTGATGCAGTTAAAATCTGATCAAGTTTTGTGAAGTCATGGTGCGCATAATGACTGTGACGTAACAGAAATTATGCACTACATGGTAAGCACTGAAAACTCCTTGCTAAAAATTCTTTGCTAATCCGTGAGGTAGCTTTAGTGTTAGCAAACAAATTCTGGCTACGGGTGGTAAATAATGTTCATGTTTATGGTGGATTTTTGGAGCGTGACCGTTCACCTTTTGTGCGTTGTACGGCGCCTTGAGTGAGAAGTAGCCCAGGAGGTCGACAAACTGTGCCGCTTTGCGTCCGTAGCTGGAGAGCTCCGGCCACAGATCCCACATCAGTTCCAGTAACTGCTCCTGCTGGCTGAACTGGGAACTCCTGCAAAACACATTTGGACGGACATACGTTTCTGTCATACAATTTACTACAAAAAGTCTTTTTTCAGAACTAAACTTTGCGAAGACAAAGTTTTACTGGCCTTTTTTGTACGGCACTTTTTTGACGGCTCTATACCTGAGTTGTAAGATTGGATTTTAAAAACCTCGAATTTTTTCATCTGTTACTTAAAGTTTCTGACAATATATTAAAAAGTGGCATGTCAGTTCTAACTATTTCTGGATTTTCACTAATAACCCAACTCAAAAATCATCCGAAATCAACCAGGTGGTTTTGGAGGAGTTTGGAGGATTGAGACCAAATGGCACACAAGTGTCGTTTATTTTGGAGGACGCATTGTGGCACGGTCTTACACTGTTCCCAGCATTGTTTATGCTCCTGCATAATTGAAGCCGACATTAATGTACTTTTTTTATCATCTGCACTGCTTCTGGATATTACCTACACTGCCTCAATGTATTACAGCGATTGTTGGAGGATTATGCAGAACTGAGGATGCACCCTAGCCAAAAAGGCCAAGGCAGTAATAGGATTTAAGTTATTAAACAGTTAGTAAGTGATTTTTGTTTTCATTTCTTTCATTCTACTGGTTTAAATTTTTGGAATAGGTAGTTGCGTGGATTAACGGACCTGAAGATATGAAGGAGTAGTCCGTGTGCCTGCCAGCGCACCGACGTGCTATTGGACTCAAGTAGATGCTGCCGTATGAAGCGGGACAGAGTGTCGCGGCCGGCCAGGCGGTTCAGCTGGTTGATCAGGGATTGGCACAGACTGTCGTCGTGGCGTTGGGTATCCTCAGATGATTCTGAAATAAAGTCAGTGGGTTTTGACTTGTTAAAGCATTAGTCCCTGTACTGTCCCAAACCGCCCTGTATGTTACTTCCGATAGGCCATTCCGAGCACTCATTTGTTGTTCACCTATGTAGGTCCCCTTCAATGGCATAAGCACGTGCCAGAGTGCAAAGTTAAAAAAATGTGTGACCATTAATCTCAATCAAGTAATACTTTGTAACAACTGGTAGTAAACCTATTCATTGTACAGGCTTTTGAGCTACCAGTTTGGCCTGGCTTGTTGAGTACAGCTTACCAGAGCCGTGAAACTGGTACCGGTGCCTAGGGCGTAGTGGGGACTACGGAACACTAGAGCCGACGGAACACTTCATCTGGTCCTGAGGATTAGTGTTTCAGAGGACTACAGAGAAGATTGAGGATTTTTTTTTTGAAAGTTTCACTCACTGTCCCGCCTGCCTTCTGACTTGTCCGTCTTGTCTTTGCTCTTCTTGTGTTTGGAGGAGGAGGACTTGTTGCCACAGAGGGCGCAGGTCAGGAGCTGAAGGAGGAGGGGAGACACGCCCTCGTCTAGGAAGAAGCTAGCTTGCTGGAGGCTGGATAAGACAGCTGGGAGATGAAAAGATCGAAATAATTGATTTCTGTTATGACAGACACAGACTTTTAATGAAACACTTTTGGGAGGGAGTGTGGCCCAGTGGTTAGGGTTCTTGACTCATGATCAGAGGGTCAGGGGTTTGAATCCTACTGCTGACTGTAATTTATGTTGTGTCCTTGGGCAAGCCGCTTCACCCCACTTGGCTCTCTCTACCCAAGGAGTGTAAATGGGTACTGGCATTTAAATAGTTAGAAAGTAATCCGCGATGGACTTAGTCATGTCATGCCACTGAAACCCGGCCATAAACGCTGGGCTCATGGGCCATACTGGCTCACGAAAGACTTGACTTTACTTTTGAAAATGCATTGCCCATGAAATGATTATGGTTTGAAAGACCATTCAAAGTAGAATCTGACCAATCACACAATTATACCTTGAAAATAAGCCGTTTTCTTGCAACTATGGCACAAAGGGATATAGGGTCCAAAATATTGGTCCACAAATAATCAACTGTTCAATAGAAATCTTTGTATACAATTGGTATACATAATGGCAATACTCCAGTAATAGCTCACGTTAATTTAAAAGTATCTTGCACAAGTAAACTAAGGGTTTTGGCATCTTCCTCATCTAAAAAAAACTTCAGTGGAGAAGGGATGATAATAATAAACCAGTTCTTACTTTCGTCCTTGTGACAGAATTTCTGCCAGTTTAAGGTTCGGGAAGCTGCAATTTCTTGGCAAGCCTTCAGATGCTCAATCTAGAAATGAGGAAAAAATACCATGAAAAATTGGTCAAAAATCTGTGGTGTTTTTGAGTAGCCATGCACCCACACACGTTTATTGTTAAATTCGTTGGATAATTTTGGAATTTAGAAATTTAATTTTGACTTACCAGAGTTATGAGAGTGTCGTAGGGAAGCGTGATGGGCACACTGCTGGTGCCGTCAAGCTCCAGACCGTTCTGACTGCAGATGGACCTGGTTGGAGAAAACATAACACTGTCAAGGATGGTACATGGCACATGATTGGTCAATTGCAGAGTTTTCTGGCTTTGATAACCAATCAAGTGAAGGAAAATAATGGTAAAGATGTCAGTGATGGTTCACAGTACATAATTGGTCAATTGAAGAGTTTTCTGGCTTGGATGACCAATCAAATGAAAGAAGATGACGTTTAAGATTTCAGTGACAGTATATGGCACATTATTGGTCAGTTGTGGAGGGGTTTGACTGGGAGGTCCAATCAAATGATACACTTTAATCTCCAGGGTTAGTCATTTAAGAATTTTTTCTTGAAATTTACTGTCATTGAAATTGTTTCCATTAAATTTTAATTCTTACTTGATGTCTCGGAGGTGTGACTCCAGAGTGTGCAGATCGCGTAGTTGGCGATATTTGTCCTTGGAGCCACAGATGAAGAGCAGCAGTTTGCGCACCTGGCGCCTGACAAACGGTGTCTGCTGGGTCATCATGTACTACGCGGCAAAAATAAAATAAATAGAATCTGATTAACACAATGCTGAGATCTGGGGATATTTTTTTACTGTAGAGGGCAGCAAAAACACCTAACTTTTCACTGTTTGATGTCAGCTTGATGTAAACAGGAGGGTGCTATGACACTAGAGGGCAGCAGACAAGATATATCAGAGATATTTTGAATCTAGGGGGCAGCAAATGCACCCATCCTTTTAGGTTTTGTTGGGGTCAGTTTGAAACAGAGGTTACTTTGTCACTAGAGGGCAGCAGACATACTAACTGGTTTAGTTTTTCATTTGAATAGACTTGTATCAGTCCATCATTTAACCTCACATAGCCAGTTGTTCAACAGTAAAAAAAAAAAATACATTTATGCACTAAATGAAAATCTGTTAAGTTTTGCATTTCCTTAAAAATGGGAGTTCCTTGTTTAAAGTAGACTTGTATCAGTCCATCGTTTTACCTCACACAGATAGTAGAACCAGGCCTGGTCGAAGACTGGAACGCCCACGGACGGTGTTGCATCGCATATCTTCTTCATCTGCAAATGGAAGGAAATAGACAAGTCTAACTAAACAACTCCACACAAAACACAATAGACCTGATTTTGCAACGTTACATTTTAAGTGTTATTTAGAACAAAAGGAAGGATTTAGACAAGTCTTTTTGTTTGGATTAAAGAGAAGTGTACCTGGTACGGCAGACGCAAGACCATCTCGGTGAGAAGTTGAGGGTAGGCTTCAAATACATCACCAGCATGGCCCTAAGAAAAACAAAATAAAATCATTGATTAATCTTGCATTTCATCATTACTGACATCATATAATCAGGAAGATATGCCAATACTTAAGATCATTTGCGTTTGTGCAAAATTGCACCAACTCGTGGTAGTTTTAGCTTGGTGGATACTATACATTTTGAGAAAATGAAGAAAACATATGTCCAATATTTTTGGCCTCATAAACAGAATGCCATTGCGGACACACATAAAATGGGCACACTTTTGTAAACAATGAGAGCTACAATCCCGGCCAAAATGGTTGGGACACTTGGAAATAACCTTAGCCTCCAACGGTCACCAACTCCCCCGCTCCCCCGGTCAATGTTGTTCTCTCCAGCGGATGGAGCACACACCGCGCAATGAGAGACAACATTGAGCGGGGGCTGGGGGGTTGGGGGCCCAGCGAGATTTGGCCGGGATTGTAGTCCCATTGAACAATGCCACAGTTGTATCCTGCTGCATTAGGTGACCACAGACTCTGAGGCAGTTTGGCCTTGAGACTTTTGGCCTTATGATCTTGCTACACTGGTCAGACTTGTCATTTTGGCAAGTGTTGCATGCTGCTGCATTCTAGACAAAAATACGCTAGAGGGTAGGGTTTAAAGGTTTTCAATTTTAAGAAGAGTGATTTCGTTTGATACCTTGACGTATTGTCGGAGGAAGAACGGTGACATATCTGGTGGGGAGGATGTCGGGTGAGGCTTGAGAAGATTACCACTGCCTCCAGATGCATCCTAGGAAAATGAGATCGGAACATGAAATAATTGAAATTAAAAACATATTAAAAACATATTTCCCAACCCCCCCCCAAAAAAGGTACACATTGATTGTCTCCAAGATTTCAAAAGAGCTCCAAACACTTTAAAGTTGACACTAAATTCAATAGTAATTGTACATCATGAGGTTTCAACATCCTTCATTTTTGTTGTCTGTTGGAGTGATTGTTTAGTCTTGTACTTATTAGAAGTTAAGTAACACAAAGGAAATAATATTGCCCCACACGTCGGGTTTTGTTGGACTGCACCCTACAAAGTCTTAAGTAGGGGGATACCAGCACCATCTATTGTTCATGCGCAGCGTCCATAAAGAGTTATTTGTCTTTTTTCAGAGCAGGAGAGGGGTATCAAACATCCTAATTTATTTTTTATTTTGGTAGAGTTGGGTTTGAGTCTGGTTCCCTACCTCGTCTACATCTGTTTCCTTCCAGTGGTCCAGCAGGGCCTTGAGGATCAGCAGGCAGTAGTCCACAGCTCCCCAGCTGAGCAGGGCCGAGGCGGTGGCGTGGGAAATCAGGGTAGAGGACTGACATGAAGAGAAAAGAAATTGTTCTTATCGTTATTTATTTTCTGGAAATTAAACTGAGGAGTCCTCAAAACCATTGAGGAACTGTAGCTAACATCGGACCACTTGTGATCACTTACGACCCCTTGTGACCACCTGTGACCATTTGTGATCACTTGTGACCGCTTGTGACTACTTGTGACCACTTGTGACCACTTATGACCCACCTCACTGGCCGCTTTCGTTCCTGACTTCGTCCGTGACATGAAGACGCTCAGTAGCCTCATGATGATCAGCTGGACCTCGTGGAATGCCGTGCGCTCGGCCACGTCAGCGAAATCCTTGCGTCGCAGGTTGAGCTCGGCCAGCATGGTGGACAGTAGGCTGACCAGAGAGTGACGGTCTTTGTCTTCCTCGATGTCTAGGTCTGAGCTCAGCATCAGGATCACCTGGTACGGAGAGCGACATGATGACAATTGAAGAAAGCTAAATTGATTATCCGAAGTGCTATTGTTATTTGGTATTGTTCGGCTTTAACTTTCCCAATAAATAACACTGGCTCCACCCACTACACTCACCTACATGACTGGGGTGGCTTGGCCCCACCCATCACACCCACTGACATTGATGTAATTTCCCTAACCACGCCCATCAATAAGGAATGCCTGGCAGTCACGGCCCCGCCGACTGTCTTCACCCATCAGACATGAATGGGATGGCTGTTAGCCCCCATCCTTTTGCCCCTCCCATCACACCCATCTGCATGAATGGGATAGCCCTGACCCCGCCCAGTGGCCCTGCCCACCACACCAACCTGCATGAATGGAATAGCCCTGACCCCGCCCACATCCCTCAGCTCTGGCAGGTACTGCAGCAGTCTATCCAGCAGCAATAGTCGGATGGCGTGCATGCGCTGGCCGTGGTCTCGCTCGGTCTCCGTTTCCCCCTCTGGCATCTCAACACCGTCCATCAGCTGGTTGCCTAGCGAGTTGCTAGGGTGACCGCTGCTCTCGGCGCTGTCAGGACGCCTCGCTATGGGCTCGTGGACGCCGTCGCCATAGGCACTGCTGCGACCGCTCGCTGTGTAACAAAATTTGAACAAAAGGTTCTTGAACTAATTTGAAAGGTTTCTTGCAAATAAAATTTGCTTATCGGTGAAGTATTCCTCCACATTCAATTGGTTGTGTTTTCAAAGTGCATTCCGTACAAGCTCTATCTTAACCTTGAGCAAGCTTTTCTCATTAAATCAGTCGGTTCGTTTCTGGGTGATGTTCGTACGTGACTTTAAACAAATAAAACCAAGCCTGATGTGAGAGGCACGTTGGTTCACTCACCGCTGTGTTCTCCCGTGATGGAGTCGACGGCACTACCCCCGCTCTCTGACCCCCCACTCCCAGCATGCTCGGCCGGGGAGGTACGCAGGGTGGAGCCATCAGTAGCAGCATTGCTGCCCTCATCATCACTGGCAGCTGGACGAGAATGGGGAAAGAAAATGGGGAATGTGTCATAGAGGTCACAGGCTGTACCATGCATTGTTCATGTTCAGCCATGCGTAATTGAGGTCTTCATGATACTAGATATCACATGCACTGCTTGGCACTGCGTTGCTGTTGGAGCATTTTGAAGGATTGCTACAGTGGTTAACCTCCACTGATGAAATTCAAAATGTTACAGAGATTTCAATTTTACATGCTGGCAAATTTTACAAAATTTGGGGGATGGATCCTTGCAAAAAGGACTTTGGCGGTTCAAAAGGATTCATGCCTAGTTTGACAGCAAAAACTGATAGGGAAAATGTATACCCATTAAAATTTACTCACAATTGTGAGAATGTGCTATAAACATTGTTCTATATACCATGGACTAAAAACACTGCATTCTGCCTTACCTGAAGCCGTGGTGTCTGACAGCGTTCCAGCCTCCAGTGACGAGGAGCTCTGGCCCTGATGATGATGACCGGACAACCCCAGGGACTGCAGGTTTAGCCCCCCGCTTCCCCCGTCCTGCCCAGATTGGTCCTGTAAGCTCAACGCGATGGCCAGCTCCATCATGGCCTCATCGTCTGCGTCCGGTGGGATGTCCAGCATGGGGGCGAAGCCGCTGCGTCCTCCTAGGAGGGCTTCTAGGGGAAGCTGGTTGACTCCTGGAGCGGCAACGTTGCCCTCGGCGGGCTCAAGGACCATGGGTTCAGCTTGCTCCTGTGAAAAGATAATTTACTAAGTAAAGTCTGTCACGAGCCAATGTGGCCTATCTGGCCGGCTTTTATCGCAGGTTTCCTTGGCATGAAAAAACTGAGAATATTTCTATTCCCCTGGATGCCGGTAACCATTAATGATGATGCCGGTACCCATTTATACTCCTGGGTGGACAGAGGCAAGTGAGGGTGAAGTGGCTTGCCCAAGGACACAACTCATTAGCAACGGTACTGAATTGTATAACGCTGTATTTATTTCTGATGAAACCCTAAGAAATATACAGCGCTAGGGCAGTTTTGGCGGGTTAGGACAGTACAGGGAGTAACATGCAGGGCGGTTCTGGGCAATTCAAAATATAAACCTTGACAAAACTTCATATCATAAAAATTCAGAGAAGAAGGAGACAACTTACTACAACTTCATAAGAGGGTTCGTCCTGTGACGCTTCTGACACCTCCTGCACCAGGGGCATTTCCCCACCCCCCTGGGGAGCTTTGTCTTCCGCTTCTTCCTCCTCTGCAATGTTGGGGTCTGGGGGTGGGGAGCTACAACGCTGGGGGGAGGGGATGACCACCTTACGGCGTTTGTGACGAGGTCGCATGACCTTGATGAGGGCCTGCTTGGCGGCAAAGCTCACGGACTGGTCCTGGGGTTGAAGTAATTGACAAAAATAGTCAATCACATGTCTTTGACATGTCTATCTTATGTCTTTCACATGTCTATGTCATGTCTTTCACATGTCTTTAACATGTCTATCTCATAATTTTCACATGTCTATCTCATGACTTTCACATGCATATCTTATGTCTTTCATATGTCTATCTCATGTCTATCACATGTCTTTCACATGTTCATATCATGTCTTTCACATGTCTATCGCATGTCTTTCACATGTCTATCTCATGTTTTACACATGTCTATCTCATGTCTTTCACATGTCTATCTCACATCTTTCACATGTCTATCTCATGTCTATCACATGTCTTTCACATGTTCATATCATGTCTTTCACATGTCTATCGCATGTCTTTCACATGTCTATCTCATGTCTATCACATGTCTTTCACATGTTCATATCATGTCTTTCACATGTCTATCGCATGTTTTACACATGTCTATCTCATGTTTTACACATGTCTATCTCATGTCTTTCACATGTCTATCTCACATCTTTCACATGTCTATCTCATGTCTATCACATGTCTTTCACATGTTCATATCATGTCTTTCACATGTCTTTCATTCAAACCTACCTCACACATGAGTAGGCGCACATACAACTTGGTAGCCAGGGGGATGTTGTCCAAATCACCGCAGGCGAATGCATGGATTATCTCAACAAGGGCTCCTACGGTGATCTCAACGTGGGTCAGGCCTGTTGAAAAAAAGAATAAGAAGAATGTTTAGGGGCTGTATACAACAGCTTACGAAGTAATAGAAGGTTAATCTGTATGGGAGAGTGGCCTAGTGGTTAGGGTATGTGACTCATGATCAGAGGGGCAGGGATTCGAATCCAGCTGCTAGCTATATGTTGTGTCCTTGGGCAAGCCAGTTTACCCCCACTTGCCTCTCTCCACCCAGGAGTATAAATGGGTACCGGCATTAGCTGGGGAGTAACCTGCGATGGACTAGCATCCCATCCAGGGGAAGTAGATATATTCTCAGTCATTTCATGACGAGGAAATCGAAGGTAAATGCCAGCCTGGTGGGCCATGCGTATTGGCTTGTGACAGACTTTATTGTCCCATTAAATGTGGATAATATAACAAAACAATTTTTGACTGTTGTAATTAAGTTCATGTATTTTTTACAACTTTTTGGCGACCTTTCTGAGAACTCTGATTTTTGATCAATTATTGTAATTTTCAGAGATGAAATAAGTTGAAACTAGCCAACAGCAGTCAATAATTGTGAAGTATTCTGACCTGGTAAGCATGCGGGTGCCAGCATGGCGTTGGCAGGCTTGGCATTGTGCAGTCTCCAGAATGCATCCAGCATGCGAGCCAGGAAATGCTTTGATTCTTGCTCCGTCAGCTCGGTGAGTTTGCTGCCGGCTGGTTCCATGGTTGGGTCCTCCACCTCTGCCTCCAGATCCGTCACCTCAAGATCTTTATGAAGAAAACAAAAATTGGATAACATCTGATTCAGGGTGGCACTCGATCTACAGAATGCTCAAGACTTGAATTAAGAGCATGAAACATTTGAAGTTTGAAAGACTTGTCTTGTCCGACAGCAATTTTTTTGGTGAATCTAAGTACTATTTTGATCTGAAATAGGCAAAGAATTTTGTTAGTACAGGATGGATGGTTTTTGTCTTTTTAAGAGATGTAAATTTTTCTAGTTACTTTTTTTGTCTTCATCAACAATTTTAAGAGCTTTATCAGGGATGAGATTCTGAAAAAACTGAAGTCAGATATTATAAAATTCTTATTATAAAATTCAAGGAAGACGTGACACAAAGCGAAATATTAAACAAAAACATTTTTGTTTCATTTCAAAATTGTTAAAATTCATTAAATTTCATTGTCCTTTTTTTCTAAAGAAGAGTAGGAAAGTACAATGTCGGAACTCCAAAAGCCAACTTGTCAAGGTCGGAGGTTCTAAAAAGTCTGAACTGAAATTCAAAGTCGGATTTTCAAGTCCCAAAGTCGGAATTACTTTAATCCGAGTAAGGCTTTTTAAAACTAATTCAGTACGCAACTTTTGGCATAAATGCAAATGATCTTGTGTGCCTTTAGACTGATTTTACAATACCTGATTCTTTGGACGTGAATGACTCGCAGTTGTCGGCGAATCGCACCAGATTCGCCGGGCGGGCGACCGCCACTGAGCGCGCCGTCACGACCAGTCGCTGGTATGCTTCGGGATCTAGATGCTGCTTTGAATGCTGCTGTTGTTGCTCTCCTGCGGGCTGACAAGAGGGGGCGCTCTGCGCTCGGAGCTGAGGCTTCTGGGAAGTGGCCAAGCACTGGATGACACGCTGCATCTGGGCTTGATCCTGAGGTTAAAAATGGGAAATCGGTTGTTTATGTAATTTTAAAGACCAGTCTGTACTTGACTCCGATCTGAATTTGCATTACTGAAATTGAATCACAAATTATTAGCACCATAATTTGCCGTGGTTAAAAATTTGAAGAGTTTACAAAATGGGTTGCTGAGGCCAAGTCGTACTTTATGCATGCCAATGTGAGTGGCATGTAACTTTGACGTAACAAATTTAAGTAACACAATCTGGTTTGGGTTGAAATATGTCCAACTTTTGAAAAAAATTTGCAGTGTGAAGACTGACAATGACATAGCATTTGCGTTCACTCTCGTGCCGAGCATGAACTTGCCTTAAATCAGGAGTGACTAGCAGATGTCAGTTTAGAAATAATGACAGTATTAAAATGGCTGCTTTGTTGTGATGTGTTAAGAGCGGAGTCAGTATACTGGAGTGTTGAGTAGTCGTCTGTTATTCATTTACATCACATGTCCATTATGCTACAGATTGATCTACACACACACAAAGTCTAAATTCACATGCCTAAACGCTACCAATTTGTGAAAGACAGTAGAGACAACAGAACTCAGAAGGGGAGAAGTATAATGTCCGGTATTGCAAAAAGTGTTCCACAGAGAATGACTTCTTTGTCCTGACTTGCCTTGTGGTTGTGAAACGCCATGCTGGAGGGCTGAATGGTGGAGAGTAGGGACTTGGCATGAGACTGGACACTAGAGGGCGTCGGCAGGGTTAACAGCTCCGTGGCCAGGTCTTGAACGGTCTGCTTGATCGTCTCCTGATAGAAATATCCAGAGAAATCAAAATGTTATCTCTTAAATATCCAGCTGCTGGTGCTCTTAGGCAAGGAGGTTTACAACAATTGCCTTGTGTAGCTCTGTGGTCCAATGGTTACGTGTCAGACATGTGTGCTTTAGTACCTGGGTTTGACCCTGACAGGGGAACATGGTGCTTGTGTTCTTAGGCAAGACACTTTACAACAATTGCCTCTTTCCACACTTACAGGATATTTTAATGAGATGAGTACCCAACATCTGATAATGAGTATCTGTATAAGTACATCTGCCAATTTCAAGAATCAGGCTCAGTGGGACGCGAACCCACAACCTTATGCTTACAAGTGCAAATGCTTCAACCACTCGACTAATGAGTTTGCTGGGGTCAGAGGGCCGATTTCAATCCACAAAAAACCCACCAAAGTCAAGAAAAAAACAAAACCAAAAATCAACCTTGTCTTCCATGTTGACCAGGCAAACAAATCCATCCAGCACCTCCAAAGATGACGCCACCAGACGATCGAGACATGACAGGGACGTTGAGGTCGGAGCAACAATCGTTTCCGTCTCGGCCACAGGAGCGGCACTGTTTGATGTCGCCGGGAGGTTGGCTCCGGCGCTGGTGGACGGGAAGTCGTCGGGAGGGTCGTCAGGCCAGCCAAAGTTTTCCTTGGTTTTCCCGTAGACTTTGATGGAATCGACCATGGTCACGCCGGCCGGATCGACCGATGGGCCGACTGTAAGGAATAGAGAATTGTAGTCAGAAGCCATTCACAAGCTCATCACAAGCCATCACAAGCAATCACATGACAATCATAAGCAAACAAAAGGCAATCACAGACCATCACAAGTCATCACAAGTCAATCACAAGTCATCACAAATGAAACACAAGTCAATCTCAACTGAATCACAGTGCAATCACAAGTCATCACAAGTCAATCACAAGTCAATCACAAGCAATCACAAGACAATCAAAGGCCATCACAAGAGGATCACCATACACTCACAAGCCTTTACAAGCCAAATGTCAAATCATCAAAAGTCAATTGTAAGTCAAACACAAGTCATCAAAAGTCATTACATATCAATCACAAGCTGATCACAAGCTGATCAAAAGTCATCACAAGTCATCACAAGTCATCACAAGTCATCACAAGTCATTATAAGTCATCACAAGTCATCACAAGTCAATCAAAAGTCATCACAAGTCATCACAAGTCCATCACAAGTCCATCACAAGTCAATCACAAGTCATTATAAGTCATCACAGGTCATCACAAGTCAATCAAAAGTCCATCACAAGTCAATCAAAGGCCATCACAAGCAAATCACAATTAAAATGTCAGTTTGCAACCTTACCAAAGAGAGTGAATTTCTTGTCCGCAGTCAGCGACTCCTCTCTTGTGAAGGGAATATCAAACCATCGGTTGCGGGAAGAGGTCAGCTGGAATTAACACAAACAGAGAAGTTCACACAATATGAGCACAAAATGGGAGAAACAATTTCCAGCATTCCAAAAATTTGAATTTGTATTTGAATTTACTGAATTGAATACTGAACGTTGAAGTCAACTAAATAAACAATGAAACCTTTTTCGGCAAATCTGAAACTGAATCCATTATCATTCAATGAAATATCGAAAGTAAAGTAAAAATACAGCGATTCAATAATTCTTGAAGTATGAACAAACACAAATTTGAGATGAGAATTTCTTTCTCATACCTGAGTGCTTCGTCCGAAGACCACCAGGTAAGCAGGCACACGTTCTATGGACTGGGCACCGACGTGGACACGGACACCAACCATCACCATGGAAGAGTTGTTGTTGATGATCTCAATGATGAAGCCCCCAGGCTGAACAAAAGAAAAAGAGAAGCAGAAAATCGCCATTTTAATTTACTTCTTCCAAAATGTCAAAGTTAAGTTACGAGCCAACTTTAACAAGGTAAGTAATTGATTGGTGACATTTTAATGGTGATTCTAATGGTCTTTTTCGATTTGAAATTAAATCCAGGAGATACTGGTTAGTTATGTTCTTCAGCAAGATATTTACAACAATTGCAACAGGATTAATAGGGAAGTGAGGCTTTTTGTGGGACTGTGCTTCTCTTTTGTGACCTGTGTGTGGTTCTGAATAATACTTCATGTTTTAAACAGTATTTTCTGGTAATAAGAAAGAAATTTTGGGTTTTGTGTAAGCGTAGACTGGTGAATATAAGTGCAGAACTCCGTGGTAAGCAGCTTCCTGTCTGTCTGTCAAAGAGTGTACATTGACCAATCAGATCACATCTTTTAGTCATGTGACCACAATAGCTCAGTCTAAAGGTCACAAGCACTTCGACATATTTACACAAAACAAAGGTGTGCGGGCTTACGGCCAAATCAGAAATAGTCAAATTCCCAGCACTCCCAACCCCACCCCCCCCCCACTCCCCCAGTTCTTACCTTAGTGTTAGCGACATACATGCCCGTTGTGTTGAGTCGATGCTTGACCTGTTGTACGTTGTACACCTGTAGCAAATCGTTGCCGCCAAATTCCACGTCGTTCATGGGTTGGCAGTGCTCAAAGAAATCAATGGGGAAACTGACCACACCAGATGGGCGACCACCTACAAGTCAAACAATAATTACAAAGATATTGTAATGCAGAGGCTAACAGATTTTTACATAACAACAGAGGTTTGGGGTTTTCTGCAGAACAATTTTCTGACCTAAAGGGTGAGCCTATGGCAGGCTGACTGAGTCACTGACTGATTGACTGACCAAGTTTCTGAGTGTAAATAATTTCCTCTACTGAGTCCAGTTTGACTATGAGATTAACTTGTGATTAACTTGTGCCTGATTTGTGATTGATTTGTGACTGACTTGTGATTGACACGTGACTGACTTGTGACCGTCTTGTGACTGACATGTGATTGACTTGTGACTGACAGACTTGTGACTGACTTGTGACTGACTTGTGACAGACTTGTGACTGACTTGTGACAGACTTGTGACTGACATGTGACTGACTTGTGACAGACTTGTGACTGACTTGTGACTGACTTGTGACTGACTTGTGACTGACTTGTGACTGACATGTGACTGACTTGTGACTGACTTGTGACTGACTTGTGACTGACTTGTGACTGACTTGTGACTGACATGTGACTGACTTGTGACTGACTTGTGACTGACATGTGATTGACTTGTGACTGACATATGACTGACTTGTGACTGACTTGAGACTGACATGTGATTGACTTGTGACTGACTTGTGCAAAAACTTAAAGCCCTTTTCAGAGTGTTGCAGATACCCAAAGTGAGAATAAAGTAGTTTTTTCCGTAAAAAATATATCATACATATGACTGACACGAGACTGACTTGTGACTGACTTGTGACTGACATGTGATTGACTTGTGACTGACTTGTGCAAAAACTTAAAGCCCTTTTCAGAGTGTTGCAGATACCCAAAGTGAGAATAAAGTAGTTTTTTCCGTAAAAAATATATCATACAAATTGAAATTTTTTTAGGAGAAATATATCCAGCACAGTGTATGCAACTTAAAAGAAAACTTTACTTGATCCGGACTTGGTGACTTTCTTCTTGCGTATGGGTTTGAGGGCGCTGATCGCACCGGTGGCCTGGAACTGACTGGACATCCAGTAGCCTGTCTGATCCACGTTGGCCATGTAGATGCGTAGACTGCCGTCCTCACACAGCAGGATGAGGGTGGTACGGTGCTGGTCTGAGGAGGAGGAGTGGCGGATGGCTACCATGTCTTGAACCTATGTGCAAATAAACATAAGAACAATTGAAAGGAAGCTTCCAAACCAGCACATGGCGGTGTGTCTTGATGGTTAGGGTTTGTGACTCATGATCAGAGGGTTCAAATCCAGCTGCTGGCCTTGTCTTGTGTCCTTGGGCAAGCCACTTTACCACATTTGCATCTCTCCACCCAGGAGAATAAATAGGGTCCCAGTGTTAACTGGGGAGGCAACATGACCACTGGCCCTATCTTGTGTCCTTAAGTAAGCCACTTTACCACACTTACCTCTCTTCTCTCAACGATTATAAATAGGGTATCAGTATTAACTGGTGAGGCAACATAGCCACTGGCCCTATCTTAGACTTACTGGCCAAATTTCTACTAAACCTGTTAACTATGGTGACTTAAAGACCACAAATTTTCATGGGAGGGGGGACATTTTTTATGGGGGGCTATGCCGCTAGTTGTAGGCATTGCAGGATACCTCAGAAATGTATGCCTTTACCTTGTACACTAGCATGGATCTTTTAAACCTAGACATGTTCCTGTTTTCAGGGAACAGAGTCAGAATTTGTGAATTTGCCTTCCATACCTTGGCTTTGGCAGGTAGCGTCTTGATCTCTTGGATCCTGATCCGGTCTGGTTCCAGCATCAGCAGCACTGGGATGCTGGTGGTCTGAGTCAGGCAACAGACCAAGCCTGGGTGGTTGGACACTTCGCTCCATTGACATAACGCTGGCGGGTTGGCCGACTTACCGCCGCTACTACCGTTACTGTGTTCGGTGAGAAAAAAAACCAAAGTGAAAACTGTGGACTGATATAGGACAAGACTAATGCTTTTGAGGAATGGAAAACATACTGGAGTTAAATGATCAAATTCTTGTATTGAAATATGTCTTCTGTTTTGATATACTGACCTCTTCAGTGTAATTGGAAAGAGGTTCCTCAGCTCGGTCACTTGCTTGCCGATTGATGCACAGAAGGATTTGCCTGTAGAAATTGTAAAAACATTTTACAGTTTTTTAAACTTACAATTGCCTCTTGATTTTGAAAATCTATAGTCAGCGTTTTCAGGAGTGTGTCAAAATTTTAAAGTTATTGTAATAAAGTGGTCATCTTGAACAGCGCCCTCTGTTGTCAGATTACATCCTCAATATAATGTTTGCAAAAGTGGTCACCATGTACGGCGCCACCTTGTGTCATATGGTATCCAGTCACTCCTTGAACAGCACCCTCTGTTGCCAGATTATGTTCTCAAAACCACATGTCTGCAAAAGTGGTCACCATGAACAGCGCCACCTAGTGATATTTGGTGTCCAGTTCCACCTTGAACAGCGCCCTCTATTGTCAGATTATGTTTTCAACTGAGTTGAAAGAAAACTCACCGTGCGAGTAGCTGAAGAAGAGTAACTGTAGCGTGTGTGAGTAGTAGCAGGAAACTCCACCGCCAGCAACTTGGCCACCAGAATCCTAGTAGATAAAAAAAAAACTGTCAATATTTTGTCCATATTGTTTCTGGGTATTCAATGTCGCTGAGTGTGTAGTTGGAAGACCCATTCTTGGCAGAAAACAAAAAATCCACTCTTAGGTTATTGGACTCATCCATACTGATGTTCAAACAACAAAGAGGCTGTGCATAGAGGGCAGGATTTTGATTTTTTTTTAAAGGAAATTTTGGGGCAAAATGAAGATAAAACTCGAAACGAAAACAACGTTGAGTGGCTCTAGAGCTTTCCAAAAGCCTGATGTTTTTTGATTGGTCGATGAAACTTGATCTCGACCAATCGCCTACCTTCAAATCGTCGTGCTTCACTTCCAGCACATTGGTAACGTAGAACGGCCCGTGACGGGCCTCACTGGCTTCCTCCATTGGCTGGGTATACAGGTAACCGGCCGAGGACATGAGTACCAGCGTGCGGGTCCCCTCATCCGAGAAGATAAAGCAGGCGTCGCGGATCTTGCCGCTTGGGACCAGGAAGTAGAAACACGGGCTGAGGGCGTCGCGGGACAAATCATAAATCTGTGGATTCATCAAGGAATATATACAATGTCATAAAATGTCATACAATGTAATACAATGTAATACAAAGTAATACAATGTCATACAAAGTACTACAATGTAATACAATGTAATACAATATAATACAATATAATACAATGTAATACAATGTAATACAATGTCGCACAGGTGCTAATGGCTTTTAAGAAGCAACTAAAATTTTGGGCAGTTTTTGAAACCGCGGCTTTGCTTCCAGCATCAGTTTCAGTAAGTTAAGCATCCTGGAGACAAAAAATAAGGTTTCGCAAACACTTTGTGCTTGAAATATGCTCACTGGAAGTGCATGTTGTGACTGTTCTTAATCGGGATGCTGCTCCAACTTGGGCAGCCTGGGAGTACCAAGTGTTCCCATTTGGGAATGTTCGCCAACATGTAAGCGTGCTAACTTGAGAACAGCCCTCAGTTAAAAAATGGTTGTTTCTGCATCAAAAACTTAAAATTAATACAGTGTACCTATCAACCAATATAGTACATACTGGACAACAGAATTATTACCCCAGCCAGTGTGCTTAAATAAATTTTAAACAAAAATAATGCTACAATTCTTAATTTGCTGGAAAATTGTTGATTTATTAATTTTGGTGAGGAAAGTTACTTATAGTAAGCTTGATAAGATTCTGAGGTCCACTTTTTGATTCTTAAAGTATTTTTTTATTTGGAGAAATTGAAGTTCAGGGATCACCTTGACAAAGTCGGCGGTGACGATAGCCAGCTCCGTCTGTGAGCCCGGCAGCCAGATAGCCTTGATGATGAAATTACCGGCTTCTAGCTGGGGGTGAAGAACCAGGTGATCCGAGACCGTCCCTGAACTGGTGAAGGTCAAGACGTGGCAGTCCTGGTGATAAAAATAATCAGTGATCAATAATCAGTGATCAATAATCAGTGATCAATAATCAGTGATCAATAATACGAGGGAGTAGGGCCTAGTGGTTAGGGTTTGTGACTAATAATCAGAGGGTAAGGGGTTCGAATCCATCTGCTGGACATGTTGTGTCCTTGGGCAAGCCACTTCACCCCCACTTGCCTCTCCCCACCCAGGAGTATAAATGGTATCGGCATTAGTTGAGGAGTAACCTGCGATGGACTAGCATCCCATCCAGGGGGAGTAGAAATATTCTCAGTCATTTCCTACCAAGGAAACCAGAGATAAACGCCAGCCTGATGGGCCATATTGGCTGGTGACAGACTTTACCTTTTACTTAGTGATAAATAATCAATACTTTGATAATCAATCATTAATAATCAATATCAAGACATGGTGATATCAGCTTGGGATGTAGAACGAGGTGATCTGAGATGGTCCCTGAATTATTTTGCGTCAATTTCACAAACCTTGAGGCCACAGACTGCCAGGAAATCTTCATTGCTTGGGTTACCGGTGATGCTGAGTACCGTGAAGGGAACCGGTGCGGATGACAGACGCTGCGAGACAATAGCAAAATAACGAAATTCTTGATAATTAAAAAAATGTTTTCATAAACACTGTATACTCCGAGTTGCTTGGTTGGCTGGCTGGTTCGAGTCTGATATATGATGGGATTGTAGATCTTGCTTACCGTGAGTGTGAGTTTTCGTTTGCTTGAGTCGGCCTGTTTGAGTAATGCCGATAGCTGCAGGACGGTGATGCGTCCCTTCTCATGGCAGACGGCTAGATGTTGGCGTCGGCCGTGGGGGGACGCGAGGCAGCACATGGCCACGCGCCGCAGCATGTTGGCTCCGAGGAGCTGACGAATGGTCTGTCCCTGGTCGCCGGAGAAGTTGGCTCGGACGTTCTCGAAAGCACCCTCTTGTGAGCCCAGGGTCGGCACCTGCGCGTGGCGACAAAAGCGATATCACATACAACACAATTCAAAATTGTCAGAATTACATTTCATTTGTTAAAATTAATTTTATCCTTCCCAGGTGCATCACTGACTCGAGATTAAAGTTGTGATAAACTTGTTTGGACTTGTGATTGTCTGTGATTTGACTTGAGACTGACTTATGATTAATTTGTGATCAACTTTTTGATTTGTGACTTACTTGTGCTTCTGACTTGTGATTTTGACTTGTGATTTTGACTTGTGATTTTGACTTGTTTTTTTGACTTGTGATTTTGACTTGTGTTTGTGACTTGTGATTTTGACTTGTGATTTTGACTTATGATTAACTTGTGATCAACTTGATTTGACTTGAGATCGACATTACCAACTTGTGACTGTATTGTGATTTCACTTGTGACTGACTTGTCACTAACATGTGATCAACTTGTGACAGACTTGTTACAGACTTGCGACTGACTTACAACTGAGTTGTGACTACCTTCTGATTGACTTGTGACTAACTTTTGATGAGTTTGTGAGTGACTTGTGACTGACTCGATTAAACTCTGTCGGTGAGTGAGCGAGCGTGCGACAGATTCTTACCATGAGTTGCTCAGTGGACTCGGTCGTCTTGTCCAGCGAGTGTAGATCCTTCAGCGCTTGTTGGGCCCTAGTGGTGGCTCCGATGGCTGAGGTTTGGTTGCAGTGTTCTTCAATGGGGCCTAGTAGGTACTGGAGTAGTTCCATCACAGTGCACGCTGTGCTGCCATTCTCCTGTGGGTGTTTGGAAAATGAACAGGGGAAAACGAATATGGGGCATTAGATCGTGCTACGTGCTTTTCCATCTGTTCAAATCCATAAATGGTCATTGTTCCCAAAGCACATTCTATGAAGTATTTATCCAGTTTTTTCCTGCGCACTCTGGAATTCCTTTCCCATATCTTGTTTTCAAGTTGATCATAATCTGTCCCAGTAACATCAATACTTATCTTTCTACTTGAAGTAATTTGTCTTTTTCTTAGATTTCGTTTTCCATCCCTTCTTTGTGTAGCCCTAAACTTTCAGTAGTCACTCAATAGGGCCTTGTGATGAGAACTCTCATAAAAAAAAATGATTCTACCGGCATAGCAAATTTGGTCACTGAATCTTTTAGATCAGAGGTGGGGAGAGAATTGGTCAAGTTCTTACCAGGAGACTTAGTATGATGTCTTGAGACTGCATCAGCTGCTTAGCCAGCATCTGATGGAAGCGAGCAAGCTCCTCACCGCTCAGGATCTGCATCCCGCCCACCAGCCCCTCCCCAAGGATCAGCCCGCTTGGGCGGTCCGTTGGGGAGAGGGCGTTGGGGGTCGCGCTGTTGGTCTGATGTTGTTGCTGGTGCTGTCGTCGTAAGGCGCTGACCGATGCGCTGCGGGCTTTGTCGTCCGTGGAGGAGGGGACCGAGGAGAAGGGGGATGTCAGGGAGGTGTTGGACATGCTGGAGTCCAGGTTGGAGCCTGGGGTGCGCTTGACTAGGGCCTAGGAGGGGGTGGGGGTCAAAAGAAAGAGGTTATCAAAATCATATCATTGTCATATCAGTGTAAAAACATTGTATGCTATTTTTAAGTGAAAGCGACACATTTTGTAAGTTACCTGGCATGACCCGTCGTCCTTATCCCCGCAGTCACAGAAGAATGATCCGTACTTGGCGTAGGCGACTTCGTGGCCGCGATGGCAGACACGAGCGCACACGGTGCATATTCCCACACCGTCAATCATTTTACAGGTGTGACAGTGGTACCTGTCAGAAGGGCGAATCAAAACAAAAGGACTGATTTTGATAAGCAAAGAACAGAAACTGAACTCTTAGAGACATTTAGGGTCATTTGCTTTTTGTTCACGTTTCAAATAATAACTCTACTCAAACTAAAAAGAAAAAAGATTCAAAACCTAGCCTGTTGAAGTTTCATCTCAGTGGATATTACCATTTTTGATAAAACAGTGAAAAACCATACACAATCTTTCGATCACGAAACATGATTTTGTACATAGCACTCTGTATTTCCAACGATATCCTGCATATTCTGCTTTTTAACAATCTTTCAAACTACCTGTACTATCGTTTCGTGGTTAACACATTTTTTGACACCCAAGATGAAGTTAAATCTAGCGATGAATCCCTAATTTGGAAACTGGCCTACATGTTCCTCACTTGCACTCCTTGTTAAGATAAATAGCGCCCTCCTTAGTTCATGCACAGAGACAACCGCTCTTTGCTTACCAGTGTTGGCTCATGAAGTCTCTCTGGGTGATTGTGTATGTGCACAGCTTGTTACACAGCGAGTCTTCATCCTGTTGTACAAAAGACAAGTTTTAACTGTGAATATTTTTTTTTTACTTTTAGCTTCAAACCTGAATTGTATGCTCTGATTTAAAAACCTCTGGGCTTTTTAGATTTTGGAAGACGTTATCACTAGTGGGATCATTTCTCGTTTCATCTGGTTTCAAAGTTTGAGGTTTTCCATCTAGAAATGTTTACCGAGTCTTCGCCCCCAGAATCGTCCTCTTCCAGCATCATATCCTCTGCCCAGTCCGAGTCTGCTTCCTGGGTGCCTGAGTCGATGTCGTAGGCTGGGGCTAGGCTCCTGTAAGAAACGTGGTAAAACAAGCTAGTTTCATTGCCAAAAACCTCAGAGGTTTTCTATGAAAGCAAGGGTAATTCTCTGGCTCCAGTGTCACTTAGAAGGCTTAACTAAACCAGAAAAAATACAAAGTTTCGAAAGTCCAAATAATTCGGGGAGCTAAAATATCCTGAAGCCAAACCTAGTGACTACGTCGTGGTTTAAAAAAAAGGCGGGGAAACAGCGATAGGGCAGAATCAGCCGTTTTTCGCCAATTTGACTACTGCTTTTTTAATGAAGGCTTTTAGGATCATTTGACATCAATTGTACAAACTTTGGACAGATTTTATAAGCAAAACTATATTATCCTGCACGAAAACACCAATGGATTATGAAGAGGGAGGGATAGATAATGTGGGACATGACTCACTTGTCGCCAGACTGTTTGAGAGCTCCCAGTACGCTGGCGATGTAGGAGAGAAGGTAGCAGGAAGCTTCCATCACATTCTGGTGCTGTGGGGGGATCGGACGAACAATCAAATAACAATGTCACAAAAAACAGATTGGAAACAATTACTTAAACTCCTTTCTCTCATATAAGTAACTATACAGGCCAACCAAAAGTAGACCAAAATCTGAAAATGAAATTCCTTGACTTTCCAGGAAAAAAAGTTAAAGCTTTCCATGACCAATTCCTACACTGTTTTGGCATCTTAGGAGAATATTTACAATACCCTGGCCAGTCATCACACTGAAGCAAGGGACGCCGACACCTTTCAGCCTTCCGGTTTGACACAAGACCCCAAATGACCCCCACATTAATTTGATTACGAAAACTATACCATCAAATTCAGAGCATTTCACTGATTTTTTTCTCTTGCATTTCAGAGCTAATTTGTAGCTTACAGTAAGAGATTTCAAATTTAACCGAGAAGTCAGGAAAAGTTTTGAAACCCGCGGTCCGACAGTAGAACAAACAGATACTCACCTTTCCTTCTGGAGACTCCGAAGACAGCTTCTCTGCAACGTCTTTGTGCGATAAATACTTCTTGCTGCAATCCAAACAAAAATGAAATTCAAATAAATTACTGATAAATCAACACAATTCTATAAAGTAAAGATAAAGGAGAACAACTTATTGGGCAAATTCAAACAGATAATGTCACAGATTTGTCTCTCAGAGAACAAACGAATTGGATTTTCAAATGAACCACAACAGGAAACTGACTAGGTGAATTACAACAATATTTTGAAAAGTTGAACAAAGAAATTGACTGGAGCGAGGCTTGAACCTGCGACCTCCAGATTACGTTCCAGAGCTCTACTTGGAAAAAACAAGCTGTTTACTCTCTGGGTGATCCCAGTTTGCTATTTGCCAGGTCTGTATCGTGACATATGGCATAATGGTTTATGGCTTCTGACTAGCGCCCCTTGAACAAAGATACTGACAAATTGGGAGACTGCTAATATAGGGCTGGATAGCTCAGTTGGTAGAGCACCAGAACGGCAATCCGGAGGTTCCAGGTTCCGACTTACCAGACGACGAGCCACTCGTTGGCAGCTCGGAACAACTCGACGTGGCCCATGCCTGAGCCGGCCCCAGCAAGCATGACCATGACGGGCATGAGCTCGGAGAACCCCAGGCTGTCGCCGGCCCCTGATAGAAGCTGGCTGCCCATCGGGATCAGGGCCTTCAGGAGGGCTGTGGCAACGTCTTCTCCGACAAGACTAAAGTATGGAAACAAAAATAATGTTTTTCTTATTTTTATTTTATACTTTGGGCAGGGGTATTGCCAGACCGATTTGTATGGGGGTGGGAATTGACCAAATTGGGAACAGAGGCTGGAGGGGTAGTACATCGTCTGCCACCAGGGGGCACTGTTCACAGTCGCATTTGCGTTCATGGTGGCCTTTTTGGGAAACTGTATTTATAAACATCAGCGAAGTATTCATTTAGACGAATCTGGCGACACTTTCGAACATGTGAGAGTGCCCAACCATTCCAATCAGCATAGTTCATAGGGGAAAAAATTAAGGATTTCTGACCTTACTGTTGAAAACTGGTTACCACAAAACTTACACAGCTAGTAAGCAGGCATACACGTGGAGAAGCTGTGCTTTCAACAAATGATCCAAAAGCAGTAAAATGTTTTTGAAAAACTGCTTAGCTGAATGCCCCCCTTTCTACTTCATTTACCCCGCCCACCTTTTCTCTTTGACAATGTCTGAGGTCAAGCTCTGCAGCAAGATGTGGTGCTCTTGAACCCCCCCCCCAAAAAAACCCCATATCCCCACCCACTTTTTATCTTTGATGCTATAAGACTCCATGGCCCAATTTCACGGCGCTGCTAAGCACAAAAATTTGCTTAGCACAAAAATTTGCTTAGCACAAAAAAGTCTGGCTTATAGAAGAAGGTTATCAGCCAAAAAGTCCATGCTATTTTCATGCTAAGCAAACAACAGCTGAATACTAATCAGGAGCAATATACATCACGTGGAGTTTTGGCTGGTAACCTGTCTTTATAAGCCAGACTTTCTTTTGTGCTAAGCAAATTTTTGTGCTTAGCAGCGCCGTGAAATTGGCCCCATATCTTCCCCCTCCCTTTACAAGCCTTATTTCCCCGCCCACCTTTTCTCCTTGACGATGTGCGAGGTCAGGCTCTGCAGCAAGATGCGATGCTCTTGACCTTTGACCCCCGGGTGACTGTCCTGTATGATGCGTGCCAGCCAGCCCTGCAGGGAGTCTGAATCCACCAGGGAGAGGCGGGTCAGTGTGGCGCACAGTCTGTCCAGGGATTTGTCACCAGGTGTGTCCTCCGCTGTGTAGAGAGGGTGGGGAAAATTAGCTGGCTGATTCAAATATGAATGGCAATTGAATAATGAGTTAAAGAATTTAACACATCAAATGACTTTGTCAGAAATTATTTGAAGACAACAAATTAAATATATACAATTAGAATCAAAAATTCAAAAAATGATGATTTTTGTTACCAAGTTGTAAGAGTCGATTGAAGAACTTGAGAACCCTGATGCCGTACTCAGCGGACAGATGTTCATTGGCCGACGACAGCAACACTTTCACCAGATCTAACAATTAAAAAAAATAATGATTGAGGAATACTGTGAATACAGATGACATGCTCCAATGTTTGCTTTTGCCCACGAAATTGTAGTTTCTGAAAGGAAAATCTAGCGGGACATGGTTGACTTTACTTGTGATTGACCTGTGATAAACTTGTGATTGACATGTGATTGACTTGTGACTGTCATGTGACTGACTTGTGATTGACATGTGACTGCCTTGTGATTGACATGTGACTGTCTTGTGATTGACTTGTGTTTGACTATTGACTGACTGTGATTAAATAATGATTGCCTTGTGACTGACTAGTGACTGCCTTGTGATTGACATGTGATTGACTTGTGACTGACATGTGTCTGCCTTGTGATTGACATGTGACTGCCTTGTGACTGGCTTGTGACTGACATGTTTCTGCCTTGTGATTGACTAGTTACTGACTACTGACTGCCTTGTGATTGACTAGTGACTGCCTTGTGATTGACTTATGACTGCCTTGTGACTGACTTATGACTGCCTTGTGATTGACTTATGACTGCCTTGTGACTGACTTATGACTGCCTTGTGATTGACTTATGACTGCCTTGTGATAGACTTATGACTGCCTTTTGATTGACTTATGACTGCCTTGTGATTGACTTATGACTGCCTTGTGATTGACTTATGACTGCCTTGTGATAGACGTATGACTGCCTTGTGATTGACTTATGACTGCCTTGTGATAGATTTATGACTGCCTTGTGATCAGATACCTGATTCTTCAGTGTAGAAGACCTCCAATGCTTTCTTGGCCGGTCCTTTCTCCAACTCTGACTCTAATGACTGGATGGCGTCTCGGAAAACCGCCTCCTCCAACCCACTGCAAATGAATAAACTGGAATAAGTAGTCTTCAAAGACATATGAAATGATTGCAACTTTTTATTAGAAGAGTTTAAAGTGAAGGTCAACGTAGCAATGGAGATCAAGTTTATAATGACAATTTGGCTTAAAGAAAGATTCTGCCATGATTGAAATATTAAGCATTCTGACTGTTTATGATTTATGATGACAAGGGATATTTGGGTCAGTCTGTATTGTTTTATTCCTAAATGGCTCCATTTTCATTCGAAAAAAATGTGTTTATTTGGTTTATTTGACAAGTAAATATGGTGTTACTACTCCACTGTGATTTTACAAAGTTTGCAAGAGAATTTTATTAATGTAAATCTAAATACGAGCATGTAAGAAGACTACCATTTCCCTGGTTGCCATGTGTTATGCTGTTCATCCATTACAAATGACAGCACATACCAGGGAAGGCTGGGTTTTCCAAAACTGGATTAGGCTGGTATCCAGTCTTACTTAAATTCCTAGACTTTGAGTAAAAACCAGTCTGAACCAGTCTGAACCAGGTGCCTCCCCCCTCCCCACCCCAAGGAGACAAGGTAAGGTGTTGAAACTCCAAGACATAGGATATGAACTTGCTTACCTCTGTGGCGAGGCGTGCTTAGTGATCAGCTCATGACAAACCGAGATCAGACATAGGTGAAGCTTGTGGATAAACTCCTCGCTTTCGTTTCCACCGAGAAGTCGCTCCACGGGAACATAGGTCTGACAAATTATGAAAAAGGTAGAACAATTTTTTTTGATTATGCCGAGAAATTGAATTGTGAATACATACTCATATTCCCAAACCAATTGCAAAGATAACTTTTTTAAAACATGCGGAAAGACTCAAAGCTCCAGCTTTGTTTCAAAGGACTTTACGTTCCTAAAGCACACTGACCCATTCTGAAACCAAGTTTCCAATATCAGTTTCTTATTAAAATTGTGAATCTGGAGCCCAAAGCCGAAACTGGTGACAAAGCCGTGGTTTGGGAAATGGCCAGGCTGAATCCAAGGGTGTTTTTGAAACCTTGGCTCCACTGCTGACTTAGGCTCCAAGAGGGGACTCCAACTCAAGAACTGGCCAACACTCTGCTTCAGAAGCATCGAGAACCGTTTTGTGCGACCCATGTTCAGACGTTCCACTTTCTGTGGATATTACAGCCTTCTAAAGAATTCTGAAATGGACGAAGCCAAAGCTGGAAAAAAACACGTGATTTTGAAAATATCTCCTTGTCTGGTACCCTGACTCTTACCAGTTCAGCAAAGCTTTCTGTACTGGCATCCAGCAGCAGAGGGAACAAGACGTCCACCAGTTCTTTTTTCCAGGGTTCCTGTAGGGCACTCACAACACTTCCTTCGTCACACCACCTACGCAACAGAGAAACAATAGCCACAATAGAAACCATAATGAATTCCAGGAAAATTTAAACAGGAAAGCAGTTCTTCCTTTTATTTTTTGAAAATTCCGTGAGGTTTTATCACATCTTTGGTTTGCCCCCAGCTGTGGTTCCAGAAGCATTTAGAGGCCATTGCAAGTCCAAGCAAATAGGAATGCCCCAATCGTATGACGTGTATGACGTTTTTACTAACGAACCAGATGATGGTCACAAATCTAGCAATGTTGGAAACAGCCAGAGAAAAAAATTGTTGAGGTTTTGATTTGCAGAATGACTCACATGAGTTGGTCTGTGCACAGTCTCACCATAGCTGTCATGACATGCTTCAAGGACGACGAAATGGAAAACACAGTCTGACCTGAAAAATAAAAAAAAATAAAAAAATCAATGCAACTTTTATTGCATTTTTTTTTGTTTTTAATATTTCAGATTGGAATGCTTCTTCTAAGCTATTGAATGCACAGCTGGATGGAGAATTGTGAATGGCATTTCAAAAGAAGAAGAAACATAGCAAATATCTACAAGATTTCAATATTTCACAAAACCATTATTACCAGAAATCCAAGCTTCTGTATAAAACAAATAGTGCAGGGGCAATTTTAATGTGTATCTTTAGAAATAAGTGTTTAAACAAATAAAGTGTGACCGTCACCTTTATAGTATCTTTAGGCTTTCATTGGCTTATTTTGCATTTAATCACATGATTTGAAATGTTATACAATTGTAGGAAGTGAATATAATTCCCACATATCCATGAAAACTAGACCACGTAGACATCACTTGATGTTCGTTACATCAAAACCACAATGTTTATTTCCTCTTCGATCGACTTATTTGCATATTTATCACAGGATTCCAAAATGCTTGGGTAAACAATTGCAGGATATGAATATCCTGTCCTAAGCTTATCAATTAACACTTTCACTTTTAAAGACAATGAACCACATGGCAAAGAAATTAACAAGTATTTCCTTTTGTCTTTGCATAACCTTTTTGAAATAAATCTCCATTATGGGTAGCAGTTTTAAACAGTGGAGGGGGGGGGGGTAAAACTGGTCAATTTTCATGGCAATGCTCAGCACACACTTCATATTAAAAGTACCCTCAAGTACCTTCATATTAAAATGAGATCAGTAAATATGAAAATTTTTGTGATTACACAAATGCACTGTCTGTTTCTACAGCAAATTCTTTAAAAAAAAAAACATTTGCGGACAATTCCCATCTTACATCCCCTTTGAGTTTCAACGGCAAAGTCACTGAGAAACGCAACATTATTTACTTGTGGCCCAACCAGGCAAAACCTCAACTACATGTTATGAAATTGGAGACATGTCATGCAGACATGATTCATGTTGATCACCTGACACTATGGGGTTTGCGAAATATTGCCTTCAGCTCCAGCTTTGGCTTCACATCATGCTTAGTATCGACATGTACATGCAACTCATCTTGAAGCCTTGAATGTTATGAAGGGCAAAACCTAATTTGATTGATTATTATGATAATTTTTCTACTGAGCTAAACGTGTTATGGAAATGAAATAAAAACATTCTACTTGATCGAATCAAACATTTGCACAGTGACAAGACTAGTGAAATTTACAGCTGGGGTTGGCAAAATTGGAGACAAGGCCATGGTTTCGAACAATGATTACTTACTATGTACCCATATTGAGCCAATATCTCCTGAAGCCAAAACTGGAGATAAAGCTCTAGTTTCCTAAATCGGAATCTGTCAATATAGACCACTATTATTAAGCCACAGTCTCCAAACCAGGGATCTAAAAAAATCTCCTGAAGCCAAAACTGGAGGCAAAACCGTAGTTTCCAAAAATCCAAATTTGTCAGTATGGACACAAAGGGGCCAAAAACATCCCGACATTGTCTGAAGCCAATACTGAAAATGAAGCCGTTGCTTCAAAAATCCCTATTTGTGTTGAACTAGAAAACACACCCCTCATAAGTGTCCAGACCTGTGCTACAAGCTTGCTACATGGGTGCGTGAATAAACAAAGTCAGGAACCGATAAGGGTCTTATCACTGTAAACAAGGGGTTATTTGCATACAAAATACGTGGGACTCAGCTTTAATGTGACCCTGCACTTGTGACCTTATTATAATGAGGGGAACTCTGCAGCGTAGGTGAAGGTCTGCAGTGTGTCCTTCCTTGCTCCATGATAATTCATGGCCATGTACTTTGCACACTGACTTGTACATGAACATGCACACTGTGCAATGCTGTTGTGTGCATGTTACACCATGTCCGCATTTTGTAAACTGTGTATGTAGTTTGAACATTCTGGAGCCAGTGTGAACATGGTGTGAACATCTGTAAATGTAAGTACATGTATTCATGGAGGAAGTCTGTGTTCCTTCCTCCAGCAGGTGACACTCTTTAAATAGCTCAGTCTAGGAGCCAGTCTGCTGGAATCCATTGTTTATGGGGTCTGTACATCCATATGTACAAAAATTGTAAATTTAACATCACATATGTAACTCAGGACCACTGTGCTACAGGGGCATTTTGTTTGTAATTTTTGTTGAATTTTCAATGGGGAGCATTTGCGTATAACTACACTACAGGCTTAATATCATATCTGATTCACCGCTGGCAAAGGGCTTAAATGCTTCTTAACCTAAATACTATGCTAGCATGGCCAGCTAGCATGTTCGCATGATTCACATGCAGAAATATCCATATCTTGGGTTTTTAAAGAGCAAAATGAGACACAGCAATTACTCAGTCCAAACATATGGTCCAAAAAATATAGCCGAAATCAATTTTGAGGTGTGACATTCAGCGTGCCAAATGTGGGAGAATACTCTGCCAATACATGCAATCTACTTTGTAGCGGACTCTGTGGTCACGCTTGGTTAGATTCATTGACTATTGTGTGTCCTGCTTTTGACAACGATTCAGGGGTCTATCCAGGTTTTGAGGACAATTGGGTCATATGCCTGGAGAAGTGGTCCAATGTGTTTTCATTTTAATAATAACAAACATGACAGGTGGTTTGAAGTGGACCAGGGTATTATAACTTTTGCGGGGTGACAAAAAAACCCAGACATAAAATAAACATGATAAACTGAGAAAAAAATGTCCCAGGCTAGTAGGAGGGCAATTTGTGAAGGCCTCAAGACAATATAAACTTGTTTTCTGTATTAACAGCCTTCAATGCAGTACCCTATATAAAGGTGCTACATAATGGGTCTCATAATTCTCATAAACTTCATTTACCTGTCTTTAAAAATAGACATAATTACCAGCGCCTTGAGTACCTAATTGTTGGTAGATACGTGCGCTATATAAGACTCCGGTATTGTTATATTGTAGACACCCTTGATAAAATATTAACTAAAAACTACAATTTTCAATTTTGAAGATGAAGTCATGAAGTATAATGAATGTAAACTGGAGGAGATAATAATGAAGCCAGTAATTGTTCATCACTTTAAAATATCTCAAAATGTAATTCTATTTTAAGTCTGAGTTTCCAACAAAAACAGAATATAAAATGTCTTCATTTGGCAACTATTTCTGAAAATAATACCACACTGAAAACAGCCATTTTTAGGCCATTTTTTTATACACTGCTCATTTTTTACAGCAATATTTTCTATTAAAAAATGTTCTTTTTTTTCCTACCAGTAGACCTGTACACAAACCATAATCAGGCATGCAAATGGGATTTTAGAAGAAAAAAAAACGAGGAAACTCCAAACCACACAAGATTTTGTACAGCATTTTTCAATTTGTAATGGCAATCACGAGAAGTAAAAATGAGGAAATCAGCGGATATCAAGAAAAGTTGAATGCCTGTATAATACAACAGGGTATTTGAGGCCGGGGGGGGGGGGGGGGGGGTGGTATTGGCTAATTACCCCCTTGTGAAAGTCATACAGGGCGAGTCAAAAAGAAAGCTACCTGGATTACTGATTTTTCCCTTCAATTAAAAAGCAATCAAATTTGGCATGCCAATAAAATATGTATTATGTATGAGCATGTTCTTCCACTTGTGAGAAATAGGATTACCGATATTCATCCATGCTATCAGAAGTTATGCATGTTTTACTGAAAAGGATCAATTTTTACAGCTGTCCATGGAATGCTAAATGCTTCGCTTTTCAGCTGAGCGAGAACCAGAGATTACACACTGGCATTCAAATAATAATTAGATTTTAATAATTTGAGTCAAGACTGAAATATTATTTTTAATGTCAAACATGTCAGAGTTTGTGCTTTGTATCATGAGGAACAAATCAAATCTTTTTCTGAAATGTAGATGAATTTTGTGGTACTTGTATTAAAACAGAAATAACATGTGAATAGTGTATGCAAATTAAATAAGATTTTCAGTTACCAGTCAATAACATGTACTTTATTCATTTCATATTTTTATCAAATGGAGGGTGCTACATGATTTTAAAGATGTTTTTGTCACTTTCAGTCACTTTCCTTTTTACTCAACTGACCCCAATTTTCCATTAATGAAAGCCCTTTGTCTCTGTTTGTATTGAATTTAACACCTCAGCTGTCCCCTTTGAAAATGTTTTACTTTATTTACAGGACTGCCGACTCCTCTGTTTATGATTGAAAACAAAATGGCGGCAAGCACCATGGCAACTAAACCTGTGCCGGAGACGCAGAGCCGGCTGGAGTGCTCTGTCTGCCTCAAGCGTTTACAGGATCCCAGAGAGCTGGATTGTCAACACAGACTCTGCCTGAGATGCCTGCAAGCACTCGCGCAGAGTCAAGACGTCGGTAGCAAGACGCTCACTTGCCCGGTGTGCAGCTGCGAAACCATTGTTGATAATCTCGCAGACTTGCTGGACAAGACAAATCTCAACGTACACACACATGCCAAAACATGGAGACTGAAGTCGGAGGTAAAAGTTGTTGGGGAAAGCCAGAAAGTCCAGTTCGCTTTCGACGTCAATGCTTTCTCGGACGGAGACATCGTCGTGGCCGATATCGGACACGGTTTCTTGATTGCTCTCTCATCCAAGATTGAATCAGGAACTTCAGAGGAACTGGAAATCAAGGGTCTGGTGGATCCTAGCCACGTTGAGGTCAATCAGAAGGATGAAATTATTGTTCTTGATCGTCCTGTTGTTCAGTTCTTCGACCGGGAGTTCCAGTTTCTCCGCCAGTTGGACCCGGGGCCGGAGGTCAAAGTTACAAGCCTGGCGGTGGACGAGAGCAATCGCATCGCAGCGGGTTGCGACACTGAAGAGATTTTACTATTTAACGAGGACGGATTCCACGCTAAGACGCTGCCGGCCCCGATGCTCAACGACTACTTGGCTGCCCGAAATCGGAGACTGATTTACACCAACTACAGAAAGGAATTGCTCGTCGGAGTCGATTATGACGGGAAAATGCTATTCTCTGTACCAATTCAGAGCAGCATGACTGGGAACTGGGGGCCTAAAGGCGTGTGCTGTGACATCGACGGTAACATCTTTGTCGGATGTTGTGGTTGGCAATCCTGGGGGGAGATTCAGCATTACAGCCCTGAGGGCCAATTCTTAGGGTGCGTGGTTAAGGGGTGCGGCCCTGCCCATGGGATCGCACTGACACCAGATGGCGATCTAGTGGTAGCGGCAGTCAAATCTGTAAAGGTCTACTGCCACAAGTGAACATGCAGACTCACTATGCACATGACCGTGCTTCAATCCATTGTGATAGGATTTTAGTCTGTACTGGACTAATGCATGTTTAAGTGCTTAGAGTACTCACTGTTAAAAGCTTGTTTCTGATTGGCTGAAAGATTGGGATTTCAATCTGCACTGAATCAATGCATATTCAACAACCAAAGTACACACTACTGAATAGTCGATTCTGATTGGCTGCAGACTGTACCATAAGAGCTAAAACCACTCTATTACTATTAACTACTCGTTTCTAATTGGCTGAAAGATTTACCGTAGCACTCTTGGATTTTAGTATGTACCAAATTCAAACTAGGGTAGTATATAAAATCCTTAAACATTTAATATTTTCAATACAATTAATGCTGCAATGGTCTTCGTGTATAGATTATTATTTGTTTGTTTTTCTTGAAATCCTAAACAGTTGAGGTGTTTGAAAAGATATGTTGAGGACTTTAATTACGTTTTTACATCTGAAGGGCTAAAAAAGATTTAATATATTATATCAGAAAGCATCTCTTTTGCTGAAGTACAGATATGCAAACAAAACAAGACCAAAGCTTAAGCATGATAGAAATATCAAACATATTGTAAATGTGGAAATTAAATAAAATGTGTAGCATAAAAAAGTTTAATGTTATTTCCACAGCAAGTCACAAAAACGCTGTTTTTATATAACAGTCTTTAGGTTGTACAGGATGATCGAATTATATAAATCCTCCAAAAAATACATAAATCTAGTTATTAATATTGCACAACAAAGCCCCCCCCCCCCCCCCCACAAAGAAAAGAACCAGAAAAGTACTTACTTGAAAGAGTGTTGAGGTGCATGCCCAGTACCGAGTTTAGCTGGTTCTCAGAGGCTATGGGATGGCTGGTCCTCTGTGAAGTCAAAAAAATAAATGTAAAGACTTGATGACATGCCAAGTGAGAAATAATAATCAATAAAAAAATTCTGTATAAATTTAACGCAAAATAATTTTGAATTGAAGTGCAGCAGACGCATAAACAGAAAAACCCGTGTTTTGCATTAATGTATATAGCGCCCTCTATGGGTCTATGGTCAAGCATAATGGGGAATGGTCATGAACACACTCATGGATCGTGCACTAGACATATGTAGTGCCCTCAATGGGTCATGAACAATTAGACATACGTAGCGCCCTCAATGGGTCATGCACAATTAGATATATGAAGCGCCCTCAATGGGTCATGCACAATTAGACATATGTGGCGCCCTCAATGGGTCACACACAATTAGACATATGTAGCGCCCTCAATGGGTCATGCACAATTAGACATATGTGGCGCCCTCAATGGGTCATGCACAATTAAACATATGTAGCGCCCTCAATGGGTCATGCAAAATTAGACATATGTGGCGCCCTCAATGGGTCATGCACAATTAGACATATGTGGCGCCCTCAATGGGCCATGCACAATTAGACATATGTGGCGCCCTCAATGGGTCATGCACAATTAGACATATGTGGCGCCCTCAATGGGTCATGCACAATTAGACAAATGTGGCACCCTCAATGGGTCATGCACAATTAAACATATGTAGCGCCCTCAATGGGACATGTGCAATATTAGACATACATGGCGCCCTCAATGGGTCAAGCACTAGATAAATGTAGCGCCCTCAATTTGTCATGCACAATATTTGACATATGGGGCAACCTTCATAGGTCATGCACAATTAGACATGGGTCATGCACTAGAATTATTCATATGTAGCGCCCTCAATGGGTCACACACAACTAGACAAATGTAGCGCCCTCAAGGTCATGCACAGATCACGTACCGACGCTGCAAAGCCCAGCGTGTCGCTGCTTCCGTTGTTGGCGTTCCATTTCTCCACGGCCGTGCGCACCGCCTGCGGCATGGCGTTGATCTGCAAGAGTCCCGAGAACCAGGGGAGCCACTTGGTTGCGAAGGACGAGCTGACGCGCAGGACGACACTAAACGCTGCCTGGGACTCGAAGGTGGTGGGCCCCGCGATCTGATGCAGTAGGCAGGACCTTCGAGAGGAAAACAGACAATAAGTGAGGTGGAGTTTTTGAAACCATGGCTTAATCTCTAGCTGTGACTTTGGGGACGTATTCCAAACCCCATTCTCGTACTGAATGAACACTATGCGGGGTTTGAATGACGAGAACCAACATGCAAACGGTGTTTGTGGACAGAATTTTTACTCCCCACTTACTGGTGAGTAGATGTCGAATATCAAGAACAAGGATGGCGGACCTAGGCCTCTCAGGTTTGAAATCATGGCTCCCTCTCCAGCTTTGGCTGTAAGATATATTAATCCCTGTACTACGGCTGAAAGTTATAGCGCCTCCAATAGGTTATGCACAAGTGTTTGACAATCAATACAAGCATACCATTTGGCAAATTTTTTTTTTTTAATGTTTTTTACCTTGAGAACACGGTGTACATTTTGAGTAGTTGAAAGAGGATGGGTCGTAGGTCACTGGCAATCTCCAACACCTTGTATGTCTTTGCAGTTTCGTCACCGCTCTTTTGGTGAAAAAAAAAACCAATAGAAGAAAAAAAATGAGTTCTTAAATCTTTAAGTACAAACTGATTGCGGTACAATAAAAACGAAACATAAAAATACATTAAGAGGATTTTTGCAACATTTTTTTCCATAAAGATATTGACATTGGTATTATGAAAGATCTTGGAAGGTTAGGGTACTTACAATGGAGCCGATGAAGTGATCTTTCAGAGAGGTTTCCACTTTACTGAGGATGCAGTCCAGAAGACAGATGGAGTTAAGGCTCGGCAGATGAGCTGGGATGACGATGTCATTGGGCATTACAAACAAAGGCATGTGGGACAACTACAAAAAAAACAACCGGAAAATAAAACAAACAAAAATAAATAAAACAATCCTAAAATTTGTTCAAAGATGCATTGCTTTCAAAATTCAATGTTCAAACAAGTTTTCATGGTGGGAAATTTCTCGGCGCAAAGGCGTGATATTTCAGACAAATTTTGTAAAGTGTATTTGTGATAAGCACGGTAAAAATTTGCTTGGCAAAAAAAGGTTACCAGCCAAAATTGCATGTGTTGCAAATTGCTATTGACTGGTTCCCCGCTGATATGAACCAGCTCATATTTTCTGCTTAGCTCAACGAAATAGTTCCCTAAGAATTTTTCTACAGCTGTACTGTATAAAGTAAGAAATCTATGCTATCTAACATTAGCAGAAAATTTGGCGCTTAAAACTGCCAACATGTTTCACAGGTTAGCAAGGAATTTTGGCTTGTGCACTTCATGATTCCATCCCAAAACTAAGCTTTCCATGTTTACAGGGTTTAGTTCAATAAGGTTAAGCCATGTCTGAATGACTTGGCTGCGGCTTGAAAGTACACACGAGTCTATGTGAAGTGGCTGCAGCCGCTACCATAGACTGTGTGTTATTGCAAGCCGTAAAGAAGTAATTCAGACATGGCCTTAGAATTGACTGTTCTGGATTTGGGCTTTAAGCCCCGCCCACCTTTGACCATAAGCCCCGCCCACCTTTGGCCATAAGCCCCGCCCACCTTTGGCCATAAGCCCCGCCCACCTCTGGGACCGAGTTTGATTGAGCTTCCATGGTCACCTGACCAAAAGACGTGATCTGATTGGTCAACTGCACTGTTTGATTGACAGACTGGGAGGGTCCATTGAGGGTTAGGGTTGTTAAGGGTTGTTCTCATGTTCCCATAGGGCTAGCTGGATAAAGGTCAAGGTCAAGGTCAAGGGTCAAAGTTCATACCTGTGTTCCGATGAGTTCTTGAGCCAGTTGGATGTCAAACTGTACAGTGCTGCAGTGCTCTGTGATGATATCCAACAGGCTCTCAGCTTCAGATACTGGCAGTCGCTGCTCAGACAAATGGTCCTGAAAAATGGAAGTCAACAATAGTTTCAAAGACTTCAAAGACATGACTTGCAGATGAGACAGAAATTTGAGAAGGGCAAAACCCAGAGATGAAGCTTTTCATGACTTGAAAGGTAAGTAGGATGACTTACTTTTTATGTAGTTTCTGTTACTGTTAGAAGCAACAAAAATTGCTAAAAATCTTAAGTAGGGAGCATAACGACTAACGTGCTGAAGTTTTAGCTCAGTGGATACTATACATTTTGAGAAACCAGAGAAAAAATGTGCACAGTTTTCGGGGTCTCGTAACTGGATTCCATTGCTACAGCATCTAAGAAAGTGTGTGTTAAAACCATCTTCAGTGATTGTTTTTTTTCTTCAAACGATTCAATTTCAGGCGGAATATTTTCACAGGGTATTCGTTACCATCTTCAGGTTTTTTCTCATTCAATTGGCAGGCCCATTTCCGGGTAATTACCAATGTTCCTACTTGTGTCAATGATTGTAGCATTAGGCTGTATGAGTTTTTGTATTTATTTATTTATTTATTTATTTATTTATTTTATTTTCACATGGGATGTTTCTTACCCTGATCCAGGCTCTGTACTTGTCGTTGGCCATGCGTGGCACCCAGCGCAGCGTGTGCAGGATCTCGCTCTGTCTCAGGCAACGCTCGCTGTCTGTGTGCTGCCCCTCCAGTAGCTTCATGTAGGCAACAGAGGGCGCCAGACTGCCCAGGAGTCGCCAGCACACCACCGAGGTGTAGTGGATTGCGCAGGCATCCTGGAAAAGGATAGGGACAGATTTTAAGTAAAAAACACATGAAAGTTTAAAATTTTCAGAAAAATATTTTCAGGCATGCAACTGGGAATTTAGAACAAACGAGGAAATTCCAAACCACACAAGACTTTGTACAGTGTTTTTCAATTTGTAATGGCATTCCTAAGAGACAAAAAAAAACAAGATCAGCCGATCCGAGGAAAAGTTGCATGCCTGTGTTTTAATGAAAGTGACTTTTCAACCCTGTTGTTAAAATAAAAAAGGACACAAGATTCAAAAAGATCAGAGTCAAATTTCATAGAGTTAAAAAAGGACTGAAACTTGGTAAGCACGGAAAATATGTGCTTAGCAGAAACTGGTTACCGGCCAAAATGCCATGTGATGCATACTGTGTGTAACTGGTTCCCATCTTTTATGCGCTTAGCACGAATATTTGCAGCTAAGGAGCTTGGTAAGTGGGTCATCCTTACCATGTACTGCAGTGGTTTGTCCTGCTGTCTGGCCACCGCGTCACACTCGCTGCCCGCTGCGAGTAGCTCAACCAAGGTGTGGTACAGCTCATTGTAGTCAAAGCTGGTGTCGTACAAGACCTCACAAGCCTAAACAAAACATTTATACCATATGTCAGGAAATTTTAGACTGGACGCCGATTCACACCTCACACGAATGCGAAGCGAAATTGATGTCGAAATTCTCTGGAATACTAGGAGATTCAGTAAAGTTTAAATGTCTATGCTCAGCTGCTAAGAAGACTTGATCAAATCTATGTATTTGCCCAGTTGCCTTGAAGACTGTAGGTTTAAGTGTATGTTTGTGCTCAGTTGTCTTAAGGACTAACTTAAGTCTATGTTTACGCCTAGTCACCAAAGGACTCAGTCAAGTCTTTTTTTTTTGTATTGAGCAGCTGCCTAGAGGACTCAGTCAAGTCTATTTTTGATTACACAAAACAGCTGCCTGGAGGGCTTGGTCAAGTCTATGTTTGTTTACCTGTTGGTCTAGTTGTGGTACGTCTTTGCCGTTGTCAACATCTGAGGAGATGAGATTGTAGAACATGCGCTTCAGAGCTGTGCCTGTATGGAAACAAGTTCAGAAATTAGTTTCAGTTCGGTAATTTTTATGAGAAGTGAATTAGTTTTATGGTGTAAAAGCAAATATTTTAGTGAAACTAGACTTGTGGATGAAACTAACTTTTAATAATGTCAATGGACTATGTGCATGGGCTTGTGAGGGCGCTGTTGTAGCAGACCAGTAGACCATCCCTACATTATATTCTAGACTGTGAAAGGAAGGGAGCCCTATATGGAGTACCGAAGTGTGACGTCATTTAGAACCAGAAAGTGTAGTGCAAACGAATGGAGTACGCGCGCGTGTTGGTTCACGGGCTGAATCACGCGCTAATGTCTTTCACACACATTTTGTGCGCGTGACGTATTCACTTGGGTACTCCATTATGTTTCGCGTTATTAGAATTAACATTAAAAGTTGGATGCATTTGAGGGCAAATTGTGTTGGCTTACCGTCTACCCCGACCGTGCCGGTCTCGCTTGTGGTGGCTTTGCGGTAATTCTCCTCGACTTCTCGGCACGGGTTGTAGAACTTTGTGGTGGCGATTCCGCCGCGCTCTTCCTGGTAAAGCATTAGGGCTGGGTCGGTGCTCTGAACGGTGAAGATGTTCCACTGGACCTATCGGTGCAAGGAGATAGAGTTAGATAATAACATTTAAAACAAGTAGGGTCACAAATAAATAGCTTATTTCATTGACTTGGAAGGATTTGTGATGACTTGTTGGGACTTATGAGGACTTGTTTGGAATTGTGAGGACTTGTGCTGACTTATCAGGCATTGTGTGGCTTTTTGTGTGGCTTTTTGAGGACTTGTGTGGACTATTGAGGACTTGTAGGGGCTTAGTGCTGACGTGCTTACTTGTACGGACTACTGGGGACTTGTGTCGACTTGTGAGAACATGTAGGGACATGTTAGGGACCTGTGTCGACTCGTGCTAACATGTGCGGACTTGTGAGGCTTTGTACTGGCTTGTTATGACTTGTTATGACTTGTGAGGACTAGTGGGGACTTGTGATTGACTTGAGAGACCTGAAACTTGTGAGGACTTGTCGAGGACTTGTCAAGGACTAGCATAGGCAATGTAAGAAGAACGTTTCAAGCTTTCTGAGTTTAAAAGTAGATCCACTGTCAACCTACCTGTTCAAAGAGAAAAGGTCTGGCCTGGGTGAAGTGATGGACCAAGAACTCAAAGATGAGAAGTAGACGACACAGTGCCAATGGAGACTTGGTCTTCACATAGCTGCGACAAGAAATGCAGATACATTGTTAAATTTCAATCCAGCTTTCATTTTCTAAGGGGCAAGCTTAGACAAAGAGTCAATGACATCGTAGCTATTTATAGCATTGACCTCTCACCTTGACCTGGATACTTGGGACAGTGCCAAGGCAGTCTGGAGGAGGATGTCTTTCTTCTTGGCGACCGGCAGACTCTCAAAGATGAACATGAGGAGTTGGGCGTGTTCCACATTCAGATCTGTGGCATGTGACAGAAAACAAGAAATTATAATTTACAACATTTTTGATGAAAAACTTAAACTTTGGATGGATAATGTTTCGGTGGTCTAAACGGTGGGTAGAAGATAGAAACAATATATTCCTACTTGGGTAGATTTAACTCAAGATTTCAGATTTGAATATGTTTAAACACGTATGATTTCTGTACAGTCACAAAACAGTCGCTGAATCACCACCACCTACAATTTTGAAAACAGTTTTGTCCGACTTTCTTTTGAATTGTGGAGCAACTCTAAAAATTCAGTCATGGGTAAAACAGTAACTCATTTGCTTTGAAAACAAAGCTGGGAGTTTTTTATCAAACTTGATAAGTTGAGCAAAGATAGTTTCCACGATGATCACGATTAGTCAGAAAAGTTTTCAATTTTCAGTCAAAATGCCATCTTACACCACCTTAAATGGTAGTCTAAGTTACACCATAATTTGTTGAAGCCGCGGACCTATGCACTGTGAAACTTTCATGAAATGCGTCATAGCTGAAATCTTGCGCAGTGTGAAATGTTGCGCAACTAGCGCAATAAAATATGGCGCTAGTGGAGTTATGATAATGCATAAAGTTTCGTGAAATCGTCTACAGTCCCACTGACCATTTTTTAGTTTTTTTAGCTAACCTTCGGATTCTGTGAGTGGCTCCCCTCGCACAGCGATGTCTCTCAGCGTCTCTAGGACCCGCTGTAGCACGTTGTAACAACCGAGCAGAACGCCCTCCTGCTTGGTCATGGATGCCTGCTGCTGCTGTTGCTGCTGCAGCAAAATGTGGGCCAAAACTGCCAAGGTACGGGGCGGGATGTTCAGGGGCCACGGACCCTTCGCAGTTGGAGAAACACCGAGATGAGCTAGAAGAGAATCCTAGAAAGACAGAGAGATTTGAGACATCAGGGGATGGAATGCGACACAAAATAAAACTAGGGGCAAATTTCAAGGAGACGCTTAGTGCAGAAATTTGGCGCTTGTGTTCTTGGGCAAGACACTTTACGACAATTGTCTCGTTTCACTCACTAACGGGTACCTGTGAAGATATCGAGCTGCTGCGGGAAATTGGTCACATGGCCTGATGAACAGGTGAAATAACTGTGAAGCGTAAGATAACGGACAAACTTTTGAAAAGAATACGTGTTTTAGTGGCATGACTTGAGAGCAATCTGAGATGGCTTTTTATTACTCAAAGTAATTCTATTAAGCTTTCCTACCTGGAAGTTGTCTGGTAGTGCCTTGGAGGCCAGCAGTGTGTGGATGAAGTGGAGCAGAGCAGCGGAGAAGTTATCCATTAAGACAGCTAATGGAGGAAATCAATGATGTCCATCAGAAGTCATCACAGGTAAAGCACAAGTTAGTCACCAGTCAATCACAAGACAATTTCGAGTAAATCACAAGTTGATTTAGAAGTCAATCACAAGTTGATCACAAGTCAATCACAAGTCAAATCTCAAGTCATCACAAGTCAAATCTCAAGTCATCACAAGTCAATAACGAGTCAAATCTCAAGTCAATCTCAAGTCAATCTCAAGTCAATCACAAGTCAGTCACAACTCTATCACAAGTCAATCACAAGTCAGTTTTTCTTCTCTTTACAGGGTTTTTTTAAGGTTTGTGAGCAACAGTGCAGTTTGTGTTGTGTGTTAAATAACTGTTGAAATTAGTTTTGAAATTAATGATATTTACTGTCATCTGTCTTCACTGTTCCTTTGTCCAGATCCTTGACGACTCCAGCTATCCCCGCGATGTGACTCTCCGTGAAGGCAAGACTGTAAACCAATCACAAAAATCACAAGTTTCAAAACATCTCACAAACTTTAAATAATGTTTTAGAACTGTCAAACTGCACGAAATCATATATTTCTATGGTACATGTATTTACGTCTCCAGTGCACACACTGTAAAGATTGTTTCAAATTTTGAATTCTGTTTAAGAACTGTCAAACTGTACAGATTCATATATTTCTATGGTACATTACCTTGGAAAAGAATGGATCAGTCCATTATTGGAGTGGAGAAGATGAACAGTCAGAAACTGCAGCACGTCTGAGGCTAGCTTCAGGTACTGGAAGGAAACAATACAGAAATTAACAAACGGGGCCTTTACCAAAACCTTGGTTTTTGATGATTCTGATTGGCTGTTGTGCTTGAAGAAATGGCCCCTGAACATGATTCATGTGGTATACATGAGATGTAAACGGGCAGTGATTGGATAATATACTGAAGGAGTGGCCCCTGAACATGATGAACCAACGTTACACAAACAAGACAAAAAGGGCAGTGTTTAGTAATATGTTTGAAGGAGTGGCCCCTGAACATGATTATTGTTGCATAAACCAGACGTTATTAAAAGGGAATGATTGGATAATATAATGGAGGGAGTGGCCCCTGAACATGATGAACCAATGTTGCACAAACAAGAGGAAAAGGACAGTGATTGGTTAATCCGGTTCGTTAGTGTGACGTCATCTCACATTAACCATGCATACTTCACACGGTGTAGCATAGCATGAATGGATCCAGAAGTTAACGCATCCTCAACGGTTTATCCAATGGGTGCTAGTTATCAGTGGTGCGCGCGCGTAACGAACCGGATATGCGTGAAGGAGTGGCCCTTGAACATGAATAATGTATAATGAGCAATGTGATTGGAGATGGACAGAGTTACTGGGCTTCCGAGGACAAAAAGGCAGACAAACCAACAGACCTGTGATGGCTCCTCTCTGTCTGGAATCTCGGTCAGGCTGGGCGAGTCCTCCCTCTTCTCCGCCTCTTTCTTAGCCTCGGGCTTGGCTCCGCCTGGGACTGGGGGAGGAGGTGGTGGCCCTTGATTGTTAGCGGGCGCTTCTTTGGGGTCGGAGTCTGGGGTAAGGGTCTCCTCAAACCAGGGTCCCAGTATGGGCTCACTATCCTCGTCTGGATGAGTCGAGGGGAAAAAATTCGTAGAAAACGAAAGAAAATAACTCAACAAAAGTAACGGAAAAAAAGTGCTGAATGAAAAACAAGAACAGAATCAAAGGAGAGTGCAAAGGGAAACATGCGACAAACTAAAATTACGGAAAGCTTGCATGAATGATGGAGACAACTCCATTCAAAATCATAAGTTTTATAAAAATGGAACCAAAAATGAAACAGATGAAGTAAAACAAATGGCTCAAAACCAGGCTTTGAAAGAAAAAATCCGACAGCTACAAATCTTGTCCCAAAGCAAACTTAAGATGTTCGTTAAAAAAATTCCGCAAATCAATCATCATGAAGTCTGTCAAATGAATGCATAAAAGAACGTTTTTATTTGTGATCAAAAATGAAAAGCTTATCAACCCCAAAAATACTTAAAAAGAATAGGTGTTTCGCAGTGATGGAGTTTGCAGATAACTTGGGAAAGTGAATCCTATAAAGTTTTAGAGGGACTTTCTAGTGGTGTTGGGAGAATTTGTTAAAATGAAGTCAGGATGAGAAAGGCTGGGCTAGGTATTGTTAATGCAAAACCGAGGCAAGAGGATTGTGGTAAAATATCCTGCTGGTGGACATAGCAAATTGAGGGACTCTCTAGTGGTGTAAGGAGGAGTTGTTGAAATGAAGTCAGGATGAATAAGGCTGGGCTAGCAATTGTTAATGCAAAAATGGCACTGAGGCAAGAGAATTGTGGTAAAATATCCTGCTTGTGGACATAGCAGCCACAGTTCCCCTTTGCTTGTCATTGCATTTCTGTGTCTGTTAGGCCACGTTGTATATTACCTTCACTACTCTCTTCAGAGCTGCCAAAGTCGTCGCCGTAGTTTGTGTTCAGGGAATTACTCTCAGTGTCAGCTCCCTCAGAAGCTAGGGAGTCTTTCCGTTGCTTGGCGGTGGTGCATGCCTGGAAGTGAAGTAAAAAGAGTCCCTAGGTTTGTGAAGATTAGCTAAAAGTTCAGGAAAAAGTTCTGAAACTGGTTTATAAAGTTGCTCTAACTTTGCTTTTCATCAAATTTGATTTTTTTTTCAACTAATACATTTTCAATTTTTCAAGTTTATCTAAACGAAAAAAAAGGCTACTTTTTTCTCTTTGAACTTATTGACTCTCTGAAAATATGCTTTTAGTTTGGGCCGCTTTTTTTTTCCATAAAAAGAATTTGAAATTTTGTACAGTAAATATACCATCACTAAACATGGGTGGATACTTTTGTTCGATGTCCCATGATTCAAAAGAAAAACATGTCATTAAAGGTGTAGGAGTCTGTGGGACCTTGCTGCATTGAGCCATCAACACCAGTGCATAAACGGCCAATTCTGAGACAATGAGAGCTAGTCCCATTGAACAATGCCACAGTTGTATCCTGCTGCATTCAGTGACCACGGACTCCTAAGCAGTTTGGCCTTGAGACTTTTGAGCAGGGTTTCTAGCCAAACTACCCTAGGGGGTTAGGGTTAAGCTTACCTTTTTGTAGGCGGATGTGAAGAGGTTGATGAGTAAGTTGGTGAGTGGAACGTTGGTGATGATACAACTGACGCGTTGCCAGGCGGTGTACTGCGGCAGGATGCTAAGCCTAGCTGGGGCTGGGTCTGTCGTGTCGATCTCCTGTTGAGATCGAAGAATTAGTGAAACAATATTGAAACCTTTCAATTGATTTATTTTGCATTGAGGTTATACTTTTTAATACTTCGCGGATTTTGACTAGTCAGCCGAGCTGCAAAGCTCGGTGGTCGAGTGGTAAGACATCTGCACTAGCAAGTTAGCGGTCGTGGGTTCGAGTCCAGCCCAGTGAAACTAGCGAATCTAAAATAACATAGTGGTGCTTATCAACTTTTCATTAAAAGGCAAAACCAAGTTTTACAGCCACTTTTGCAGTTCACTTGTCATCCTGTGTGGCCTTGCATTTGTGACGTCAGTAGAGGTGCCCACGAGTTATGGTTCTCGTAAAGGTTCATGCGAATGTTTAAAAGGTGTCGCAACTGTGCTGCCACTGTAAAATTTGTGTGGAGTTGAAATGTGCTCAGGTTTTTGCCAATTTGTCGCACAAAAGCCAGCCGCGATGACGCAAAGTCACATTCGCCTGAGTACGAGTATGCAACAAGCTTGAACCTGCCTTTGACATGTTGCTCACAAGTTATCTCTTCCAAGTGATTTTCACTCCAACTCAAGATCGTGAGAAGTTTGAATACCTTATTTGAAACAAGCATATGTATTTTAGTTGCCACAACGCAACTGATGGATGAGTAGGATTTACAGACTTGTTTCTGGGTGCTACGTACCATGGAGAGGCCCTCTATGTGCAGATCTTCCAGCAAAGCAGTCAGGAGGGACAAGGCGCAAGATGACAGAGCCACCGTCAGACTGCTGATGTTTTGAGTTCTGCAAAAAATTTGAAATAAACAAAAATACTTCATTTCAGGCCTTTACTCAATGACTCAGTCCATCAGTCAGTGACTCAGTCAGTCAGAGGAAACAAAAATGGCACCAAATTATGCCACAGCTGTTCAGAAAGGTCATGTGGTCAACTGTAGATTAACATAATCACCATCTGCATATTAAAGTACCTTACTTCAAACTTGGTATGTTCAAAGAACCTCCACAATGCTAGGCATTGGATTTCTCTCAACTGAATAGCAAAAGACAGAGGTTTGATAAAAAGCCTGATTTTTGCTTCACCCTTTTGCAGAGCCAGGTCTTCCTGTGCCTGCCACGGCGCCCTCTTTAGCTTTTCCTTGCCCAGGCTTGGGCTCGGTCTTGAGACTTCCGGGGATGTCCTTCTCCTTTTCCTTGGGCTTCTCCGGGATGGTTGCTGAGGCGTTGAGGTTCAGGATGCGGTCTAGGTCACGGAGGATGCACCACGCTCCGAGCATGTGTAGATTCTGAAGATTCTGTTATTTAAGATTACATAAATGATGGAAAATTAAAAAACGAATGAAACCGATTGGCCATTAAGCTTGTAGTGGCCCCTGAACATGATTAAAAGCCGACATGATTGGATATTAGGATTTTCAAAATTGCTCTAGAACACAGGTCCGAACATGTTCAAATTTCACTTTATGATTTAACATTATGATTACAAAGGAAACAAATTGTTGTCACATACAACCAAAAGAAATTAAAATTGTTACAGTAACTGGTTATTTTTGTCCAAGAGAAGGCCCATGAACATGAAGCATTAAAGGGCTGTGACTGGCTGCTATACATGTACATCAGGATATGTGGCCCCTGAACATGAATTGATTTCCAATGTTGCAAGACAAAGAGGAAGAGGTATGTTACACCAGCAAAAAGTCAGTGAATGGGGGATATTATAAATAATTCTATCATGAGCAACAACGAGCAAAAATTACTTACATGGCCACCGGCTCGTGTGGACAGTTTGACGGCACTCTGCAAAACTCTGAAGAGACTCAACTGCAGAAGAAAGAAAATGAGTTAAAACTGGAATTCAGACAAGAAATAGAACCAAGCATGGAAACTAAGATAAGGAGGAGCATTTTTTTTATTAACTTGAGACTTGCATTTGACTTGTGATAATTTTGGGTTGACTTGTGATGGACTAATGACTGACTTGTGATTCCACCTACCCCTTTCTGCACAATGAGCGATGCGATGTTCTCCTGTTCCTCGTCTTTAGCCCCTCCGGCCGGAGTGGCCGTCGTGAGGCTACTACGGGCCGGCTGACCACTCGACAGCGACAGCAGGGTGCTGGTGGTGGTGGCCGACACGGCCGCAAAGAGGCAACTCATGACGATGGTGGTCAGTTTCTCCATGTGACCTGGGGTCATGGGTTCAAGGGTCGGCAGGGCCAGGACCCGGGAGACGATGGTCATGTCGTTGAGGAGGGAGGGAAAGCTGAAAACGGAAGTACAAAAAATGTGAATCGGACTTAAAAATTGAATTAATCTTGAAAATGTATTATGCTCTCTCCTCTCAATATCCATGAACTGAATTTCTCCCTGCTTATAATGGAACGCTCCGGATTTGGCCATAAGCCACACCCACCTCTGGCTATTAGCTCCGCCCACCTCTAACTTGTATACATTTATTTCAAGTTGTTCACAGAAAAGCTTTTTCAATTTTTTTGTAAACATAAAAACTTCTCAGGAATTATATTTCAAGATTCCACACACCCATCAATTTCTAAGACATTCAAAATTTAAGCAAATTTAAGAGAAAGTTTTCAAGCATATAATGAAAACCGTTTTTACTTTTTTTTCTTTTAAAGAAATGTAACTTGACACAATTCTCAATCCCTCTTTTTGTGTTTCTCCTTCCAACCCTGCATTCTTGTGTGCCCCTGCATGTTTGTTTCTTGTTCCTCTGTCATTTGCCTCTGAAGAAGGCCTTGCTAAGGATAAAATATCAGGCTATTTTATTTGTTTGATTTGTACATTTCAGGTCAGTCCAGTCAGTGAGCAGTTTGCAGCACTTCAATTCAAATTTGACAAGGTATGTCTAAGACAAGTACACAAAATGAACCATAAACATGTCCACCTACCTCGCTTTCATGGAAGAAGCGTCCGCAGCAGTGCTGGGCAGCACGAATGGGAACCCGTTGGCAGCGTCGCGGAACGCGTTGATGTAGCGCTGCAGGAACGGCAAGTTCAGGCAGACGTCAAGTAGGATATCAGACCCATGCAGCGAGTGAAGGTTGTCGATGTTGCGGGCCGCAAAGTAGGCCTTCATGTCGGCACTGGGGTCAGTCTTGGTCGGGGTGGATTTGTCGTCGGACTTTTTTGTAAGAAGAAAAAGAGAAAGAGATTACAGTCTATTCGAAAACAATAAATGTATAATCAATGTAGACAATGACTGGGATCTTCCTTCTTCATTCCTACAAATTCCTACTAAATCCTACAAAATCAAAAAAATCTTCAAAAATTAAAAAAAAAATATCCCACAAAATCCTAGAAAATCCTAAAAGACCAAAACCACTGGAGAGTTTTGAAGGATTTGAAGTTAAGCAAGGCAAACAAGCAGGCAATCAACCTTTTCAGTCTTCAGCGATGCGCCGGAGCTGTAGTGAGGTGCCGATTCACAGAACGCCGACATCAACTGCTTGAGGAAATCGGCTTGGGACATCGGCCGGGTGTCGCTGACTTTCACCAGTGTAGTTGATGTCGTACTCTCTGGCTCTGTGTAGAAGACGGAAGAAAACCATCATGAAACTTTTAGCCATCCATGTTATGGAAACACTTTTAAAAGGAGAACATGCTTTTGCAATCTGAACAAAGATCTTCAACTTTTTAGAATAAAGGACTCAGGTAAAAGATAATTAATAGATTAAATCGGCACACAAATTAAGAGCCATTTTTGAGGTGAAAAGTTGGTGGCGGGCATTTCGTATGCATTCTTAAAATCAAGGTGCGTGCGCGTTTCAGTTTAAACCCTATTGGTAGAAGGGCCACTGAGTGCTTGTGTACCGCCTGCGCACAAATGTGGTTCTATCTCTGTACTGGCTCCGAAGTTACATCGCTATAAATTGGTCTGTAGTTCTACCTGGCTCTTCAATGGTGGCAGTTGAAGGGGGCATTTGGGCAGCTTTCAGCATGGCGGTCAAGGTGACGATGTTTGACCGCTGAAGCTGGCCAGACCCTGTGCAAAGGCCCTCTACCAGCGACATCAGGTTACGCTGCAATAAATCACATTTCATTCATTATTGGAAGAAATATCACATGGGCGTTGAGAAGGGGTGGGGGAGAGGGCGTTACGGTTTTCACTGACAAAAACGTTGTTCTGACATATACATCAAGTGTTAGTCGGCAAAAATGCTGCAACGAATAGCGTTTCATATTGTCTGATTGTGTCCAATAATGTCCCACTGGAACAGCTCCCCTGATAATCAATCAGTGTCCAGCCCTCCAAATGCATCTAGGATACCATCAAGTGTTTGTATGCTTTTGTTATTGTCCATTGAGTTACATTCAACTGGACTTTTGAAAGGACTTGTGTTTTGGGTTTTTTTTTCAGACTGGACTTGTGCCGAACAAAGCATTTATTATAATGTGTTTTTTTTTATAAAGCACATGTATCTACCAGGCTCTTCGTCATTATTTGGCCAATGAAACATTCCAAAGACAATCTCAGCTCCCTGGGGAGTGTACAGCTCGATGCTGCCATTTTGGCGCAAAGCAGCTAAAATCGACCACAACAAGTATCTCTGCTCTCACAGGTACTAATGTACTCCTGGGTGGGGAGAAGCAATGAGTGACAAAGTGTCTTGCCCAAGGGCACACGCACCATAAACCCAGGCTGGACTTGAACCCACAACTTGCAGAATTACCCGCAGACTGTGAGTTCAATGCTCCAGACCAAGAGGCCACGGCACTCAACAACAAACTCATACCTGGGAGACAGAGCATGCAAGCTTGTACTTGAGCATCCGTTGCAGGCACAGGTCCATGAGGGTGTGGCAGGCAGTGACCACCCGGCCAACGATGGACTTGGACACTACAAAAACAAAAAGAACTTGAATGGAATTCCAGACTTGGCCATGAGCCCTGCCCCCCCCCCCCATGGTTTTTGTACATAGCTCACAGTTTTTGTGACTGAATTTGGTCAACCTACCTTGGTCCCACCCGACAATAACGCTCGCTGTTTGACTGACAAAGAGGAAGAGTCCATTACACATATGCAAGTGAAATTTTAAAAATTGCTTGGACAAAATAAATGAGACTGAGTGTAATTAATATTAAGATGACAGGCACAAAAGTGGCAAAATTCTTCACTAATTTACAATGCACTACCAGTACAAAAGTGAAATAGCAAATCATAGTTACTAAACTGTCCAAAAAGTCCAATGTTCAACTGGAATTTTTGAAGATCAAAGGGGGGATATGACAGAAAAGGAGGAAAACAAGCATGAGTTATGGAAAAAGTGTCATTAGCTGCGTGAAGAATGGAGAACTAAAAACGCATTTCAATTTTTTTTAAATGATTGTGCATGCTTTGCTAAAAATACTATGACTCTCCAAAGATAATTAACTGTGTACACCACCATGACCACCCACATCTGGATACCAAACTTTTTCTAAGTTCAAACATAGTATAGCCTCAACCCCCCCCCCCTCCCCACTTCCCCCCTCCCTTCCAACGCATTTTACTTTTCTTTTTTCTATATTATTAACAATAACATAACATGATTGACAATAACAACAAAACTTTCAGTGACTTACACAGGGTTGAGTGCTCTGTGATGTAGTGGGCAGAGAGGGCCACAAAACAGGAGTAGAAGTTTTCATATTTATCATCATGGTTCAAAATGTCGTCACCACTGCGGAAAAGAAAACAAAGGCATAATTTACATTATTGTTGGGTGTTTCCTCCCTATCCTAAAAACTCAAAAAGTAAAAAAAAAAAAAAAAAAAAAAAGTCGAACACACGTCTGAATTTTTGGTTTCAAATTTGGCAGAGTAGAACTACAGCATACGTCTCAAATAAAGGTCCATTTACCTCTCTATAATCGCATCCACAAGTAAGGACACATCCGAGCTCCTAAAACCCGACTGGGAAGCAGAAACGAGCGCCTTTTGGACGGCGTTCCAGTCGACTCCGGGAACCCCGGATGCCGCCATCTTGGTGACTTTCATTTCACGGTACGGGGTAAGAGCGCCCTCCATCGGCGCTTCGCGTTCAAAAAATTCTACTCCTGATTCATTTGATTTTCAGTGATACAATTTATTTATATATATATATTTCATTGCTTAAAAGATGTATCAAAAGAACTATGTTCAAATTTACTGCGCTGCAAAAATAAAATTCTATTTAATCGCTGGATTCAAAGTTTCACCATGTCGTACGAGGCTGCGAAATTGACCTTTGCTCGACCTAATTTGCATAATTGTGATTTTCTGGACGGGGAGGGAATATAATTTCTCTCTTTAGATTTAACATTTCTTGGCTCTGGTTGAGCCAATAAAGACAGCAAGATGATCCATAGCTTATTTATGATTAACCCTTCCGGGTGAGTTGTATTTTGATTCTTGGAATCGCTGACGACCGTTTTTATAACTTTACAAAAATACTGCTGAATTACATTCTGTCAACATCATAACATTATAATTTACATTGCAATTGGCTGTACAGTGTACAGCATCGCAATAGTCTACCTGTCTACACTACAGTCTACACTACAGTGTGTCACTTGTGCTCCACAAATTACAATGTAGTTGTCAATTTACAATTATTCTACAGTGTAGTTGTCAATGACAATTCCATGCTCGGTAACGTATCATGTGAAACTAAGTTATAACTATTAATTTTAATAAAATGTTACGTTGAATGGTTGATTATTTTTTGATAGTGGATATTTTGCCGGAGGTAACGCCGGCAAACTAACGTTTACTAAAGTTTTGCCAGTGGTAATCCATATCAACTGAGGGCGCTGTACTCTTTAAGATAGGGCTGAATTATAAGATGTATTAAATTCCCACCTAAAGTTGTGTAGCACATTTGGTGCAGTGGTTATGCAACGGCTCTCGCGAGAGGAATGACCCAGGTTTGATCCCGATCCCCGCCACATTTCTAAGGGTTTTTTCCCCATCCCCAAATAAATAAGAATATTGTTCTTTTATTATTTTGACATTTCTCAAACATTTTATTGCAGATCACATTTTCTTTTTCAGATTTGTGGCTCTGGAGGGAAATAAAGTCCGAAATTATAAAATGGTCTGATTCCCATCTTGTGAATACGAAGTTACAACAATAATATTGGCATGGAGCCAGACTAAAATTTGTCACTGGAAAATGTTAAAGTACAAAAAAACAGTAACTGCGCATGTTCAGTGCATATCCGGCAAACTAACGTTTACTAAAGGTTTGCCGTCTCTGGCAAAATATCCACTGCCAAAAAATATTAATTGCTTCTTTAAAAATAATACAGTCTGAGCCATCGAATGGCAGCAATATTGCACAGATTGTGTAAATTGCCATGAGTGCACAGTCCACAGATTGCGTGTTTGGATTATGAATGATTATCATGATTATGACTGAGCCCACAAACATATTTTATACTTTCCCTCATCAGTCCAGCATCTAAGTAAAACATGGCACCTATATAATGGTTATGAGCCCAAAAAAGTATATTTTCTAAGTTATCGTAGTCACTGTCACTTTTTGTCAGATTGTGTCTGTGCTGTTTATTTTTATGTTTGTGTTTTGATAATACTACTAATTTTGACTATACTAACCTGATTGATATCTACATTTCAGGGATATTTTTATGGAAAAGCACTGGAAAAGCGTCATAGGCCGTTCAGTGTGTGACTACTTCTTTGAAGCCCAGAACAAGGTAAACTCTCCCCCACCCCCCCCCCTTCGCTCCTGCCCTAAAACTCCCCATCCCCACCCCACCCCACCCCACCTCACCCCACCCTGATTCCCCATCCCTACCCCCCCCCCATCCCTACCCCCATCTCCACCTCCAGGCCTTCCCAAAATCACTCCCACTCCCAAGCTAACTCCTATGCCCCAAATTCTGCCACCATGCCCACCCCACCTAATCCAACTCCCCTCCCCCACACCCTCCCCTCACCCATCCCCCCCATGTGAATTAATGTATGTTCACACGTGATTAGGATGGTATTTTTTACAACATGGCAATAGCACATAACATTTCAGAGACTTTTAAGCAGAATTTTTTTTGTGTGTCCAAATATACAGGTCAGTTGCCATGACGACGTTCCATCCGTTATCTCCACCCCGCATCATTACCTCATCAGTATCTATAGGAACCAGCTCTTCTTCGTTGCCGTGGTGCAGAACGAAGGTGAGCGTTATGCAAATGGCACCCTCTAGAGACAGAGAGTCAACACATTGGATTAGAAATTACGTCCATGTGTTCTTGCCTTGGGGCCAGAGCCTTCAGAAGAATAAGCCAGATTAACCACTGGTCTCTGTACCGCCCAAATCTGCCCCAGCACTGTAGTAAGTTTTCATGGGTTCATAAGGAAATAAAAAAAGTGTGATACAATGTTGCACAGTTTCTTGTAGGTTAATCGAATAGCACAATGTATGGGTTGGGTGCGATCAGTGGATCTGTGCTATGATCTGTGCCATTTGCTTGTGCGATTGGCCGATGGCGATGTGCCATCGGTCAATCATGATTGAATTTACTTATTTACAGCTCTGGGTTATTGTTTTAAAAAAGAGAAGTCAAGTCTGATATTTCATACAACGGATCACGCATTCGTATTTCTGCACAAACTAACAACAGCCCTAACCCACCAATCGCACCCACCGATACTGATACACTGTTAAGTACTTAGCATATAGGACAATGTCAAAATCGTACTAGTCCCCATTCCATTGTTGAAATAAATTTCCAATAATTCCGGATCAATTCGTTTCCTGTTGCAGTTCCGCCACTCTTCGTCATCGAGTTCCTTCACAGGATCTTTGACACATTCAGCGAGTACTTCGGTGACTGCACAGAGACTACAATTAAGGAGCACTATGTGGTTGTTTATGAGGTAAAATTAGTTATCCCATGAGTGGAACAGGGAATTATGTACTGTGTGCCTGGGTCCCACATACCACGAGGCCAAACCAAGTGGCATGTGGAACACAGATGCGCTACATTTTCCATGTTCCACGAATTTATCTCCAAGTAAATTTGACACACAGTAAACATGGAACGCGCACGCTGTACACAAACTTTTCAGCTGACATCCAATTCCACATGTGTGCAGTTGGATTAGCACGTGCATCTTAGATCCAAAAGTGGGCATGACCTATGACTGCGAGAAAAATACTGCAGTCAATTTTGGACAAACTTGGTACGAATTTCGCCCGAAATTTGCAAGATTACTTGACATCTAGAGGTACAAATTCAATTTTTCCAGGCAAAAGTAAATATCGAGTGAAAAAAATGGTCTAGATTTCAAATTCAGGAAAAAAAATTCAGGTTTTTTTGCTTGCATTGGTGTGTGGCTCACAATATGGAGGAAGTCCAGTATTTGAGCCACATATTTGGGGCTAGGTCGCTCCGTAAGTGGAATTTCCTTTCCGTTCGTTCTTCCAGCTTCTTGAAGAGATGTTAGACAGTGGTTTCCCACTGGCCACAGAATCCAACGTCCTGAAGGAGCTGATCAAACCACCCAACATCCTGAGAGCAGTGGTCAACACTGTCACAGGCAGCTCCAAGTAAGTTCCTTGACCTCTGATCTCCCCCTAGTCCATCCATTCTACTTCAATTACATGCTATCAATTTTAAAAGTATGAACTCTGCCTCAAAATTGCACATTAAGAGTCAGAGAGGGGCGGCCAGTTGAAAAAAAGCTACCTTCCAGAACCAGCGTCTGTTAGCAAATTTGTCGTCACAATCCCCCCCCCCCCCATGCAATCCGGCGTTGCCCCTGCCTTGGGAGATTTCATTTCAAAATAAACCTTTTTTTGTCTCGCAGTGTTGCCGACACGCTACCGAGCGGCCAACTTTCCAATGTTCCCTGGAGGCGAAGTGGGGTCAAATACACCAACAATGAAGCCTACTTTGACGTTATCGAAGAGGTGGACTGCATTATTGATAAGTCGGTAAGTAATCTCTGTTTCCTTTTTTTTTTCAATCTTTGATTTGTCAACTTCCATTGCATTTTCACTGGATTTGTTGCGGCAACTTTTGGTGAGAAATCAGTGAAGTCTATCACAAGTCTGTCACATGTTGGTCACAAGTTAGTTGCGTGTCAGTCACATGTCAATCTTATGTCAGTCACATGTTCATCACATGCGAATCACAGGTCAGTCACAAGTCGATTGTAAACCAGTCACGAGTCAAATCATAAGTCAGTCACAAGTCAATCACAAGTCAGTCACAAGTCAGTCACATGTCAATCACATGTCAGTCGCAAGTCAAATCACAGACTAGTCACAAGTCAAATCTTAAGTCGGTCACAAGTCGGCCTTAGGTCACGTCACTAGTCTGATCCCATTTAACAGTGGATAAACTACGACAGTGAAATCCCACAATTCAATAAATGTTGTGTCCTTTTCTTACAGGGGTCTGTAGTTTTTGCTGAAATTCAAGGTCACATTGAGTGTAGTGTCAAGCTTTCTGGAATGCCCGACCTCACGATGTCCTTTGTCAACCACCGCTTACTTGACGACGTCAGTTTCCATCCATGTGTCCGATTCAAACGTTGGGAGGTAAGTTCTACAAAAGTACCAACAATAGCATATCACATATACATTAATATTTCATATTTCATAGTTCTGGCCACTAAAAGAAAACAAAAATCCTGTTTCGTGGTCAAGAACAACTATGCCTTAGCTGAATCTTGTTCCTTGCATTAGTTTTTGAGGTATTAGGCGAAAAACAAATCACCTTTTTACAGTAATCAGTCCTACCTGGAACTTTGCACCCAAATTTGCCGACCTCAAACTTGTTTTTTGCCAAGTTTGGCCAAAAGTGTACAAAAGTGTATTTTGAAACTTTGAAAAGTCTTCCCTATGCGAGTTCATTGTGTGTTATTGGTTAATTAGACAATCATAACAGATTGCAATCATAGGGACCCTAAAGTAAATAACGTATGTATAAATGACCAACAGATAAACATTAAAAAATAAAACTTTTCCTACCTACTTTTTCCTGGCTTTAATTAAACCCACTTTAGAAAATAGATATAGCTCAGTTCGGGACCTCTGTTGTAGACATGGCCTTCATAGAATGATTGGTGCCTAATTTGTATCCTTAATATTACCTCAAAATTGACAATATGTTGATTTTTTTATTCCCCACAGTCGGAACGAGTGTTGTCTTTTGTCCCACCTGATGGGAACTTCCAACTATTGACCTACCACATTGGAGCATCTAGGTAAGATAAGTCAGATTATTTTTTTCTGAGAAACCAAGATAATTTGATTTCTGGTTAATGGAGATCAACAGCTATCGACTAGTATACAACAATTGTTCAAAAACTTGTTGTGGTTTGAAGAAAGGAAAGAATTTTTGTGGGGGGAGGAGAACAACAAAATCAGGGGAAAGTAGAGGAGGGTTTTCGGTTTAGTTTCAGTTCACAACCAATTCAGACCAGTTTACGTCGGATGGCGTGTATACATGCAAAGGTTTTGCGGTATTTGGAACGGATGATGCGTAAACACGCAGCTAGCGAGGCCGGAAAAATCTGACTGCGATTGGCTCGCAGCGAGCGAGGCCAGAAATATCAGGGTGTGCTACCTGCAGATAACAGCCTGAACCCGTCTGGCATCGAGCTTCGTGAAAAACAATCCCGCGCCTGGGTCCGGTCAATGTCAAAATAATCCTGGCGCAAACTGGTCAATAAATATGTTGGAGGTTCTTATCCAGTTACTGCAAACAACGATTTGAGAAACAATTAATTTTTTTTTTGAGGGTTTATCCGTAGACCTTCTGGTTCATACTTCAACGGATTTGTGAAGCAAATGTGACATCATGAATTATTCGCTGCAAAATTAGCCAGAGTTGACATTTGTTTATTTTGTGCATTTGCAGCACGAATACTTGCCGGTATGAACCAGTCTTTACTCTGTATATTAGGGCTAGCTGGATGTTCCATTTGCCACAAAGTCATTGATAATATAACTTCACAAACTCACTGTCTCTTTTATTTCCGCACTCAGCCTGACTGCCATCCCAGTCTACATCAAACCAAACATCTCCTTCCGGGACAACTCTGGACGGTTCGAACTCTCCATTGGACCAAAGCAGACGATGGGCAAAAACGTAAGTATAACGACATTGATAATATTGAATGCATTGCAGATAGCTTTTATTTTCACTGAATGCCACGGTGTGGGCTTCTTTAAGTACCTCCTTGATGGTTACAAAGAGTGAGGAAGGGCAGCACTCTTAAATGATTTGCCACCAGACGTCCACAGGCGTCACCAGACCAACTTGAATTGGGGCAGGGGGAGTTGTAACATCAAATTTGCGGATGGTAACCAGAAAAAAATTTCTGGTCAAACCCCATCCCCCAAACCCCACCCTCACCAGGTCAATATGTGGCTGGACATCATCTTCCTATTGGGGGCGCTGTTGAAAGCGGATAGTCTTGAACACTATCGCACAATAGGTGGCGCTATTGGTTGCGGCATATTTGTGACTGAAATGATCTTGCCAACAGGATGATTTTGGCAACGAAAAGAATTAATTTGGGGGGGGGAGGGGTTCGCAACCTCCCCTCCCCCACCCCAATCCCCCCCCCCCCCCCACCTCATTTTGTCGGATCTGGTATTATTTTGTTTTTGATTTACCATGTTCAGGTGGAAAACGTAGTGATCACTTCGGACATGCCCAAGCAGGTACTGAATATGAACCTGACCCCCACCCAGGGGACGTACAGCTTTGACCCCGTGGGCAAGACTCTCACCTGGGAAGTTGGCAAGATCAACCCCCAGCGACTGCCCAGCATTAAAGGCTCGGTGTCACTGCAGAGCGGTGCCCCACCCCCCGAAGCCAACCCTACCATCAACGTGCAGTTTTCCATCTCGACGCTGGCCATATCTGGGGTGAAAGTCAACCGGCTGGATATGTATGGAGAGGTATGTTTGCCTAGTGTCCTGACTGACTGACTGTCACATGTGACTTAGACTGGTTGTTCCCCGGTGAAGAGTGCCGGGCAGTGCTGTTGTATAGGATTACCCCGCAACTAACATTAATTTGTTGGGTTATTAAGGAATTTTGGCGAATGTACCTACATGCATTCCGTAGCTTGCCCAACATTAAAAATATATTTTGTTCTTCCTTTTCAGAAATACAAGCCCTTCAAAGGAGTCAAGTATATAACGAAGGCTGGCAAGTTCCAAGTTCGAATGTGAGTCTCTGAGATTCCAGAAATATATGTAAACTTATAGAAATATATCTCGCAAAGTTGTTAACAAACTCTTGTGTAAATTACATAACCATGAACATTTAATGTCAAGTATTTAATTAAAATCATGTAGAAGTGCAGAGTCAGTTCTGAAAACCAGTTTTTACAAAGGGTCAACATTTGGTATAAAAATCATCAAAAAAAGTAATAAAACCCTCTTAAAATCTCTGAATGGAAAGGGGGTCCAATTGCAGTTCTGTGTACTTCACAAAAAGCTGAACCTGAGTTGTTAGAATTGTTGTCTTTTCCATTGTATATTTGTCTCAATATTTTACAACTTTTTAAAGTGGGTTTTGTTTTGGTTTATCGTTAGGACATTAGGCCAAAAAAAAAAAGTCTCCGGTTTCTGGTATGGAGCTTGCCCCAAAAGTGGTGCGGCGACGCGGCTTTTTTTTTTTTTTTACCCGTTTTTTTTTTTTTTTTTGGCTTCAAATGTCGGCTGATGACTGCAAATGATGCCCGACTAAACTTAGTGCAAATATATGGGAGTCCAGATATTCTCGATCATAACCCCTTCTAAAAACACGTTAAAATTGTGCAGCAGCAGAATTCCAGTCAAACCAGTGAGTTTGGCGGTTTTGAAACATCATCTTGTATTGAAAAAAAAACTTTTTCATTTTGCCGACGCGCATGGCTACGGCGACGCGCGCGCATACCAGAAACCGGAGACTTTTTTTTTTTGGCCTTAAGATCAGTTTTTGGCTTAGGGTGTTTGTGAAACTTTGCCTTTGCCACCAGCTTTGGCATCTGGCTGAGTTTTGCAGTTCTCGGGTCCCCGACCAGGTTTAATATTGCGTCATTTCTTGCTTCCAAAGTTAAAATCCTAATAAAATTGAAAAGGTCATTAAGATTCGAAGGGTCATAAATCGTTCTGTAGCCAAAGATTAAGCCGAAGCTGGAGAGAAAACCTGTGTTTCAGAAAATGGTTTCTATTTGGGTCAGTGCATGAACTTAAGAGGGCGCTATGTAACCTAGCAGTGGTTGTATGGGAAGTGACTGCAGCCGCTAGCCAGTGGCTTCCATAAATGCGTGTGTTATTCCTGGCCATAGCCAAGTGATTTAGACACGGCTTAATTCACTGGTTCACATGCCAAGTTTATCAATTTGCAATCATTGGATACCAGGGAAGGTGGAGTGTAATAAAAAAAATGTGAAATTAGTCTGGTTCCTGTTCTCCTTTTAAGCTCCCAGGCTTCAAAACGAGAAGATGGGACCAGTCTAGAAAAAAAAATCCTTACATACATGTATTCACTGGTTTCCCAGTTTGCATTGTCACAATTTACGAGATTAATTAAAAATGTAATGTTTACAATTGTTATCATTTTGGGAGCTTCAAATTAGACCACAGTAGGTCACAGAAACAAAAATGTTCCATTTATTGTGTTCCATTTAAGATGATTTGATGTTATTAATACAGTACTGTAGAAATATATGAGGCAGTGAAAACAAGTTTAAAAGTGTCTATTCCGATGAAAACATTCCCGGTAATTATCTGTAGTTTCAAAAATTGTGAGACCCCATATACATGTATTTGATTTGTGTATTCCATTTTGCATTTTGTGCCCTATGGTATTTTTTAAGTTCAGTGGTCTTCACTTTAAAAAAAGAACTTGTTCATGAAAATGGCCTTTGAAAAAAATTCTAATTATTAGAAATTGACAAAGATCTCTTTAGGTCAATATGTTGTTGATCAAGGATATTGACCAGAGCAGGGTTCGAACCTGCAATCTCTATAATCTCTGCACCAGCGTTCTGTTCAACACTTGTCTACAATTTACAACTTTACAAATGAAGTTGGATCAATGCAGTGCCACGTGCTTGTATTTTGTTCTTGTCAAATTCTGTTTTAGATTAATGTTACCTATATTATGTGAAAATTATTACTTCTGTGCTTTGTTGACAAAAGTATGTGCATAAATATCCTACATGCAGCTACTTGTAAAACTGTCCAATTTTCAATGATTTTGCGAACTCTGTTGTAAGCCTGTATTTTAAACTGCATATGAGAACGGCATCATGGAACTTCGCTTGAACTATTTTACGTCAAGACTTAAACCAACCATTTCATATTCGGTTGGATTTTTCATTTGTTGGTTTAATTAATTTTGTTGGTTTACACGTTGGCGTTTCTGAATCATGAATCTTTATTATTGTCAATTGGTCCAATTATTTTTTACAGGGATAGGCCTTTTACCTCACACAAGTGCCGCATATTGAGGTCACTTTAAAACCAGCTCGCACCGGGATTATTTTTGCTCAAAATTTTTTTTTTCGACAGCAGCAACAGCAGCAGCAGGGAGGTGAAAAAACCTGTCTACTTTTGAGCATGGATAAAATTGGGCAACCCCTCCCCCCACTGTAACATCCAGCCCCCCCCCCCCCCCCAGGATGAGAACCCAGGCTACGCCGCTGCATAACCGTCCATGTGTCAAAAACTTTCATATGGATATTAAACTCACACAAAATGCAGTGTATTTAGGTCACTGGAAGAGAGTATTTATTTACATTCAAATTTACAAATTTACTGCGGTTGTATTTACACTTACAATATGCTGATCGCCCATCACCACAATTAAAAAATCAAAACGATGGCATAGTAGTTTAGTCGACAGAAGATAGAGTTTTTCGATTTCAAACTAAATAAGAATGAAGATGGCTTATGTTTGTGACTCATTAAAAAGTTTGCCGGTCGGGCTGTGACTCGCAAAGTTGACTTCTCTTAGGGAACTTTCTTTCTTTGAACAGAAAAAAAAAATTCGGTCAATTTCCTGTAAACAATAACTTTATTGGATCTGTAATAATGAAACGCCATCCGCATAAAACGAACAGAAAGGATATTCAAACAAAAATAACTCAAAAGGAAACCAGTTTCGGGTTGTTTCTTGTCTTGGAGTCTCTTTTGGCGGGAGTTTGCAGACGATCACTTCACATCTAGCACACTTCTTCAATTTCGTCCCAGTAGCAACCCTCGTCGCAACACTCGTGCTGTAAATCTCGTTTGGGACGATTCAAGAAACCCCCGGCTGCCTCCGGTTCAAGAAACGCTGGAACAGGAGCGAAAAAGCAAAATTTAATCCTACTGAACAAAATATACCAGTGGGCTTACTACTTACAATAATTGCTTTTTTTTCTCAGTATACGTGTGTAAATATAGCCTAGATCGTTTACAGTGCAGCCGTGTTCGAGGTGTGTGTTTTTGTTCAACAGGGATACGCACGTCTTGTGCATTCATTGCTAATGAATGGGCCGATCCAGTAAGCACCGCCCCATGATATTCTGACCAATCACAGCCGTGATTTATGTCCGACATGCGTGCACAAAAGTCCGACATGCGTGCACGCGCGTATGATGCGCGCGGCTGGAAAATGCAGTGTGGCATTGGAGAGGAGCACGTGTTAATTTGCCCACGTGCGCAGTGGGAGGGGCTTACTGGATGGTCATTAATATAAAACACACCTCAAACACGGGTGCTGAAACCAATCAGTCTTTGGAAATATCAGTAATGGAATGTTCCGGATTCAGCCATAAACTCCGCCCACCCTTCGTTGGTGTACATTTTGACCGTAGTCACCTGATTGAAAGACGTGATCAAATTGGCCAATCCGTGCGGGCTTATTTTTTGATTGACATGGCAGGAAGGGGTTCATTGATGGTTGCTATGGCGGTTATTGCCCTTCTCATGAACTGAAGGTTTCGCGAAGCAAAAGTACTACCAACGACAATATCGAGATGCCGGACAGCTTGCCAATTTGTACACAAACCGTGTGAATTTATTTTCTAAAATTATCAACTCTGCTGTCCCAGTGAATTCGCCACTATTGCGAAATTTTCTCCGTGCGAGAAAAAAGGGAACATCAACCAACGATTGACAATACTTTAGACTACCAGTGAATTTTACGTTCTCATTACATTGTGAGAATGGACTGGGTTTTTTTTCAATTATCTTTAATTATATTTTTGTAAATCATTACCGATGGCGTCAGGGGAAGTTATGGGCATTTTTCATATCGTGAATAAGTCCAATTGCATTATTATGTTCATCCAATTTCCATATTTTCTTTGGCTTGTTAGCGTCCTGAGTGTTTTATTACCATTTTAGTTTAAGTTTTAATTATCATAAGTGGTTCGTGGGGGGGAAATAACACTTTGGTAATGAATTCGATCATTTGTTTTCATTATTAGCGCTCATCCAATTTCCTGAGTGATTAACATGAGTGGTAGCTCCCAAACTAGTTTCTGACAAAACTTTTTGTGACCTAGTTGCGGGGTGAGGTAGCTGGTACTAATTCCAGCTAGTCATGGGTAGGGCGCCAACAAGCGTTTGTCTTGAGATAGGCAATTTTCAACTTTACTGTGTCAAATATAGAACCTGAAAATTGGCCCCTGGTGCATGCAGTGACGCGCTTCCGAAACCCTTCAAAAAAAGGGAAAGAAAATTAGTATGTTCAAGTCGGAATTTTTTTAATTGCATTTGGTACATTGATTTCTTACGAATACGAAAGTCGCCCATGGAAGCTCGGACAACTAAAAAATATAGACAAAATATATAGACAAACAAGTTGGAAAATAAAATCGTATTTTATTTCAAGATGAAGCTTTTAATTTGGCCAGTGATTCACAGAAATTGAAAACTTAGATATAGTGATTCAAAGTGAAATGTAAAAATGAGATTGCCTGATGAGTGACTGTTACTGATCCTAACCAATATGGTGCCTTCGCTCCTACCCCCAACCTCGTCCCCAGGGTGTCGAGCAGTACGCGCCCACCACTACCTGCTCTCTCACCATGGTATTGAATCATTTGCATGTGCAAGATTTTTGCACACGTATGCAAATGAGGAACAGTCTGGTGCCTGGATATGCGTTACACATTAGCGTTTGTTTTTGTATGCGGTGTCTGGGGTAAAAACAGAGTCAATTCGTAGCAGCGCGAGCACGGCGTGAGTTACGAAAACACGATTGTTGAAATCAAACTGTAACGATCTTATCAAGACAACATGCAGTATCATATTTCATATTGATATGAGCAAATTGGAAAAGAAATTAGTATTTTCGAGAAGGCGTGGACGAATGATCGCAAAAACACGTACTGCACGTTGTGAATATATAGCACCAAGTACACGATAAAAATCCATTACTAACCAATTGCGGTATTCAATCAGGATACAGGAAGAAAGTTTCCTATCCAGGGTTTACTATTGGAAACGCAGTTGGAAATAAAGTAAGCACTGGGGACGAGGTTGGTGAAGCTCATCAGAGTATCCCAGCGTCCTGTTTGCAGGGCGGGGGGTACGAGCGAATATGGTGCCGTACTTGCTGACGCATGCGCAGTACTGACCGAAAAGGATCGTGGACGAACCTGAAACGTCTATAATAATGCTTTGATCAGATTTTACTTATTAATAAATTAATTTCAACAGGACAACTGAAGAATGCTAACTTTAATACACATGGGTTGATTAACTAACCTTGATTTATGCCTTCAAGTTCAATAATAAAATAATGACACCAATGATCAATTACAATTACGTTCAAATTAATTCAATTCAAATTGAAACCTCTGTATCTGTATGTAATAATTATGTAGTGCCTTGTTCAGTAACTACGGTATTGACAGTGGTCAGGGCGTCTCGACAGGAGTGGCAGCTAGCTATCTTCATTCACATCGCACTCAGTTTTGGATGGAGCTACGAAGGTTTGATCTATTTTTCCTCGGAGTTTCTGCCTCCTCTCACAGGTTTGCTCATATCGGACGAGTCAGTCATGAGAATTGCTTGTTTATTATGTTGGTTGACGAAAAAGTTATGATTTTGCGGCTAAAGACTAAATTGCGTTGATTTATTTGGGGAGCAAATTTTTGCCCGTGCGTCACGTCACTTTGTATTGAAAAAAAAACACCCAGGACATACATTGCAGAAGACATAAGACCGGTTCTTGTAAACAGCGCCCCCATCGGCCATTTTGTCGATAGCTATAGGAAATAAAAAGAAACTTTTATTGATGATAGCATTTCATTTTCATTCAGCCAGCCACTGAGCCAGACTTTGTTTTCACACGGAAACACATTAATAATATAATTCAGAAAAAAATATCGATTAATTTTTAATGTTTTTTTTTTTTTTTTTTTTGCATTCAATACCCGTCTTGCTGCGCTAGTGCTAGGTACGGTACAGCTAGCTAAAGGGTTGTGTATCGGCCATCGTAATTGTCAGAGTTCAGCGGCAGTGTGCAGTGTGTAGGTGTGTGGTGGCGCTCCGTCAAAAAACAGCTGAAATTGACGACAAACTTTGGGCTAAAGTCGAGAAGATACATTGTATTCCTGGTGGGGATGTACAATTCTGTGGATAATTGCAAAGCGATAAAGACAAAATGAGTGCTTTGCCAGCATCACCAGAGGTAAAAAGTAGTTGTTTTTTTTACTAACGTTACGAATCTTATTCACAAATCGGCACGTGTGCCTTGTCATATGCACAACCTACGGAGTCTGAACCAGTGCATGTCATTCATTTCATTGTAAATCAGACACTACTTTATGCACAGGTTCTGTTGCATCTTGCTGCCACTATTTGTTTGACCATAGGTTTGACAAGGATTCCACACATGGACATCTCTAACTTTCCCTGCAGTAACCTATCACAGCCATCAGAAAGCAACAACCATGACAACATGTCCTCAAAAGTTAGCAGGGCCAGGGAAAATAATTTATTTGTAAATTGTATCATGTTTATTGAGAGAAAACACTTGGCAGGCTTGGAATCTTTTTAGACCAGTCTCTCATCATAGCGTTTGTGCACAGTTGTCAAGTGATGTCCAAGTACGTCAATACTCCACTATGGAGGGACGACCTATGGGATGTTTGTTTGTTTGTTTTCAATCTCATAATACTGATTTCACATCTAAAAAAAAAATTACATGGCATGGGCCTTTAAATTTATTGCATGTTTCGATGAAGCGTTATAAAAAGCCATTGTTATATTTGCAGGAATTGCTGATCTCAATCCGGAGTTTCGTGAAAGGAATTCACGCGAGGTCGGGTCACAAGTTGACGAGTGAGGAGCATGCCCGGTGCGCTCTTCACCTCCTGCGTACGCTGCCGGCAGCGCGCACGGCCGTCCTGGAACACCTGTGTCACGTGTTCGACGAGAGCGTCAATTCCTATCTGTTCGAGTTGGAAGGAGAGGGTACGTTAGTTTTGTCATTAGCTGAAATTGTAGTCAAGTCCATCACAAGTCAGTCACAGATGACATCGCAATACAGAGATAATACTGAGGAAAGTCATGTGTTACAGTGCTTTCAAACAGCTTGTGATCTGACTTGGGATTCATTTTATGATGACTTGTGATTGGCTTATGATAACTTATGATTGGCTATGATGACTTGTGATTGACTTATGATGACTTGTGATTGGCTTATGATGACTTGTGATTATCTACTGACTGGCTTGTTGTGACTACAACTCTATCTAGAGCCTCAAACGTTTATGCAAATTTGTGGAGTCATGGTAGAATATAATTGACCTGTACTTCACTAATGTGTGCTAATCGTATTTCTAAGCGCTTTGTCCTGCTTTATACCTCTATGAAATTGAATATAGTTTTTAAAGCATAATATTATGAGTTTTTTTCTTTTGTCTGTTTGTAGCCAGCACTGGGCTGAATCTTGATGGAGTCATTCAGGAAATCTATGATGTCCTCTTGAATTTCGTCAACACCAACGCGGATGCCTGGTCGCCCCTCATTTCTTCTGTAAGCATTTTTTTTTTTTTTGGAAATCGTAAATTTCTTTTTGAAAATCTCCACTTCATTTTGGCTTGATATATAAACCGAAACATTTAGCTTTGTGTAAATTTTCTCACAGTGTTTGTGACCGAGTTTGACCGAGCATTTTTGTTGCAATCTGAAAACAAAATGCTTTAATCAACTGTCCAATTTATTTCATGTTTTGGGCAGGAACTTTCTTGAATCCAATAAAACTGAGGGTTAATGTTTGAGCGCTTATTTGAGGAAACTTTTTGTATTGCAATTCTCACCCACAGTGGTCGATTGACCTACTGGGCCAAATCAGCAGCACCTATGCAGGCCGGAGAGGAGTGCCCCACCCCTCCAGCCTGAATGAACTCCTCCAGCTCTGGATGACTTGTAAAGGTAAATGGATCATTCCATTATCTCTTTTAGTGGAGGTCAAGCATCCCATTATGGAAAGAGTGAAATAATTATTTGCTAGTTACTTTTTCTACCTTTAGTGATGAAAAGTATGAAGCAATCCTATGGCGATAAAAAAGTAAAATTCAAATTTTAATTGCCTTAATTATTTAATCATCAAATTATTTGTATCATTTATTTGGTGATTTGTTTAAAGATACTCTCTAAGTAATGCCTATTGCTATTTCCCAGGTTTGCAGCATTGCTAATGAACGTGTAGCTAGCTTCGTGACTTTGGGCGTGATCCCTGGCTACATGGCATTTACTGGTTTATGGCTTCTGACTAGCACCCCTTGAACAAAGACACTGAAAAACTTGGGAACCGCCAACATAGGGCTGGATAGCTCAGTGGGTAGAGCACCGAAACGGCAATCCGGAGGTCACAAGTTCAGACCCCTCTCCAGTCAATTTCTTTAATCAATCTTATATGAAAAACAGTTTACAGGATTTTTGTTGTTGGATTTTCCTATTCCAGCTACCAGAACACTGATGGACGTGGCCTCGCAGTGTTTTGCAGCCATGGTTGGGACGTGCCCGGACCTTTGCGTGGACGCACTGTTGGACACATCTGTCCAACACTCGCCCCACTTTGACTGGGTCGTCGCACATATCGGGTCAGTATTGCCAGACATTTGTCATTGAGCCCAGGAAATAGTCGCTTAACAAAAAGCGGTTACCAACCAAAACGACATTTGATTTGTATTGAGTAGTACCAGTTCTCAGGATTTTGCTAAGCGCAAACGTTTGCAACATTTTCTCATCACTGTGATTAGTAGCTTTATGAAGACGGCATTGTAATTATGCAAAACTCAGACGTTGAAATTTTCTGGAAATTTGGAATGGCCATAGTTAATGGTTCTCTAAAACAGTAAGTCATTCAAAATTTATACCAAGTTTACTTTCCAAGTGCTCATAGCAAGGGTCCGTGAAATTAATATTTCTAAGGAACACATTTTGTCCAACTTTCTACTTCTGCAGATATTATTTGGCCTTGGTGTCCTGCCTACTGGCCTTGGTGCCCTGTATAATTTTGCTTCAATTAAGTCCAACATGGCCTTGCCCTAAAAAGTACCAAATAAATTCAAGGCCTGATTTTTTTTGTTTTTTTTTGGCAGGTCCTGTTTCCCAAACACCATCATAACTCGCGTCCTGTCCTGCGGATTGAAAGACTTCTGCAACAGCCAATCGCAGGGCTTGGTTGCCTCCGACAAGAAAGTGCCCAAGATGGCGTCGGTGGTGGGAATTCTGGGCCACTTGGCGTCGCAGCATTCACAGGACATTCGCAAGGCCCTGCTGGAACTGTTCCAGGTACGAAGACGTGACAAATGGTCGTAGCAATGAAGTGACGTGTTGCAGATGCAGTGATAGTTTTGTTTAACCTCTTGCCTCCGGGATTGTTTTAGGCAAAAAACACCATTTGTGAAAAAGACAAGATACAGCTGCCCAATTTTAAAATCAAGTCAACACCACAAAAATACTGACTCTAATTAAGAGTCATTTGTACAAAAGTTGTACGACACTTCACACAGTAACCTCATATTTTGCAACACTCGAAGACCCGACCACAAGTAATTTACTCTTAGCCTCTTGTTTATTTTGAGTCTGGTTCCAGCACTCCAACTTGTCTTTTTCCCTGTGTATCTGTAGGAGAGTTTGGAGAGTGATGAGGAGCAGCACCTGTTCACGGTTCCGTTTCTCCTTCAACTGGCTACCATGTCACCTATGCTACTCCGGGTCATCACGACAGACTTTGTGCAAGCACGTGAGTTTTCTTTTCCAAAAAAAATTGCAATTGACTTGTGAATGACTTGTGATTGACTTGTGATTGACTTGTGATTGGCTTGTGATTGACTTGTGACTGACTTGTGATTGACTTATGATTGACTTATGATTGACTTGTGATTGACTTGTGATTGACTTGCGATTGACTTGTGATTGACTTTGGATTGACTTACGATTGACTTGTGATGGACTTGTGATGGACTTGGGATTGACTTGGGATTGACTTGGGATTGACTTGGGATTGACTTGTGACTGACTTGCGATTGACTTGTGATGAACTTGTGATTGACCTGCGATTGACTTGTGATTGACTTGTGATTCATCACAATCACCTCAACTACAATACTGCCATATCTAATGAACTAACAGGCCCTTTTGTTTGTTTTTTTGTTTTTTCAGTGACGCCAGACGTTCTGAATCGCCTGTCAGAGCAGTTCTTCAAATCGTCTCTCCTCTTGCAAGACAAGGACAGTCTCCTGACGTTAGTCATCCACCTCATCTGCCGCTCTGGCAGCGGCGCTTTCAAACTTCTCTGCTTCTTGCTCGACCGGGCCTGCGACAGAGGTCAGCAGTCGAAGGTCAACGAGCACGTGCAGAAGACATGCGCACTGATTCTGGTATGGACTGTAGGGGGCGCTTTGGATGTTGGCCGTGAGGGCACTTGAAGATGCTAAGGACTAGTTTGCATGGTTATGTTGAGACCAAAGACAAGTTCTTTTAGAACTTACAGCAGGACTGTTCTAAACAGAACAAAAAAACTACTTAGCAAGTTGATAATAAGCAGGACAAGTTCTTCTCAGAACTAATATCTTCTAAGCAGTAGTTATTACCACATGGTGTTACCGCAAAACCCGAAACGATACCGATACCCCACCATGCAAAGCCTCAAATCTTATATGGTTATGCGAGTCGTATTGGATTGACTTTGGGGTTTTATTTTCAGCAAGTAGAAAGCAGTGGTAAGAAAAACGTAAAGAAAAACAACTGTTTGTTATATTTTTTTCTTTGATAGGATCTGTTGGTTCTGGACCTACAGCGGTCTGTCTACAGTCAGACTGGCAACCTGTCCCTAGCCCAGCAAACAGGAGCATCGTCTGCACCGGAGACAACGGAGATTCCCTTCCTGACCGAACTTCAGAAACACACCAACACGCTGTGCGCTGACATATTGACGGCAGGAAAACAGAGGTAAGAAGTCAATTGTAAGAATTGTTTTGGCTGTTCCCGGAGGGTCAACCTATCGTTGTCTTTGTACCTGAGTGAGTGAGTGACTCACTGGCCGACTGGTACTTGGCAATTAGACTTGCATAAATCTCGCCTTGGTCCAAAAGTACGAATAGGATTCCCAAACCCCCCCTCTCCCCACCCCCATAATGCCAATGAACGGGCTAGTGTGGTGTTGCTGACATGGGCAGTGAGCAGGTTCAATGAATCAGCCTATTTTGTCACTAGGTTGCCATGGTTACAGAGGCTGCTCGGTCTAATCGGCGTACACTGCGGGGAGAGTTGTGCCACTGACATCTTAACGTGCGTCCTCATCAAGCAGTCGGCAGCATCAGAGGTCAGTGTTTCCTGTGAGCGGAAAGAAATTTAGCGTCAATAAATTTCAAAATAAGGGAGGAAAATGACACCAAAAAATATACTATTAAATTATTTAATATCAATCTGAAATTCTGGCCAGGGTGTAAGTAAATAAGTAAATTTGGGGGCTGATCGTCCTTACTCACAGCAGAAACTGAATTGCGAATGACGCAGCGACAATGTGGTCAAGCCAAAGGCTTGTGTTCATGTTCAAAAGTGTTCATTTTTGCAGAGGGAGGAAAACCGGAGAGCCCGGAAAAAATTCTAGCGGCACACAAGATAATCAACTAACAACTCTAGTCACATATGACCCCGGCCGTGAACAGCTTGAATAGCGCCCTCTAAAGTTCACACACACAGCCACTAACTATTCATAATCTTGTCCATGGTTCGCAATTCTTCTCACGTATGACCTGAGCTGTGACAGCTTGAGTAGCGCCCTCTAAAGTTCACGCACAAAGCCACTAATTATTCTTAATCTTCTCCACGGTTCGCTGTACCTTTTGCGCAGGTGTGCCTCTTCACATCGTTGCAGGCCGAGATTGAAGCAGCTTTTCCCAACATCTTGCCGAGGACATTGAGCAAGACCATGAACCAGTTACAACGCATCGAAGAGTCGGAGGTAATGCAATAAAAACAAAAAAGTAACTTTGAAACTTGAAAAATGCAATTTGTTAGTCGGGCAGTGCTGTTGTATAGGATTACCCTGTAGTGCCAATGAATCTGCTAGATCTGGCCCGTTGTGTAGACCAGATGCATGAAAAGGCGTTTTCCGTGAATAGCCACTCTGAATTGATTGAATAGAATTTTGTGTGCTTTTGGACCAGCTTTGTCTTGTCTTGTTTTCCGTCGACAGACCAAACAACTACTTATAAATCTCACGGAACTACTGAAATGGGAGACAGTCGGGGCGGGGCGGGCCACGCCCAGGTTCAGTTTCAGATCCGCCCTTGTCCCCCACCTTCACCCGCTCTCCACCCAGCTTCACCACTCTGACCTCACCATCGCGACCCAGACCATGGAACTCTTGCAGCTGATTGGCCGGCCCCAGCCGGTCTCCATGGTGACGCTGGTGGGAGTCGCTCAGTCGGCGGCCGAGTTTTTCTTCACGGCGATGCACATCAGTCGAGGTTGGTGCATCTTGAAGAGTTTTCAGGCAAAATGTTGATATCATGTCCAATTTATTCAATCCTAACAGCAGAGGGCGTCCTTTAGGATAACTAGTGATGGCCTTTGCTCAAACCATGGTTTTGTCTTCAACTTTGCCTGGTGATGTTATACAAGTAACTGTGTGCTATCTTTGCAGGTAATTCCAACAGGCATAGGATACTAGACCAGTGTCAGAGCTATCTTTCTGCATGGTGCCAGCTATCGATGGGTCAGCAACTCGTGCTCAGGACTCTACTGGAAGGCATTACGAATAGGGTAAGGCCAGGTGTTTACCAAGCAATGGTATTGATATCAGCTGTGGCTTGTAATTTGAGTGTATTCTTTTGCCCATTGGTCATGCGTGTGTCCTTGGGCAAGGCACTTCACCTCAATTTGCTCTTTCCGACCAGGAGTATTAATGCATACATGGACTAGCTTAACTTTTAAACCTTACATTTTTTACAGCAAAATTGTTACTTGTTCGGCGGCAAGCCAAGCATTGAAGGCGAGTTGGCCCCTTTGCGAGACAAACAGACGTCGCTCCTGAAAGAGAACCAGAAATTTGCTAACGCTTCCTTTACGCTTCCGGCTAGCAATTCGGCCGTTTTCCACGCCGGTACCATCGGTCGCGGCCTGAAACCCAAAGCAGAACAGGCTGCGATATCCAAGGTAAGGCAAGATCCCAATCACTTAACTATCTTTATTGCAAGCCGCAGCCGAGTAATTTTACTTAAAGCTTCAAAATACATTTGGATCTACTTATGAAGCCGAAGCTGGGGACAAAACCAAGATTTGGAAAACATTAAATAGTCTGTGAGGAATTGAAGCCATTTCTCAAATCATGACTCTGCCTACAGCTTGGGATCCATATATAAAGCCGAAGCTGTAAACAACACCAAGATTTGGAAAATTGTCGAGTAGTCTTTTATAATGCAAGGATCGAGAATTTAAGGCGTATCCCAAACCATGGTTTTGCCTGCAGCTTTGGCTTCGGTTTCTGTTTGATTGTTGCGAGAGAAAAAATGCTGGCGTTGACTTAAACCCTCACCTCTGTTTACTATTACTATTTCAAAAATTTTACCATTTGTAAAAAATTACAGTGATTGAAACACAGGGATGGCTCAGTTGGTAGAGCACCTGAACGGCAATCCAGAGATCGCAGGTTTAAACCCCGTTCCAGTCATCTTTTTTGTTCAACTTTTAAAAAATTATTGTAATGCATGAAGTCAGATTCCTTTTGCTATGAAATTGTCCCAAGAACACTGGAACTGTTATATAGGGGTCTACGGTTCATATCCCCAATTTTGCTACTTCAGGAGGATGTTCTACAGAACTGCCAGTATTTCTTGGACACCCTGTACCTCTGCTGTTTGGGCCGTGAGGCTTCTCCTACCCCTACCCCTCCAGCCCCGGTGCTGAGCCTCAAGCCGATTGATGAGAAGGCGGCCAGGTCACTAGCAGGGCTCTTGGTGGAGTTGGCGTGCCCGGACGTTGCCCACATTGGGGTAGCGTGGCCTGAAGAGGAACACATGAAGCTGACAGTCGAAAGGTAACTACCTAATCAATGCCATGGCCAGTGGTTATGGTGTCCGACCCATGGAACATGGCGCTTGTGTTCTTGGGCAAGACACTTGACTACAATTGCCTTTCTCCGCCCAAATGTACTTACATTTGCTAATCAGAAGTGAACATTTTCTGCTGGGATTCTCCACCTAAGTACAAACATTAGACGTGAAATTGGACTCTGGGATCTAAATCACTTTCTAATGGAGCACCCACCAGTAACGGCCGAAAGCTCTTTTTTTTCAGAATAACTGTCATGAGGCATTACTATGAACATTGATTTGGTGCCCAGATCGGTCAATTTTTGTTATCAACATTTTTTTTTATTGGAAAGATGCTATTCCAAGGCTATAAACCACAAAAACTTAAAAAAAAAAAAATGTATGTATCCTGTCTTCTGAAAAGTCCATCACCATTAATCATTATAAAAAAAAGGAAAAATTGTATTCAAAAATGAAATTATTTTTGTAACTTACTTTTTGTGGGATCGATATTTGCTTGCCTTGCAGGGACCTGTTTGTACGACGACGGTTTGAAGAGAATCCGCTTTTCTGGGATTTCTTGGAAATAATCAGTAGAGGTAAGAACAAATCATGACTCTAATATTGGCCCATGGCAAAAAAACCTTTCCTCAGAAGTTTGTAAAAAAAAATGTTCACTACCTAAATAATTAATTTATTTTTAAAATGTTGGTTGTGTCTTCTGTAGTTCCGGCTGCACTCTGCCAGTGTGCCGTGCTGTTGTATAGCCTGCATGCCACTCTCATTGCATTCTGGGATACCAGTAGAGTGACGAGGGGGGACAGCGCCCCCGCCCAGCTCCGAGCGACATGCAGGCTACTGGAATGCATGAAACAGGTATGGCAATCCATCCGTGCATGAACGATAGAGGGCCCCATGACTGGATAGTGAACTAAGATTGTAGGTTGAAGTCACTTGGACGCCATCTTTGGAGGCCAAATGTGAACAAGTCTGTGCATCAGATCATGATCCATGTCATGCCATTTGTTGTGGCATCACCAGTGGCAGCCATATTGAAGGGCTTAAAAAGTGACTCTGGATGGCTTCAATTCTGTATGCATGGTGACTGGAACATGTAAATGTAGTACCCGGTCAAAAATATTTCTCAACGTGGTTCTGTGCCAATAAATGTGGTGTTAAAGTCTTTGAGATTCTTTATCTGGAAATAAAACAAAGTTTTCTCAAAAGTGAACAAGTCTTGTAGGTTAGATGACTGAAAAAAAACCAGAAGACAGAAAAAAATGCTTTCAAAATAAAAAAAAAATAATTAATTTGTTTTCAATGGAATTTCTGTTATCAACTTGTTCCCTCCCTTGTAGTCTGGGTTCCTACCCCCTCCCCTGTGCTACTGTAGCCTCCTTGTACCCAGTCTGGAGCCCAGCGAAATCAACCTCCTTCTGACGACCATATGGGCTTTTCTCAAGGTAGGATGCTGTCGTGGTTATGTTTGTAATATATTGTCATATGTTGGTTTTCCTGAAACAATAGTGGTCTACCTTTAATTGACATCAATTTCTTTTGCTCATGAATATAGGAATTTGTATTTGCATAAGAAAAAATGCAAAAAAGCCCTAAACTTAACAACTGTAGAAAGGAAATAAAAGACAAAACACTAGGGTAAATGGGACACTTACGTACATTTCATGAATTCAATTCTGAAAAGAAAAATACTGTTTCATAGTTCCTTTAAGTTTTTTAATCACAAGTATGGAATATTCTTTCTTTTTTTGTACAGGAAAATCCACCAAGTTTCAACACTCCTTTGAGCAAGCCTGACCTGAGTGGTAAATACGTCAGCTCATTCCCACCAGGTTCGTAGATTGAATTTCCTTGAAAAATTCTATTATATTTATAGGAGACTTTTTCTCAACAGCTTTGAAATTTTTCTGGTCAGCGCGCGCGCGTCGATTTTAATCATGCACGTCAATCTTTTTTTTCTCCAAAATGTTTCGCGGTAGCTCCAACATCGCCCTCTATTTCCGCATCTCCTCAATTTTTTTACCAAAGAGCACCAAGGAATGGGAAATTGTACCAAGGCAAATGATCGAAAACACCAAGGCATATTATGGAGCACACTAAGGTACATGAGGACACCAAAAAAGCAAAATAGTACCCCACCTTGTCTGTACAATCCAAGCTTGAGAAAAAAAAAAGCAAAAAAAAAAAAAAAAAGCCGCGTGGCCGCGTCAATTCCGGAACTTTGGTCTGACCAGAAACCGAAAATATATTTTTTTGGCCTTATACTCACTATTTATTTTGAATCCTATATTTTTTTTCTAGGTGTAACATTGAGGTATGCAGAGGTCATTCACGCCATCGTCCACAAAAACATCAGTCAGTTCGGCGACCTGTACTTACAGCTGTTCCCGACACTGGTTCCCATCACCCCGTTGCAGGGGACCAGCGCTGTGCCCGCAGTGGCAGTCGGTTCCCCATCGCAAGGCCAGGTACCGGCTCAAGGCACCGGTACCCCTACATGATAAGAACTGTGCTGTTTATATTTTCTGAAGTTGAAACGAACACAAAGACCAGTTGGCAGAAGCCAGTCGTAGTGTTTACACTTCGCCTTTGGAGAAAAAAAAAACTTTGTACTTTTATAAAGATAACTAAATATTGACTTTGTCAATCACATCAAAATTCCTGAACTGAGTGATAGTGTGTTACCTAGCAACCTTACAACTAAACAAAAATTTCTTTCTTGGCTTGAGCCTATGTTTGTTTAGTGGCAGTCAGATTTGTGTGGGCTTCCATTTTGGTTTTTGAAAAAGGTAAACAAACTTTAAAAGCGTTGATGTTTTGTGGATAGTCTTTTCAGTTTTTACACTTGGAAGGATGTTTTTGTCATATACACGGTATAAGCATTGGTTGTACAATACAATAAAACCCTTTTACACAAGCAAAAATGGTGTATTAGTAAAATTTATTATAAAAATAGATGACTGTTAAAAAATGACTACATGGCAGCGCTTTCATAACTGTAATGTCAAAAAGATTAAATATATTTCATACATTATGTGCATAAAAAAAATGCAGCTGTGTTTAAAAATAGTTCCTACATTCTTTACACCGATGGGATTAAATATAATTATTAAAAAAATTCTTAATTTTTTTAATGGGACGGATATTGGGCTTTAACAAATAAGCACAATTTGTATTTTAAAAAAATAATGAATAAGATACAATTCATGTAAAATCTTGCAATTTGTAATTTTGCATAAGAAAATTTGCAGATTATTATATTCAAAATTTGCGTAAATATTCAAAAAGAAAAGATAACTCCCCACTTATACAATTTATAAAAAAAAAATGAATTGCAGATTTCTCTGAAATTTACATTTAACATTTCATAAGACACATCTCTACCAATGAATAAGTAATTATACATTAGCACAAAATATACAAATAAGTGAAACAAAGAAATGGAGATATCAAATACCTCAGAAATTTTTGCATAAAGTGTTCCAAAAAAAGACTGAAATTTCTTCCCGTGTTAAAATTAAAAAAAAGTTTAGGCAAATTGCTATTAACGGAATCATTAATTGCAAAATAAACCCCCCAAAAGCACAAATTCCTTCTTCAAACCTTCAATTGAAGGAACAAATTATATTTAAATCACGAAAAACAAATTTGGAAGTCAAAACTTGTAACTTGTGTAGTTGTTAACTCAAAAATGCACTTTGTTCATGTGCCACAAATGTATGGAAGTAGTTTTACCCTGACAATTTTTTTTATAGTTAGAAATATTAATCTATTCACAAGATGATAGTACACAGATACATTTCAACACGATCGAAACCAAAAGTGGACATCACATATTATATAACTATTACATTTTTCATGTGCAGCATCTGGTAGAAATGATTTAACTTTTTGACCTTTTATTCAAGTTGCACTGGCTGTGCAAACTAAAGAGGGCGCTATCTATACTAAACAATGGCAAATGCACAGTGCAGCACCTAATGGCCACTCCTAAATCCTTGCAACACTTCTTTTATCAAATCGCCTCTCAACACAATTGTGTGTACATTGAGTGATCGATAACTATCGTGACTTTTTAGAGGAAGAAGGCTGATATGAGTTGTGGAAATGAAGGATCGTATTTTGGTGCAAACGGAAAAACACAAAATTGTGTTTTTTAACTTTCAGTCTTCGTCGGTCGCCGGCCACCGCCCCACCCTACGTTTCACCATCTCCGGCCTGCGTAGTCGTCTCTGGTGGGGCCTGGGCTGGGCAGGCCACGCCCCAAGTCCGCTCAGATTGCACTGGCAGATTTCCACGAGAGCGCTGACTTTGTCCAGCAGTGAGCTGCCGCGGAATTTGCGCTGCGCCAGCGCGAAGAACGCTTCCAGGAACGCGCCGAAGCACATGCCAGCGCTCACGCCTTCTGCGTTGTCCAGGTTCCAGCGCCGTGTGATGTCGATGTACATGATATCGATTCCTGCCATGGTGATCCCGTTGGTGCACAACTTGCATTTCCTACGAGGAGAAAAAGCACAGAAAAACCACAACACACCAAACTGTAAAACAGTGAATGAAACCTGGCGAAGATTTCGGTAAGTCCCCCATTTTAACAATGTTCTGTTAAAATTAAAGCAGATTTTTTTGCTTGGCAACTTTTATGTTGCACAAAAATCAGCTTGTGTACCAGTAACATTAAGCAATACAGGGTGCAAAACATGTTAACTGGTAACCTAAAATATTAGTTACCAGCCAAAACTTCATGTGAAACATTGTTTTTGACTGGTTTCCAGTCACTTTTGATAAGCAGAAAAACACTTAAGCATTCATTTCTGCTGTTAAACTGATGCATGAAAATAGGCCCTGATATTGCACACGACTGATGAAATTTCAAGCGATCTAGGTAGGCCCTCCCCCTTCCAAAATATATAACTCCTCCCACTATCCCTGTCCCCATTACCCACAATCCCTCTTACCTGCTGAACATTCGGAAGCCTGTTGCCCCCATCCGGTGCGCCCCTTTAACCCCGAGAAAACGGTTGAAAAGTCCCGCGACGTGCTCCATCACCCTCAGGTGACTGTAACACTCGCCAAACTTCCTCGGCCAGATCTCCTCAAGGCACGAGTCATCCCTCTCGCCCTCCTCCTCTTTAGCCCCGCCCCCTCCATCTTCATCATCATCGTCATTGTCCTCTTCAGAGGCGGGGTTATCGGAAGTGGGCGTTTCTGGTCGGGGCGCTCTTTTGTCGTGTTTTGCGAGCCTATACACATAGCAAAAGTTTCAAAATGTTTCACTTTCAACCAAGTTTTTAGGTCATTTTGGTAACTTTAATGACAAGTTTCTTGATTTTTTTTTTTTAACTTTCCAATGCTTGTAAATTCCAATAACTCTGTCAGATTTTGTCCGATTCCCATATTCTATACATCATTGGAAAGGTTACTCAATGTCCTTTTCAATGAGCCCAAAATCGTAGTTTGCACTGGGTCACATACGATTCCTTCTTGTTCACATGTCTGATAACTACAACAATCTGTGTCACGCAAGAGCAAGATTGACTGTGAACACTTATTCCTACAGCAGATTTTGCCAAGCAAACCTTCAGATCTTATCCAGCCTTAACGAACCTTGGTCTGGTTTCCCGGCCCACTCTGCCTGGTTTCAGCAGTCTCAGCGTGTCTTTGATCAGCATAATCTTGATTTCCTCGTCCACAGGGCTGGGATGGGATTCCACGACCCCCGGTGCCACTTCCTTCTCATAGTCCAATCGTAGGCTAGGGTTGGCATTCACCTCCAGCAGGATGGGTTTTAGGTCCTCGGTCACCAGGATGTCAAAACCCAAGATCTAGCAGGTGGAGGTCAAAGGTCGGGAGGAAAGAAAGCATAAGTAATTAGACTGGTTTCCTATCTCACTGACTGTTATTTTTTACTTAGACTGGTCTACGATCAGTTTGATGAGGCTTGCCCTAATCTTTCTGTTACGGATAACATCTCCAAATAAAATAAAAGGAAAAAGATCCAACTTTTACTCAACCTGGAAGCACGAAGGAGAGGGTTTTCTCGCAGGCAGCTCGGCTTCGAACTCGACCAGGAGGTCCGGCAACATCGCCGTAATTGTCTTGACCACGACAGCTTGGATGTCTTCCCACAATGCAATGGTGTTGTGGCCGCGCGCGAGCAACGCGGTGAACGTGCTGGTCATGGTGCGCTTGCTGCCCCTGTCCGTGCTGTCCGTGTGGATGAAGGTTTCGCTCTTCTTGTTCAGCGAGTAGTTGGTGAGATGCATGAAGACCTGGTTGAGAATGGGAAACCATGTTTAATTTGTTAAATGCGAAACTTTCAAGCACTTTTTAAACATTGAAGCGTTTAGCCAACGATTTACAAATGGCCCCCTCCTCCCCCCTAAGTATTAGGCACAAATTTGTTTGTTTAAACGTTAAACGTCACATGCTTATTAATCCACAGACCTGATGAAGGTTGCGGTTTGTTGGTGGCTGGTACTTGACGGTACAGAAGCGCGCCATTCCTTCCCGGCAGATATAAATGCGCAGCGGGGAAATGGATGTCAGAAGTACGTAGACTCGCAAGTCAAACTTGGTTCTCTCCAGCAGGAGAGGTTTGGGGATGTACTCCTGCACCACCGCGCGACGGACCAGCCCAACTGTACCCATGTGGTGGGGGTTGGTGATCAGGTAGATCCCATCGCCTTGCGATCCCTCGTCAGGCTTGACAATGAAGACGGGCTTGGCGCGAGGGTTCTGTTGTTGGAGGCTGGCCACGTCGGCACAGAAGTGATGGTACTGCTCCGGTAGGAGCCAAGTGCGGGGGTAGAAGTTGTACTCGTCCGGGAAGAGTTGCTGCATTTGGTGGAGGAGTTTACTGAGTTGGGCTTTGCGTACGAGTTCCAATAAACCTGCAACATATTGTAGACGAACAGTTTAAAAATGTCACCTAAATACTGGTGTTGAAAACATGAAAGGTGTGATAGAGATGTATTGTCAAATAAAATGCATAGACTTATGGGGCTTGGTGCGTCCACGAGAGAGGGCGCTTTTTAACTTTCGTGAGCCCTGTGGACAAGACACACTGCAGACGTACTGGTTTCGCATGTGTATAGCGCGAAGTATTCTGAATTCACACAAAGCCATAGTGTCTCATGTGAGCATCGGACATTTCAATTCTTGCGAATGTACTTCCAAGTGGTCTCCCCCAACTCGGCCTTTCTTACCAGGGAGGGGGTACTTGGGTCCGGAGCCCATTACATACTAACCAGGGTACTTGTTGACCATTCCTGAGTAGACGCCATCCGTGTCATAGAAGGAAGCACTGTGCCAGTACAAATCGCAGGGGTTCTTGCGAGCACCGCACACCTGCAGACAAACAATGATAACCCCGCTGGAATTAGAAGAGCAGGAACATTAAAATGTAATCAGCTATGTGACGGGGTTTTCCATGAGATTTTCCAAAGTATTTTTTAATCATGACCAACATTCTCCACATTTTAGAAGAATGGCTCACCATTTTTAAACCCCCCCCCCCCCATCAGAAAACTGCACACAAATGCAAACATATTTACTTTAAAGAATTTCTTACATGCAGGCCTTTCAGAAAAGACTACATTTTTTTAGGCCAGTTAAAAATAATATTCTTAATGATTTCTTGTGAAAAAAAAGAGATGCCCTTTTTTTCTTCTATTTCATCCTCTCATTTTCTCAACTCTTTTGCTGATGCTTTGTGTCTAAAGGAGCTGTCGCCCTTTCTACTAGATTTTGAACTTGTATACATAGGCAGCTTAAATTTTGCTGGAAACAAATAAAGACACGGAATATATATGCAAATTTATTTTTTTTTAAAAGGGGGGGGGGGGGAACAAAAGAGGGGGAAAAATCCATACATGGACATCACTGATTTTTTCCCTGCACTTCTCTGTAGTGACCTACAGAAACAACCATCAGAAATTCAGAAATCCATAACATGTCCTGGTAAAAGTAAACTTTAGCAGGGAAAATATGGAAGAATTTACTGAGAAAACACTTTTTGGTATTATGGAACCCTTTCCAATTCATATTCCAAAATTGTTGGTTGGACGTGATATGTTTTTTGACTTAATTGAAATTACTATCGCACAGTCCCAAACTTTCAGAGGTCCCTATCTTGTTGTCAATACCTCTCTCCATCGCCAGCCGAGTTCCTCCAGACTGATCCTCAACACTTCGGCCCCCGATTTCGCCCTGGACATCTGCACCGTCAGAAACGGCCGCACTGCCCGCCGAGTCCGCGCCCGCCGTCCCTTGGTCTTTTTCTTACCGCTGGCCGGCGACTGGCGAGGATTATATGCGCTTGTATCCATGGGTTCTGAGCCTTGTTCCGTGGTCTCAAGAGGAGGAGGTAGGGTGGCATTGTGTTTTGCCGCAACCCACTCCGGCGATGGGTCGTTGATCCCAGCATTGCTCCGCGGGAGAACCGTGTTGCTTCTCCCGAGGGGCGCGACGCCGTGCACGGTAACCGCGACCGCCACGTCCGGTTTACTTTGCCCGCTCGAAAACGTCCGCTGGAAGCCTGAATCCACCTTCCCAATCGGATCCAGCTTAATTGCCGAATTCCTTCTGCTCTGAGGAGGGTTTACACTCATTGTTATTTTATCATCATCATCAAGATTTTATCTACAAAACGCAATCGCGAAATTCCAGTCATATATTTGGACCGCATCCGTTGTCATACGAAATGTTTACTAGACTGTTGTGCTGAAAACAGTCCATTAATAATACTAGTGGTCACGACAGGAAGCTAGACCGACTACTGCGCACTATAAATTGCGCCCTCTTGCGTTTGAATGAAGTTTTTCTACCAAACTTTTATTCAAAAACCAGGGAAAGTTATTCAAACTTAGGAAATAATTATAGACTCGTCCAGTTCTGTCAAAGTTGTTTAGCCTGATATTCTTAAATATTCATTTTCACCAACAAGAAGATCATGGTTTTTTTTAGTAATTTACTTATTCAAATTTTCTGGAGTATATTAATGAAATATCTATTTATGTATTTCATGTGACAAAACAAATTTCCTGAAAGAACCAATAAATTGAAATTGAATTGAATTGACTTGAATTCAAATTAAGATCAAGCAGAAAAGGCCAGTCTTGTTTTGTTCAATCTTTCTTCAGTTCCATATCTACCGATTTTCGCATTTCCTGTTCTTTTTATGCCCCGCGGCGAAGCCGAAGGGGCATACTGTTTCCGCCTCGTCCTTCCGTGGGTGGGTGGGTGGGTGGGTGGGTGGGTGGGTGGGTGGGTGGGTGGGTGGGTGGGTGGGTGGGTGGGTGGGTGGGTGGGTGGGTGGGTGGGTGGGTGGGTGGGTGGGTGGGTGGGTGGGTGGGTGGGTGGGTGGGTGGGTGGGTGGGTGGGTGGGTGGGTGGGTGGGTGTGTGTGTGTGTGTGTGTGTGTGTGTGTCCGGACAAATCTTGTCAGCGCGATAACTTGAGAAATACTTAACATATGAACTTCAAATTTGGTTTGTGGATTGTTCTTGGTAATCCTAAGAAGCCTTTTGCATTTGGGGCCAAAAGGCCAAAGGTCAAGTTCACAGTGGCTAAAACAAAAGAAATCTTGTCAGCGCGATAACTTGAGAAATGCTTTACATGTGAACTTCAAATTTGGTTTGTGGATTGTTTTTGGCAATCCTAAGAAGCCTTTTGCATTTGGGGCCAAAAGGCCTAAGGTCAAGTTCACAGTGGCTAAAACAAAAGAAATCTTGTCAGCGGGATAACTTGAGTAATACTTTACATGTGAACTTCAAATTTGGTTTGTGGATTGTTCTTGGCAATCCTAAGAAGCCTATTGCATTTGGGGCCAAAAGGTCAAGGGTCAAGTTCACAGTGGCTAAAACAATAGAAATCTTGTCAGCGCGATAACTTGAGAAATACTTTACATGTGAACTTCAAATTTGGTTTGTGGATTGTTCTTGGTAATCCCAAGAAGCCTATTGAATTTGGGGCCAAAAGGTCAAGGGTCAAGTTCACAGTGGCTAAAACAATGGAAATCATGTATTTATTCTGAGATTATAGGGATTAGGGATTAATTCATATAAAACCTACAGAAGACACTAATGCTGTCAATGAATGTTCCATGTGACCAAGGTACATGTAAGTTGATGTTAAAAGAGTGGTGATATGTCATGGGAACAGTCACGGTTGCGGGGCATTTGTGTTTGTAAACACACCTGACTTGTTTAAATTATAATTTGTACAAGAAAAGAAAAAAATTCATGTTAACATTGTCTGCATCAAAAAAATCGACTGTTGGTGCAACATGTTTTCAGTCACCGTGTTCTCCTCTTGTGCATGTGATAGCCGCTAGCTTAATAGTCTGGTTCCCAGACCAAAAGATTCCGACTATTCCTGATGAATCTTAGGTCAGGTCAACCTCATCCCCAGTGCTTACTTTATTTCCAACGGCGTTTCCAATAGTAAACCCTGGATAGGAAACTTTCTTCCTGTATCCTGATTGGATACCGCAATTGGCTAGTAATGGATTTTTATCGTGTACTTGGTGCTATATATTCACAACGTGCAGTACGTGTTTTCGCGATCATTCGTCCACGCCTTCTCGAAAATACTAATTTCCTTTCCAATTTGCTCATATTAATATGAAATATGATACTGCATGTTGTCTCGATAAGATCGTAACAGTTTGATTTTAAAAATCGTGTTTTCGTAACTCACGCCGTGCTCGCGCTGCTACGAATTGACTCTGTTTTTACCCCAGACACTGCATACAAAAACAAACGCTAATGTGTAACGCATATCCAGGCACCACACTGTTCCTCATTTGCATACGTGTGCAAAAATCTTGCACATGCAAATGTCCAATACCAGGGTGAGAGAGCAGGTAGTGGTGGGCGCGTACTGCTCGACACCCTGGGGACGAGGTTGAGGTCAGGTAGCCTCTGGTAATACAATGTATTACAATTTACATCACGTGACTAAAACGGGAGGAATTCCTCCTTTTTCCGAAGTTTGCCGAATTCATTTCGTCGACAATCGGATAGTGTCCGAGTATTTCCGATTATAATATAGGTTTTATTAACTGCTAATTGCTTATTAAAAACTTTAAAAAAAACTAGTTGATAATTAATATCCATTGCTTTTATTTAGAAAACTTGAAATTCAACGACGATTTTGCACTCGGATCATATACGAGGGGCGAACTTTTTGCTGCGTCATGCACTAGTTGGAATTTGACGACCGTTAACGGCATTTTCCAAAACGCGGCGTGGTCTCAATTCGGCTCCGCCTGCTACTGACAGTGCTGTTTGGGTGTCCATCTTTGAAGATTCCACGTTAAAATTAGTCAATGTTTTTTTACAGAAGTATTAAACTGAATATTTTAACTTGCTTCATATGATATATGAAGCAAGTGATTTATTTAAAAAAAAAAATTATCGGAACATTAAAAGCTTTATGTGATCAGTAAAGCGAATTCGGAAACGAAGTCGAGCTTTGAAAAAGGGCCGTCAATGTCGTCATGTTTATTTTTAGCCACGGAGGCTGCCTGACCTACAATATAATTTAGACGTGTAGACGTCGGGGGAAATTGTCAGGTCGGGGAGCCAGACTACTAGCTTAAAAGGGGCGCCCTCTAGTGAAAACAGGGCTTCACATTGCCGCCATGTTCGAGTTGCACGTGCGCGGGCACGACATGCACGAGAAGTGTCACCAACATCAACAATCAATCACTGATGCCGGTTGAATAAAACCGGCCAAAGGACGTTTTAAAGAAATTCAAGGTCGACAACATGCAGCATTGCATGCCTGCCATGGGCACCGATATTTCGTCATGCATGTTTTGGGTGCATAACAAAATAACAAGTTGGGCGGCACAGCAGAAGTCCATGATCATGATGATTTGATAACTCGATTGTAAATGCACGACGGCACAGTCTGGTTTCCCGACGTCCGTGTACATGGTGTACGGTTCCCAGTGATGAGGTTTGTGCTCAAAAATCAACTTACAACTATAACTACAAGGCCAGGTAAGCCTTGGAGAGACCTTTCTATTTGTACCTCCTAACTTTTGAAAGATTTTTGGCTTTTCCGCATAGTCATGATAGTTGTGAAAAAGTTTGTTTTTGTTGTAATTTTTTATGCCCCGCGGCGAAGCCGAAGGTGTATACTGTTTCCGCCTTGTCCTTCCGTGGGTGGGGGTGTACAGGCATTACATTCACTGTGTGGACTTCCGAACAAAAGATGTCCACATAAACCAGGTAGAGGAAACACTGTGTGGACTTGGGCAAGTTCACACAGTGTTTCCCCATTTCTGGAAAACAGGTTTAGAGGCATTTTTGGGTTAGGTTTATCTGTAGCGGAATGAAGAGAAACACTAAAGGGAATCATAGAAAAAAAATTGGGTTGAAAGAGTTTTCACAGTTTGAGAAAAATGAGTTTTTTCACTGGTTTTTCTTAACTACACGAAAGTAATGGAAAGTCCACACTTGGTATGTAACGTAAACTTGTGTGTGTGTCCGGACAAATTTTGTCAGTGCGATAACTTGAGAAATACTTAACATATGAACTTCAAATTTGGTTTGTGTATTGTTCTTGGTAATCCTAAGAACCCTTTTGCATTTGCGGCGGAAAGGTCAAGGGTCAAGTTCACAGTGACTAAAACAAAAGAAATTTTGTCAGCGCGATAACTTGAGAAATACTTTACATAAGAACTTCAAATTTGGTTTGTGTATTGTTCTTGGTTATCCTAAGAACCTTTTGCATTTTGGGCCAAAAGGTCAAGGGTCAAGGTCACAGTGATTAAAACAAAAGAAATTTTGTCAGCGCGATAACTTGAGAAATACTTTACATATGAACTTCCAATTTGGTTTGTGTATTGTTTTTGGCAATCCTAAGAAGCCTATTGCATTTGGGGCTGAAAGGTCAAGGGTCAAGGTCACAGTGGCTGAAACAATAGAAATTTTGTCAGCACGATAACTTGAGAAATACTTTACATATGAACTTCAAATTTGGTTTGTGTATTGTTCTTGGTAATCCTAAGAAGCCTATTGCATTTGGGGCCAAAAGGTCAAGGGTCAAGGTCACAGTGGCTAAAACAATATAAATTTTGTCAGCGCGATAACTTGAGAAATACCTTACATATGAACTTAAAATTTGGTTTGTGGATCGTTCTTGGTAATCCAAATAGGCCTATCGCATTGGGGGTCGAAAGGTCAAGGGTCAAGGTCACAGTGGCTAAAACAATAGAAATCTTGTATTTATTCTGAGATTATAGGGATGAGGGATTAATTCATATAAAACCTACAGAAGACACTAATGCTGTCAATGAACGTTCCATGTGACCAAGGTACATGTACATTTAAGTTGATGTTAAAAGAGTGGTGTTATGTCATGGGAACAGTCACGGTTGCGGGGCATTTGTGTTTGTAAACACACCTGACTTGTTTCCCTTCTTCTTTTTGTCGCCTAAACCCCATAGACTTTGTACACGTTTTTCTCACTGCCACTTTTGGCATTAATCTTTGTCAAACATCACTGAAAGTTACCACAGTAACTTGGACCAACTTATCGCCTTTTTAACATTCGGACATGGTCTGGCAATAGGGTCCAAGCTAATCCGTATATATGCTGAGCGACACAATTTTGTCCTTGACCCCAAAACCCAACATTGCCCAACAAAAACATCAGATTTCACCCTCAAAATGGCCTCCAAATTACTAAATACGCCACCTGAGGTACAAGTAGACATCGAT